CATTTACGGTAATTATTTATTTATTTATTTTTACCATGGTTATTATTTCTGGTGGATTCGATCGTCAATATCCAATATGAAATTATTGGAAGTATATGTGGTAATAGTAATTTTATTTTTATTGGAGGTATATGTGGTAATAATAATTTTATTTTACTTTTACCACCGGTATTTTTCCGCGGGCTCCACTCGGGATCAGTTATAATCCCAACAAATAAGGGATGATGTGTCATTATTAGGGTTTAGCTTTTACCTAATAAAAACGAATATTGTTTAATAAATTGAATTAAATATGATTGCATTACCTCAAATTTGCCCTGTTTTGTTACTATTTCAGTTAAGGGAATGAGTTGGATTAAGAGTTTTCATGTAATTATAAATTCAGTAGCTAATACTTTGTAATAGTATTTCTAAATAATATTTCTGATCGTCAAATATTTTATAATACTTTATATGAATTTGTAAAAAGTGGTTATTCTTTGTAAAGTTATTGAATTACAATGGTTAAACATTTCAAAAACGATTAGTTGATCAGAATTGTCTTCGCTCCATTAAGTTGATGATTTGATTTGATTTGAAATTTTAGTGTGGAAGTGATCATTTGATTTGAATAAGTGGATGATTTTTCAGTCCCTAAATATTGTAGTACAGTGTAATTTTTCCTATAAACCTCATATTGGGTCTCTTGTAATGCAACAAACCATTTCTAGATATTAAATGAAGTATAGAAATGGAAGTGCAAATAATTTCTAAAGAAATTATCAAACCTTCTTCTTCAACACCACAAAACCTAAAAACCTACAACCTCTCTCTTCCTGATCAGTTAGCTCCTCCAGTTTACATACCCATCATTCTTTTTCATTCGCCAGCCCTTGAAAATGGCTATAAAATATCCGATCACCTGAAGAAGTCCTTCTCAGAGACATTAACCCACTTCTATCCTCTGGCTGGACGAATAAATGATGAATTTTCCATCGACTGCAACGACGACGGAGCTCCATATGTAGAAGCATGTGTAAACGGAGACATGTCTACGGTACTAGTTCAAGAACCTGGCGTACATAAGCTAGAAAAGCTATTACCATGCAACCCGCATGACTTAAGCTCTCAAGTGATTCTTGCAGCTCAAATAAACCACTTTGATTGCAGTGGAATTGCAATTAGTATTCGTATTTGGCATGCAATTGCCAATGCATCAGCTGTGGCGTCTTTTATCACTAGCTGGGCTACAATTGCTTCTGGTGCGAATTTTGATATAAATGGGGTCATCTTTGATAGCACATCGCTTTTCCCTCCACAAGACCTGCGAGGCTTTTCGTTGCATAAGTTTTTTAACAAAGAACTATTAAGCAAAATTGTGGTTAAAAGATTTGTATTTTGATAGTTCTAATATTTCAGCTTTAAGAGAAGAAGTAGGAAATGGGCCGTGTTTGGAACGTCCGACTCGGGTGGAAACTGTGGCCGCCATCATTTGCCGGCTGTGATGGCCGGAAATGGAGAAGAGCATGTTGCAACCATGTCAGTAGGTTTGTGAAAAAGAATCACTCCATTAATCCCAGAATTATCAATTGCAAACATAGTTCAAGTGGCAATGGCAAATTGCTCAAAGAATGAGAATGTTTTAGACTATAATGGATTAGCAGGAAATCTTCGCGAGTCAATAGAGAGAAAGAATAAGGAGTACGTGAGGAAGATTCACGCAGAAGGTAGGTATTTTGAGTTTCTGAAGAAAAACAGTGAGGAGCTTGGAAAAAACCCTAACTTGATGAAGGTGTTTGGTTTTAGCAGTTGGTGCAGGTTTCCATTTTATGAGGCTGATTTTGGATGGGGAAAGCCTATTTGGGTTGGAACTGCCTTGAAGCTTTATTAGGTTACCATTTTTACTGATACAAAAGATGGTCAGGGTACAGAGGCTTGGATTGCTTTGCCTGAGGAAGATATGCTCAAGTTTGAACAAAATCCTGATATTTGCGGGAAGGGATATTGCAATAATTGAAATGCTTTTTCACAGGTGCTCGAAACGGCGACAAGTAATAAAAAATGAGTAGATTATCGTCTCACAAAGATTGTATACCAAGTATTAAACTTGTGTTAACTTACTATTATTTAAACGATAATAAGGAGAATTATTTTAAGAAATCAAATTTAAATAGGTAAAAGAAAATAAAAAGAAATCAAGCAAGATAATTTGACGAAAGAAATTAAGGATTAAAAGCTACTAGTGATTTTGATTTCACTTAATTCTATCCAATTTATTTTATTAGTTTAATAATCACTTTTAATTATTCAAGTAGGGGAAACAACCCTAAAATCAGTAACAAGCTCTCCCAATGTATTGTTAGCTATTTTAACCTGGTCTAATTACTTATCTTCCAATAGCGCAATCAAACATGAATTAAATCATTAAATTACTTATCTTCCAATAGCGCAATCAAACATGAATTAAATCATTAAGTTTTATGGTTTGTTTATGAATTCATAACCTAAGATCGTTAACTTATGAACACCCCCCATGAGTCAAACCATATAACTTCCGCATTAAATTATTATTCTCATGTAATTTATTATATTTTTTCTATCAAAAACTTTTCTTCCGATAGTGATTAATAACATAAATCAATCCAGAAGAAAAATTATGCCTGGAAGCATTAAGTTCAATAATAAATTATGCTTTAAACAAAGAAAAACAAATCTAACATTATAAATTGGAATCGAAATTAAGCTACATCAAATCCCTAGTATGAGAGTTTAGTTCGACATAGTAATTAAATAATCGACATAGTAATTAAATAAAACTCAATTAAACTTGTAAATAATCTCATAAAGAATAATAAACAAAAAGAGAGTTTAGAAATAAAAACTAGTCGAGGATAATCTTGAACGGCTTCCTTGAATTTTGACACCAATTTTCAACACTTGAAGTCTTCAAGAGAAAACTATGTAGAAATTAATAGAACAAGAGATAAAATATGAAAATCACCCTTGATCATGACTAGTCTCTCTCTTTAGATAGACTTTCTGAAATATTTCCGTATTTATTGGAAAGTGCATCTCCAATGACTAGGTAATCCTTTTTGAGATAGAAAATTGTTTTAGCTTTATATACTTTTCCCAATTAGGATTCTTTTAGCGTCCAAATACGAGTTAAACTTGATTTGCACGTTAGAAAAGCATCTCATGTGGGTCCATACAAGCGGTATGGGTTAGAACTGACGTTCTCAGTCCAAGGCAAAATCTGGTCTTCAACACAGGCGTGCTAGCTTCTGAACCTAAGAACACTCTTTGCTGTATTTTTGGATGGTTTTCTATAAAAATGTTACAAAATTTTCCAAAATCAAGTGAAATGTAATTCAATGAAACTTTAAAAAAACATAAATAAAAACTAAATAAATTTAATTAAAATAATTAAAAATACAAAAATTACTAATAAAAACTATATTAAAAATACTATAATAACGTATATCAATAATAATGCAAAGCAATTATCAAAAAATAATAATAATAATAATGCAAAGTACGTTGCATCATTTGTGCTTATTAGTCTGCTTCTTCGACTTGTAATAAGTAACTGTCCTCGGTCTTCTTCTCTTGATCAATCCATTCCGTGATTGATGGAGGAGAAAAGCCGGCCATTTCTTGGATATTAATAGCTACATTTTTTATTTAATAGTTTAGGAAAGGAAATTACAATTTGCTTTCTGCAATTTGGACTTGGAAGTCAAGCTCCTAGGAAATGAATTCATGTCAAGTTTCTCTTATGACGCTATTGTATCTAACGGTATAATCTGGAATCATCCTATATCTACGCAGCCACTACTTCCCCACGTGGAAGATTCAACATTAAAAGAGTTGAAACTTGAAACTCTTCCACGACCTAAATCGCCCCCATCTTTAGAGAAATTAGTAGTTGTTAAGTACAGTAAAAGGGTGAGTCACTATGTAATTAGCTTTAAACAATTCCAAATAATAGGGAAATTCAGAGTGTGTTTATTTATAGAAAACAGTTTTCTATTTTTTATTTTCTATTTTTTAAAGAAATAATTTTCTTAGAAAATGAGAACTAGAAAACACAAAATGAAAAATAGATTCATTTGATAACAATAAAAAATTATATTTTAATTTAACTTCACAAACATTATTCATAACTTTCATAATATAAAATAAATTTAGAAATTCATTCTTCATAATATAAAATAATATTTAGAATTGTGTGTAGTATGTAAAGAGTTTTGATTTTTTAATTAACTGGATTTTTTTATAATAATAATACCATTTTCTATCATTTTATAACTTTTTCTTTAAAATAAAGGATATAATATATTTGTAATGATAAATTAATTATTTATTAAAGGCATAATATAAATTTTATTTTATTTAAATTTTAATTTTTTCAAATCGAAAATATTTTATAGAAAAAATTATTTACAGAATATATATTTAATTATGAAAAATATCATTTTTCAAAAGTGAAAATGGGTCTTTTTTGTTATAAGGAAAATTTTTTCAAATGAAAATATTTTATAGAAAAAATTATTTACAGATATTATAATTTTAATTATGAAAATATCATTTTTAAAAGTGAAAAATGGGTCTTTTTGTTATAAAGGAAAACTATAAAAAACAATTTAAAAACTGTTTTTCAAGTGTTAGTTAAATTTTGAAAAACTTTTTTCTAGTTTTTTAAATAGAAAACCGATAAATTTGAATACAAAATTCTTTTTTTTTCGGTTTTCTTGAAAAATTATTCTAAAAATTACTCCAATTTTCTACGGTTAACGCCCTCAATTTCCACTCGTGGTACATGTGTAAGCATTGGTGCCGTTGATGGCGGTGCAAAGTAACTTCTCGGAGAAAATAGCGAAAAACGAAACACGTTTCTGGACACTTTGACCCTTGTAGGTCAATGCCCAGAATTAGACAACTTTGACAAACTTCCATAGTGGGGTCCCTGTCCATTTTCATGTTCAATATCAGAATTTTCGTCTCCACTCGACTCCAATAATACAGTACCTATAGAAACCAACTATATAAGTTCCCCACATCTTCTCCTCACTCCTCACTCCTCGCAACAAACCCCAACAAGAAAGTTATTAATTAGCAACTTATAGCCACAAAACTAGAATCTTGCCTTATGGCTTGCTTCAAGACCCTCGCAGTCCTGGCTCTTGTCCTTGTTCTTTGTGTGCAAGGAACTCTAGGTATGTCTAAATTATTGCACTATCACCAATGCCCATATTTTAATTTTTCATTCTCATTTAAGCTCTGATTGGTATTCAAACTCATAACCACTAATGACAGATATATAATGGTTTAATTTTGTATTTTATAGGAGAGATAAAATGCGAGCATCTTGACCAAGACACATGTTCTTATGCAATATCGTCGACGGGCAAGCGATGTGTCCTAGAGAAGCATGTCAAAAGGAGTGGACAAGAATCATACAATTGTCGTACCTCTGAAATTGAAGCAGATAGATTAAGGAACTGGATCGAAAGTGATCAATGCATTAAAGCATGTGGACTTGACAGAAAAACACTTGGAATCTCATCTGATTCTCTTCTTGACTCTTGCTTTACAAAACACCTTTGTTCTTCAGAGTGCTACAACAGCTGCCCTAACGTCGTTGATCTTTACTTCAATCTTGCTGCTGGAGAAGGTATATAACGAACATCATCTTCAACCTCTCATTTTAAAGATTTTGAATAACTATTGATTTAACATCTCTTTACTATTCTTGTAGGTGTGTTTCTTCCCAAGCTGTGCGAAGCAAAAGAAGGAAATGGTAGAAGAGAGCTAATAGCCGATATAAAGAGCTCTGGTATTGTTGCAACAGGACCAATTCATGCAGTGAAGTTCACTGCTGCTGCTCCTTTAGTTGCCCCAGCTTTGGCACCCTATTAATGAGTTCTTGCCACAGAGAAATTAAGCAAAAAGAATCAAATATACGCGTGGGATAATTAGATATTAAGCATACAAATTACTAGCAATAAATTAGTAGCACTGGTCGAGATTTTAGTAGCCGGCCTACTTCCACCAAGTATGTTCTTGCTGGCTCTATCATTCGAGGCACTAAGTTGTTATCACTGCTATGGTAGATTATATTGTACTATTATAGATTACATAGCCGGTTTGTTTTCTTGAAAGGAGATATAGATATACTATAACCAATCAATAAAGTATAAGGTTTGGTTTTAAATTTCATTTTCCAACTAAATTTTGTGTTGTGATATAACTTTCTTACAGCCTCTCACAAATTGGTTAAATTGTGCTCTGTTTATAATTAACACTACAGTAGTCATTAACGTATGCCGCAAAACTATGTCGCCTCAATTATGCGACCACCAAATGACAAATTTTTAATTAAATTACACGTTAATGACTTAACGATTTAATTGTATTCGAGTGAAACACGTTCCTTTTTTGATATAATCGGGACGTGTAATTTTCCTTGAACCCTAGAGCATAATGAGTTTAACCCTTTCAGTAAATTATGCTTTCTGGAGATCGAACTTGTGTTCTCAACCCCGCACACTTTATTGGTAAGTGAAACACGTTCTTAATGTAATTATTTTTCTTTCAAAAAAAATCCCAAATTAGAGTCGTAAAAGTCAAGAAAAGTGGAAGATCAGTTAACAACAGCCCTGATCAGAAATTTCGCCACCAATTTGGGATATGAATCAATGAAATAAAAAAATAAAAAAAGGATAGCGTTGAACAAGATATGTTTGCGCCATCCAAGAAGCGAAACAGAACTTAGTATGAACGGCAACTAGCACGTAGGGATGAAAAATTTTATCGTGTTGACCTAAGAGTATTAATTCTTTAAGTAAATTAAGGTAATTGGATGGACTGTTGAGAAACTGATAAGTCTTGCCTCATTCTTCAGCTACCCGCCAACGGCCAACCGTTCCAACCCCTTCACTATCTACAGAAGCCACCATTCCGACACCACCATTCATTAAGAACAATATCAAAAGTTTATAAATGGAAAGTTTTTATTAATTATAATAATCACTGGCTATAAAGGAAGCACTACAATATAAATATTATATCAATCAAAATCAATAATATTTTTGGTTCAAAATTATGTATTACGCAATTATTTAACATATAAGAAATTTATAAATTTATGGTCCAAATTTTATTAATGAACCAAATTAAATAAACAAAAAAAGATTTCGTCGAGGAATAACAAATTAAAATACAAAAACACGTTTGCTTGTAATCTCAACACGTTTAGGAATAGCTTTCTTGATTCTGCCACTCCCGTTAGTTACACTTATTTTCTTGTACAAGAAAGTCTTATATAAAAATAAAGATTTGGCTCAACAGACCTCCCGTAATCAAGTTTATAATCCCATTCTTTGACCATAAAGATTAGCAAATGTCCTGTCTTTTGAAGGACACAATTTGCACTTATGATTTCTTTTTTATTTTTTTATTTTCTTTCTTCTTTAAAAATATATTTTTTCATTTTAAAATGATAGGCATAGAGCTTATTTTATTTGGCCTTTCGAGTGTCCAGAAAATATGTGGCTCCTTCAACAAATAGTATTCAAGTCCCTATAAAAAAAATACAAAAAAAAAAGAGTTAGTGCTAAACACCCTCCAGCAACTAACGAACGACTGCCGCTTGTGCATTCCTGTCCGACGTTGCTTAAGTAAAGGAGATTATTACACGTCATAATTTCCAGAAAATACCCAAAATCCATATGTTATTTTTTGAACTCCCACGTGTCTACATGCCAACGAGGACAGCAATATCACAGTTCTCAAGGCGAATCTCCTGCATTTCATGTTTTCTGACTCTCTCGATAAACAACATGACTCTGTTTTTCTGATTTCACCACAACTTGTCTAATGATGATCAAGTAGCCGAAATTAATACAGATTTGCAATCGCATCAAAAGAGACCCCACGACCACCCTGAGCTACATTGTAGAAGATAAAAACTCGGGAAAAACCGACATTTTACAATCTGCCACGTGGCACACCTACCCCAAGTACCGCCTGCACCGAAAACATCGCCCGTCGCCACTTACCAAAGTGCAATCGACAACATAAATATAACGCTATGGCCTTAAACTTTTCCATATCTGTAATCTCTCTTTTGTTCTCTAACACATTCAGCGATATCTTTTGTTGTTTATCTTCTTAAGTCTCAACGATCCTTTCACAGAATAGTAGAAAAGCGAAAAAGATTTTAGAATAATTAAGATGGACAGTCTTACGCTCACCGGATTATTGAAAAATATCGCCGGAGAGTTCTCTAACCGGCGAGCGGTGTCAATTTCTGGCAAGTTTGATATGACGCACTCTCAACTCCATGAACTAGTGGAACGCGCCGCGTCTCGCCTTGTTGAGGCAGGGATAAAGCCTGGCGATGTTGTTGCTCTTACTTTTCCTAATACTATCGAGGTTAGATTTAAATTGAGTTTAATTTGTTTTACCTTCCAAATTTAATATGGTTGGTTAAGTTTATTTAAGAAATATTTTCCAAGTTTCAGACAATTCAGAAATTTATTTGCATGACCATATGTTATTAATTGATGAAAATAAACAAATAAATAATGGAAAAGGAAATGAAAGTTTAATTACGTTTATTAAATTCGGAATCAGTTATGAATTTTCTATGGCTAATGGTTTCGTTGAATCCAATTTAATGTTCATTGTTTTGTTTGTCCGAGTTGTTCTTTGAGTTAATGTTCTCTTGAAAATCCTATGATTCCTCAAAGACGTGGATTTATTTGTCGAATATTTGTGAAAATTATAGTTTGTCCTAATGTTTTTGGCCGTAATCCGAGCTCGAGCCACGGCTGCACCGCTTAATTCAGCCTACACCGCCGAGGAATTCGAGTTCTACCTATCGGACTCGGAGTCGAAGCTCTTATTGACCCCACCAGAAGGCAACAGCTCAGCTCAAGCTGCAGCCTCTAAGCTCAACATTCGTCATGCCACAGCTTCACTATCAGGAACCGATTCGGAAATTTCTCTTTCGCTTCCTGGGTCAGGCGCTATCTCACTGGCACAGCTCACTAACGAGCCATCCGACGTGGCACTCTTCCTCCACACGTCTGGCACAACAAGCCGACCCAAAGGAGTGCCATTGACTCAACTCAATTTGGCTTCTTCTGTTCGAAACATAAAGGCAATATATAAACTCACTGAGTCAGACTCGACTGTCATAGTCCTCCCGTTGTTTCACGTTCATGGATTAGTGGCCGGATTATTGAGCTCACTCGGAGCCGGAGCCGCTGTAGCTCTTCCAGCGGCTGGCCGATTCTCAGCTTCAACATTTTGGCAAGATATGGTCAAATACAAGGCCACTTGGTACACTGCGGTCCCCACTATCCATCAAATCATTCTAGATCGCCATTTTAATAACCCAGAGCCCGTTTACCCGAAGCTTCGATTCATCCGGAGCTGTAGCGCGTCCCTTGCACCGGCTATATTGGCTAGACTTGAGGAAACTTTCGGCGCGCCAGTATTGGAGGCATATGCAATGACTGAGGCGACCCATTTGATGTCATCAAACCCGTTACCGGAAGACGGGCCGCACAAGTCCGGGTCGGTGGGAAAACCCGTGGGCCAAGAGATGGCTATATTGGATGAAAATGGCGTGCCACAGGCGGCAAATGTTAGTGGCGAGGTGTGTGTGAGGGGTCCAAACGTGACTAGGGGGTACAAAAATAATCCGGAGGCAAATAAGGTGTCATTTCAATTCGGGTGGTTTCATACCGGAGATCTCGGGTATCTTGATTCGGATGGTTACTTGCATCTGGTGGGTCGGATTAAGGAGCTAATTAACCGAGGAGGTAATTTTTTTCTGGCTTTTTCATGGTTCATATTTTATAATATAACATGAATTGCAGTTTTGTGTCATTTTCGCGTCGGTGGTAAAATGAAGCTTTCCTTTTGGAATTTAGTTTTGCACGCCACAAACCGCATTAAAATTTTATAATAAGATGGTCTGTTTAGACGAATGAAATGACAAGAGACCACCAACATGGCTGGATGGTGACCATTCCTTTTTGGAAAGCAGTTTCTGGCCATTCACCAAAATTGAAGTTGTTAATCTCTATGGAAAAATCGGTCATATTATATTGTCAAGTGGTTCAGAGATGAGCTTTGTGTGGCAGTGACGGATACGCAAGCTCATTTCTTTGCATCCTAAAATTATGATTTGACAATATCAGCAACCATTTTTTCACGATAAATGCAAAATTGTCCGCATGTTTATAATTCATACATCTTTTTTTCTGTGGTTAAAATTTTCAGGGGAGAAAATATCCCCAATTGAAGTGGATGCAGTTCTTTTATCTCATCCAGACGTTGTTCAAGCAGTTGCTTTCGGAGTCCCTGATGACAAATATGGTGAAGAGGTAAGACACAGCAAACTAAATTTCTTAAATCCCAAGTGTACTAAAGTTTAAAAACCATTATGAAGACGGATGCGTTGGTATCTCCTGTTGGGCCCATTGTGATGCAAACATATACCAATATTTAATTATCGCTTGGGTTGGGTGCTATATGTCTTGTCCATGCACTTCCTAATGTGTGGTATTGAATAATAAAACATTTAATGAATGAGTTTGATGAAAGCTATTTGTCCTTTTTTTGCATATTGCCTAACAAAAGTAGGCATGGACAAAATGTGCTTCCTTACATGGATTATCGCAATTTTTGGCACTTTTAGGTCAGGCATGAGTCACTTTAGTTTATTGCCTCTTGGCCATTTGGCCATAAAAGAATTCTCTCCCAGAATTGACGTTTTTGATATCTAGACTAGATTTGCTAATGTCTGCTTCTGTTCACCAATATAGATAAATTGTGCAATAATTCCTAGAGAGGGAACCAAGGTTGACGAGGCGGAGGTATTGAGGTATTGCAAGAAGAATTTGGCAAGCTTTAAGGTTCCTAAGAAGGTGTTTATCGCCGATTCTCTACCCAAGACTGCAAGTGGAAAAATCCAACGAAGAATTGTAGCTGAGCACTTCCTTGCTCAAATTTCTACTGCTAAAGTCCCCAAGTTTGGGGCGTAAGAACAAATTTAGGCGAAGCTATTATGTTGTTGTATCCCAATTGTCACATCTAATTGGTGGAGGATAAATGATCATGTACTGTGTAATTTGATGATTTATGTATAATACCATATTAATTATTGTAGAGGCTTGGCTAAATTTCGATCGAGTCTGTGACTAATGGCTTTAATGGATACCTATAGGGTTTAGTAGATGTTGCAGTTCCAGTCTAATTCGATTTAATTGGGGTACGTCCTGAATTAGGTTGATCTTAAAAAAAATCATAAGCTTAGTGTGTTAGTCAGGCGTGGCTCGTGAACAAGTCCTTTTTGGTTTTTTTTTTTTTTTTTTTTTTTTTTTTTTGGTTTTTTTTTATCTTTTTATTTTTTTTTGCCCTTTTCTGAAAAAGAATGATCAAAATCCCCCGGGTTCTATATTTTAACTTACTTAACTGATCTATTACATTATAAATAACCTCTAGTTTAGTTCTTCGTTTCCCTCAAATAAGGAGGACTTGTGTACTTTTTTTTTAACCAACCATTTTTCAAGAAAATTTTTCCTCTTTGGGAATATTTTTTTTAAACTTTCTCGTTTTTCCATTGAAAACTGGCTATTAGTTTTTTTTTTTTTTTTTTTTTTTTTCCTTTTCTGGAAAGAGGTCTATTTAACTATAACTGATATTACATTTAAACTTGTTTATTTTCTCAAAATAACTTACTTTTAAAACCATTTTTCAAGAAAAATTTTCCTTTTGGGGAATATTTTTTTAAACATTCTCTTTTTCCATTGTAAAATTGGCTATTAGTTTAAAATATTAATATTTTATTTAAAATGTTAAAATATTTTAAAATGGAATTTTATATTTTAAAATACATTATTGGACGCATTGAAATAATAGTGACCAGCAACGAGTAGAAAGGGTAACGGATGGTATGCAGTGATCACGAATAGTGAATATATATTACAGGTAAATCAATAAATTTATTTTTATGATTGCTATATTATTTCTTTGATAAATCTATTTCATTAAATAGTTACTCCCTTCATCTTATTTCTTATTTCTTTTTTATGTTTTGTTCTTTCTTGAATATGACATCTAATATTAACAGAAAATATTAAGGAAAATTAGTAAAATTTATCAAATAGTATTAATTACTTTTTTTAATCTATTGAAAATAGAAACGAACATATTTGTGAGATGGAGGGAAAATTGACCTTGTTCCTACAAACAATTTTTGATTTAAGATGAACCCGGTCCAATTAATTTCGTTTAAAAGGCAAGCCCTTCTCAATCATTCGTGCATTCACGACATGTCGTTCAACAGCCAGATGTTGTATATCATTCGCCCCACAGACCTCATCAATCACAATGCAAGTCGTTTCAGCTATTTTCTTGAGAAGCATACAAGGGAAAAATAAAAATGCGGCTTATATTAGGTGGCAGAACATAGGTGGCTCGAAAACGGAAAAGTCAGGAAAGACTATCTTTCTCTTCCAGTAGAAATGCATTGGACATGAAATTACAATAGGGACGGACGCAGCCAATCACCTGTAAAACCCTTCCGCCAGTACACGGGCACGGAGACCGGCCTTCCTTTCAGAGCTAAATTCTCGTAAAACCTCTCTACAACTGTTTATCTCCCTATTCAACGTTTCATTCAATATGGTGAGCCAGAGACAGAGATTAGCTCGCAAAAGATTCAGAGAAGCGCATCCTGAGCTATTCCCTAAGCCAGAGCCAACTCCACCAAAAGACCCCGACAAGAAGAAGAACAAAAAGAGCAAGTTCAAGCGAAAAAGCTCTAATTCTAGAGAACCCAGAGACCCAAATGAACGCAACCAGAAAAGGTTTAGAAAACACCCATTTAGAGTTCCTGGCATGAAGCCTGGTGAAAGTTGTTTTATTTGCAAGGCCAAGGACCATATAGCCAAGCTTTGTCCTCAAAAAGACGAATGGGAAAAGAACAAGGTTTGTTTCTGTTTAATATTGATTATTTCTTATTATCTTTAGCTGTTTTCATTTGGGCATTGAACCAATTAAGGGGAAAAAAAAGTAGTGGTATTTGTTAGTTCATGTTTGATAAATATTGAAATGGTGGATTTATGCTTGAATTTTAGATTCTTTGTGCTAATTGAGAATATCGTAAAATTTAAATGAAGATTTTTTCAAAACAAATAATAGTTAGTTATGGTGGTGAAGTTAACTGATAGTGGTGGTTTTACGTGGATGCAGATATGTTTGCTTTGTCGGCGGCGAGGGCACAGCCTGAAGCGTTGCCCTAACAAGAAGGATGAAACTGTCGATAAGAAATTGTGCTATAATTGTGGGGAAATTGGTCATTCGCTGTCTAAGTGCCCCCAGCCTCTTCAAGATGGTACCTTTATCTCAATATTTAATGCAATTATTTTCCTCATTTCAAAACATTGATAAAAGTTTGGTGGTTAGTTTGATTAGTTGCTCAAGTGTTCTGATTTGTTGCTTGCTTGTTGATGAATACAACGGGACATTATACCTCACTGTTAGTGAAATTAGAGAGAATCTTAATAGTGTGCGCGAAAATGTGGGGCTAATAGACATGGTTTTATCTCACTTATCATTGACTAGTTATTGTCATACAATTCAAGCTAGAGAGAAATTTAATGCAATAATTTTTATTGGATTGTGTAGTATAGGGGATAAAAGAATATAAAATATTGTAATTTAAATGCAATGGTTGTTGATTCCATGGCTTACATGCTGACACCTTGGTGTGCATGCAACTGATGCAAGGTATTAAGAAGGCTTGAATCCCTCTTTGATTTTGCAGAGTGCATTAATCCTTTTTGATAATTCACTTGAGCTCAATCCCTTTATCTCTTTTTGGTTTTATGAATCATGATAGTTCTCTTTGGAAATGCAGGGGGAACTAAATTTGCCAATTGCTTTATTTGTAATGAAAGTGGACATTTGAGCAAGGAATGCCCTCAAAATACTCATGGGATATACCCAAAGGTATACTAACCTTTGTATTTAATGCTTGACATTATTAAACTGCGGGCTACCATGCTCTTGGAATGTGGACGAGAAACTACATGCTTAGCAAATAGAACCATAATGTTCTATATTTTCTATTTGAGTTATCTGCACCTGCATATCCATTAGTGCTGATATGTACACATGTATTACAGGGTGGCTGCTGTAAAATATGTGGTGGTGTGACACATTTAGCAAAAGATTGCCCTGAAAAGGGTAAGAGAGGCTCTCCTGCCTCTGGTAAAGAAGGTAAGAAATACAAATTTCTCTCTGTTATTATGTAATCTTTTCCATTGAAACAATTATGGAACTGGTGTTGAATAAGTTTGCATATGGAGTTTACATTTTGCATGTAAGATGATGACATCTAGTACCATCATGAGTTTGTAAGAGTAACAGTGACCCAAACTTTTGTGGCCAAGAAGTGGTAAGATGGTTTATTGGATATATTTGGAGGAGGTTTGGTCGCTAGGGAAAAACTCTTGCCAGCTTCAACAAAATAAGTCTTGAGGAAGAGTAGAGAGAAACCACAGGTCGAGTTTGGTTATTTCTACTGTTTCACTGGACTTCAAATTTGAGTTATAGAGGCTCACTGCTGGTCACTGTCTGTAATTTGCATGGCATTTGCATGTCTATAGTTCAGCAAGAACAGATCAGGAAGTGATTGCAGTTGGATTCTGAATTATACTTTTAAGGTTCTGAACATTGTTAACAAGCCATTTTGGGTGTTGGAGATTAAAGTGACAGGAGATGGCAGGTTATTTTCTGGGCGATATGATTATGTTTGATTTTCTACAATATGTTGTCTTCCGTGGCCCGTGAGTGCTACCTTGAAATGAGATACAAAGTTGTTTAGTTCGAGAAGCATTTCCTTTGCACACTACTACATTTATTCAGAAATTCAGTGTTTCATAAAAAACTATGAATTATATAACTGGGATAATTTTTTTGTTCTGTTGAATTGGTAGACTGATAAGAGTTGTGCATCCACTATAGTTTGGATGGCCAGGTATATACGGTGCTGATATGATCTGTTGCTTTATCCACTTAATGAAATGCAAAAATTACATTTATATCAAATGTTTGCTTGATGCTGAATATGGAACCAGGAAAAAGGGTTGGGGAAAGAAATATTAATTTGAAGTCTGGAGTTAAATATTCTGAATATGCAAAGGAATTTTTTGCATTTTATGATTTCCTGCTAAGCATTCTGTATTTCAAAGATGACGTGTTCTGTTTCATATGCTTAAATAGGATCCGATAATTTCACTTAACCTTTCAATTTCCTTGTACTTGTTTCAGTGATTGAAGAAGGAGAGAGGCCAAGGCCGAAGGTAACCAAGTTTATAAGCGGGGATGAATTAGATGACGATTTTATGACAGATGGTAACCAAAAAGAAAAGTCATCTGGTAATGAAAAATCAAAGAAGCAACTGCAGAGAGTAGTGAACTTTGCAGGGTAGAAACTCGTTTGATCTGATTAGCAATTCATAAAAAAAACCTTTCTTTTTATAGATCAATTTTGTGTTTGTCTTTTTGAAATCTGTTTGATGTACGATTTGAGAATTGTTTGGTTTGTAATGGCGAACTTCTGAAATCTTTTGTCTAAAATTGGCAAAATGTTTAAATATAATTATACTTGACAGATAAACAAAAACTCTCATAGCATATTCAGAGGAGTTGAAATTAAAATTGAAATTTTAGGGCCCTGTTTGTTATAATTGTTTGATTTTAATTTTTTATTTATTAGAAATTTGAAATAGTTTTTAGTTTTTGGTTACTTATTTTTTCAAAATTCTTTTGGTAAGATTATTTTTCTTTTCTTTTGACTAATGATGTGAAAAATTCTTTCAATTATCAAATATCTCCTTTGTTAAGCTATTAAATATTTTTAATAATAATAAAATTAAAAAAATCTAAAATTTGAGACGAGATAATTAAAATTATTTCACATTTTAAATTTTAAATTTCAAAGTTACAGTGATTATTTAACACGAGGTGCTCTGGAGATATCAGATTTATTTTTTATTATATATACGATCAATTGAATAAAAATATAATATTTAAGTATTAAAATAAATAAATACAGATTTATATAGATAGAAAAAATATAATAAATTACTAAATAGAGAAAAGGGAGAAAAAAATTAGAGAATTTTAATACTTGAATATTTTGAATAAATAAATGACATTAGATTTATATAAATAAAGAAAATAATAGTAATAATAACAACATACCAGATTTACGTATAAGATAGAAAAAATAATAATAACATTACTAAATAGATGAAAAGGGAGAAAAAAATTAGAGAGATTTTAATACTTGAATATTTTGAATAAATAAATGACATTAGATTTATATAAAAGTAAGATTAATCAATTAATAACAATAAAATAAAAATTAAATGTTATATTGGATAAATTTTTCTACAAAATAGAAAAAAGGAGGAATTGCATACTAGAATACGCTAAATCACTGATTTGTGGTTGTCATAAAATTTATTTTTTGTTGTAAAAATAATTTTCTAAAAATAAAGTGAAAAGTTAAACAAAGTTTAAATAAACAAATTTTGTTTATTTTAAGGAAAAAAACTGAAAAATAATTAATTTTTAATTTGAAAACAAACTAGTTCCTTAGATGTTGTAACCATTTGTGATAAATTTTTTTCAATTGTTTTTTTTTTTTGTTTTTTTAAGTGAAATTTAGGGAAATTGAAAGGTTTGGACGAGAAAGATTACAAGGAGCAGTGTATATCTTTTATGTTCGTTCGTTAATTTCGGAGTGTATTCCTTTATTTTGCGGTACGCCATTGATGGACTATCGATGCAGTTTTCGAAGCTTAGAGAGAGCTCTCAAGCCTTGTTTTTTTTTTTTTTTTTTTTTTTTTTAAGTGAAATTAAAATGAAAGGTTGACGAAGAGGTCAAGCAGGAACTTTTATTTGTTCTGTATTTTCGGGTTTCTTTAGGTGACGCCATTGTGGACACGATGAGTTTCGGAAGCTTAGAGAACTCTCAACCCTTGTTTTTGACCTCAAATTTCTCTTCTTCCCCTTATTTGTCTCATCTCTCAATACTAACGCATCCCAAAATTAAGGATCTCTTACTCTTCTCTTTACTTACGTTCCCATTTCTCATTTTCATTTTCCATTTTTCTTCTTCATTCTTCTCAAAGGCCCTGGCTTTCATAGCTGAGCTGCAAACATGGTATGACTTTATTTTTTGTTTTATTTTTGATTTTATAATAGTGTTTTTGAATTTTTCAATTGTTATGGTTTCTATATATGATAAAAATGGAAATAGGCGAATTCGGCATCTGGAATGGCTGTGCACGATGACTGTAAGCTCAAGTTTTTGGAACTAAAAGCAAAAAGGAACTACCGGTTCATTACTTTCAAGATTGAAGATCAGCAAGTGATTATAGACAAGCTTGGAACTCCTCAACAGACCTATGACGATTTCACTGCCTCTCTCCCTGCTAATGAGTGTCGCTATGCTGTCTTTGATTTTGATTTCACCACTGATGAGAATTGCCAGAAAAGCAAAATTTTCTTCATTGCTTGGTAATATTAGTTTCTTTTTCTTTTTCCCTTTCTCCAACAATTATATGTACAATGGGCACTCTTTCTATATCTCCCTCCTGCTAATAAAATATGACTGTGTGTAGGTCTCCTGATACTTCAAGGGTGAGAATGAAGATGGTATATGCAAGCTCCAAAGACAGATTCAAGAGAGAACTAGATGGCATTCAGGTTGAGTTGCAAGCTACAGATCCTAGCGAAATGAGTCTGGACATTATAAAAGGGCGAGCACTTTAGACATAAATTTGTTTTTCAGCTTTTTCTGACATATTACATTTTTGTCAGACTCAGCAAATTGTTTTATTTCATTTCAATTTTTGTTGCAATGGGTTTTTGTACTAACCCATCATCTCTAGTTTGATTGGTGTAACGTGCATATTTGTTGCAAGTATGCATACTTGTACTGTTGTTTCTTCTTGAGGCATAATTTTTTATTTTCTTTTTCCTTGACAAATGTAATAGGACTTTAGCTTCTTATACTCATATGAGAATATTTTCCACTTCTTAATTATTTCCCCCATGCTTAACACTTTCGATTGGTCAATAATTAACTGGCCGATCTAAGAAAATGCGACAATAAAACAGTTAGTCTTAAACCCATGATAGCCCAAAAACGGAGGACAAATCCAAGCACCGAGCTCAAGTATTGACCCATCTTGAGTTCTTGATAGAATTTCCCTGATAAGTTATTACAAGACAGGTTTAAGTGATTCAAGAAATGCAGATCGCTCATGCTTACAGGAATTTTGCCTGAAATTGGTTTCTTGGCAAATCATCAACTGGTTCTAGCACTTTCGTATTACCAATATTCTTTTGAAATCTTTCCTGTCTAACGATTTGCTGATAGATTCAAGATCGCAACCCTAACAGACTGGTTATTTCATCTGAAATTTATTCTGATAACTTATCCAAGTTTGTTACCATTGCTAAATTGGTACCATAATTCAATTTCTCTTACTCGTCACTGCAATATAAGAGAGCCGATAGCTTGGATTTTTCATTATGCCCATGGCTGCCTTGTGAGATTGCTGAAACATTTTGGTATTATACCTGATGACCTATCATTTGCAAGGTCCAAGATTTGAAGAGAATGGAGATAACAAAACTCTGAAGGAATTTCACAATTTAACAAACCAAGAACTTTCAGATTCTGAAGGCTAATTCCCATCCATCTTGGTATCTTTCCAACAAAATTATTCACTCCAGGATCATTTATAAATGAAATAAATTTCACATTTTAATTTCAAACTCAATATAAGATAATGGATTTATTTAGGAAAAAATTATCTATGACATTATCCAAGAAAGAACAATACAATTACACAAAGCAAAGGAAAAAAGATACTAAAAAATTTAAGCCTAGACTCTACTAAGACATGTTGGTTTGATTGTCCCAGTATCTTTTTTCCCAGAATTCCACCAGCTTTATTGCATTTGCTTTTCTCCTTAAAATAGCAAGAAGAGAAGGAGGATCATAGGGAGGAGGCATACTACATGGGCTTGTTTCTGCTGGGCCCTTCACCATTGATTCCATCATAAAATTCTTTTCTGATCCATCAGAAGGGCAAGCCATTGTTTCTGAACAGAGTTCAGTAGCATTTTTGGGTATAGTGGGCTTAAATGTCAAAAGCTTAGCATACTCATGCAAGAGATGAAACATATAATCATACACATTATCCATCTTCAAGTCGTTTTGAATGAATCCACTACCTGCTTTTCCAATTGCCTGTGCCTGATTAATCCACAGACAAAAATTTCAGTTCCAATCTTTTTTTGAAGACACAATAGAATAGCTTTTGGATTATTTTATTTACCTTCTGCCTGTGTGTGTTTCCCCAGTCAACTGCAAACTTGATAGATTTACATTTATCATCCTCCTTTATGGGCCAATAGTGTTGAATTGGCATCAAACCTCTTGTGAAGAAATCGTAGTAACGGGGCTTCACTATAAGGGTAACTGAATCACAAGCAAGAATATACTTTTGGCTGACTGACCATGCAGACCCCTCGATATAAATTTTAAACCTGCATCAATTCAATTCTGCATTCGAAAGATGCTAAAGAAAATTTATAACGGGAAAAATTTTATAAACGAACCCCTTTTACCTTACCTGTGAACACATTGATTTGCCAATTCTGATTGCTTGTATCCTTCTTGGGATTCTTTGCCCCAATCCTGCAATCATAAATGAAATCAGAAAATGGGAACCAGAGGTAGAAAAAGGAAATGAAATTACCTGTCTATATACACGAGCATTCCAGTCATGTTCTTCAGAGACATTACATTTGATAAGGTCTTGCCTTGTCTCAGCAACATCAGGATTCCCTTTCCAAAATGCATAAGGTTCCCTTTCCATCCATCTGCTCCTCTCGTTGCCTTCTTTAAGTTCCTTCTCCAAATGCTCCCATGGTTTTATATTTATCTCAGCCCTGCATAATAAATTTTATTATTATGAAATAACCATAGCCATAAAATAAAGGAGAACTCAAAATGTTTTACCATCCCCAAAAAGACCAGTCAGGGAAAACGATATCCAATGTGTCATCGGTCCCACAATAGCGAAACAATGGCGGTGGCGCCGCTGCATCAGGCCCACTGTAATCAACGGACCTAATAACCGGCCAATCAACGCAATCAAACATCATCTCCAAGTCAGGCACTCTCCCTGGGTACTTACGTAGCAACTGTAGGATTCCCCACAGAGTAAAAACATCTCTCGTCTGAAATGCCTTCTCAAACATTTCCAAGTAAGCTCTGCCATTAACTATCGTCAATCTGAAATTCGCTGTCGTTTTAGCTCTCTCCACCATGTCTCTCGTGATACCTGTCCTCGCCCATGGACGTAAATCTTCGTGTATCCAACGGAAGTACTCTGGACAAGTGGGAGGTAATTGACGGTCAGGGTTTTCTGAAGAGGTTGTGGGGTAGTCTCGAGGGCATGTTCCTGTGAGGTTGAATCCAATGCAGTTGAGTGGAACTTCGATTTTGTACGTTTCTGTAGACAGTATTGACTTGTGAGCCGGCCTTCTAGTAATAGCCTACCAAGCAAAGCCCAAGGTGAAAAAGTCAAAACGGGCCTATCAGCTTAGCCCAAAAATTCATAGTATCCCAACAAACTTGCTACGTTTTAAGCTAGTCTATCTTGCATTTCGCTGAGAGGAAGAAAATGTCAAAATTCTCACCGGAAACCGGAAAGTGAGTTAGAAATAACAGCGAACTTACATTAGAAGGAAGGAAGGGCGTGTAGATAATCACACCGATGAGCAAGAAGAGAAGCAACACTAAGGCAATGGAGGATTTCACAGGTGACTGAATGAACGGCTGCCTGATCATCTCTGTGAAATGGCCAAAAACCCTTGATCCCTTCATTAAATTCGTCTGCTGCATGTTCTCTCTCTCCGTGACATGATTATGCCAGACAAAAATGTGTTTTACAGTTTTGAACGTCGAGGTGGATGATTTCTTTGGTGTCCCAAGCTTCGAGTCCTTCCTTTGTATGATTTATTAACAACGAGATTGATACGTCGTACAGGCAGGAAAATATGAAAATGTGCCTATATATGTCGAAATGGAAATAAAATAGAATCATCGAACCATAAAACGTCAAGCCCAGTTTTTTGCTAGGTAGAAAATGGGCCAAATGGCAATTAGACAGGTAATTGCGGACTTGATTGCACCTTACCAACCCATCGATGCGGAGGGTCCATGATGTCCTAAGTGAAAAATAAATCCTATTTAATACTGGATTTGCAAGCTATCTTTCGAAAGAAAATAAAAATATAAAGAATGAAAATTCAAAACTTGAAGAAAAAATCAGCGAAAAATTTCATGAATGGTACATCACTTCTTGTTGGAATTCCAAGTGTGAGTAAAAATTCCAGTTATGTATTCTTTCTACAAATTATTTCATTTTTAAAAAATTGAATTCTTATAAAATTTACGTTTTTAGTACAAATTATTTCATTTTAATAATACCGACCACACATTCGGAGTCTTTTTCTTGATTCTGAAAGAAGGTTATAGTGTTGAATGATTTGGAAAATTATACAATCTTTTAGATGCAATGCACGTTCTACGTTAAGGAAGTTTTATTTAACAATCATATGCACGTTTCCTAAGGCGTGCCAGAAGGGAATAAAAAACAATGCGAAAGGCAAAAATGTGATTATATTTTTTAACTGTATGCATTAAAAATAAGGAATAGTTCAGCACAAATTGGTCTACAACAATACTTAATTATTTTGATTATTCCAACGAAATCTCCCATTTCTCTACTTTTTTATATAATTAATTATATGTGTTCTGCTAAAAATGTGACGTCAACTATATATATATATATATATATTATATGGTACTGATGACTATATAAATATATAACTGAATACAGTGGAAAAGATCAAACAAAAACTCACTCATATTCCTTTTTAAGACTGCATCTTTTGATTATCCCAGTACTTTCTTTCCCATGACTCCACTTGTTTGATTGAATTCTCTTTTCTCCTAAAAATTGCACTAAGAGATGCAGGATCATGAGGAGGGAGAATGGTGCATGGACTTGTTTCTTCAGGACTCTTTACCAAGGATTCTATCATGAACTCCTTCCCTACTCCATTGAATGGGCAAGCCATGGATTCTGAGCACAATTCAATCGCTTTTGGAGGTCTAACGGGTTTGAATGTCAAGAGCTTAGCATACTGATTTAAGAGATGAAACATGTAGTCGTATACATAGTCCATTTTCAATTCTTCCTGAATAAATTTACTAGCTGCTTTTCCAATCTCCTGCGCCTGTCAAAATCCATTAGGAGAATAATTGAATTACAGTCCGATTTTCGAGTCAAACGTACATATCTCAAGCTACACAATTCAGTCCTAAAAATTTTAAGATAAACAATTCAGCTCAGAATTTCATTTACCTTCCGCTTGTGGCTGTTACCCCAGTCAACTGCAAACTTAATAGACCTGCACTTGTCATCATCCTTTATAGGCCAGTAGTGATCAATTGGATTCAAACTTCTCGTGAAGAAGTCGTAGTAATGGGGTTTCACAAGTAAAGTAAGAGAATCACAAGCAAGAATGTATTTGTCGCTGACTGACCATGCGGACCCTTCAATATATATCTTATACCTGTGAGTACATTGGCTTGCCAAGTCTGATTGCTTGTATCCTTCCTGTGATTCTTTAATCCAGTCCTGCAAAACATTTCAGGCTTCTCAATTTGAAATTCCCACTTCCATTAAAGGCTATACTCAATGAAAATTCAAATCATTTACCTGGGCATACACACGAGCATTCCAGTCTTGTTGTTCAGAGACATTACATTTCATAAGATCCTGTCTGGATGCAGCAACTGCAGGATTTCCTTTCCAGTAGGCATAAGGTTCCCTTTCCATCCACCTGGTCTTCTTATTCCCTTCTTTTAGGTCATTCAACAAACGCTCCCATGGCTTTATATTTATCTCAGGCCTTCATAATGAAAATACAAATTAAGAATAGAATTAATAGCCATTAACAATTGTAATATTTTTTTTTCCGTTCTCAATATCAAGACAAAACAGACAGAGATTTGACGAGGAGGAAAAGTCAAAAGTACTTACCATCCCCAAAACGACCAATCCGGAAAAACAATGTCAAATGTGTCATCATCTCCACAGTACCGAAACAAAGGTGGTGGGGCCGTTGCATTGGGCCCACTATAGTCGCTTGATTTGATAACTGGCCAGTCAACGCAATCAAACATCAGCTCCAAATCGGGAACTTTCCCCGGGTACCTCCGTAACAGCTGTATAATCCCCCACAGCGTAAAAACATCCCTAGTCTGAAACGCTTTTTGATATCTCTCTATATAAACTTTGCCTTTCAGGATAACCAATCTAAAATTCGCTGTTCTTCTGGCTCTCTCGAGCATGTCCCTCGTAATCCCAGTGCGAGCCCAAGGACTCAAGTCTTCGTAAATCCAACGGAAGTATTCCGGACATGTTGAAAGAGATCGACGGTCCAGATTTTCTGGAAAGGTCACAGGATAATTTGCGGGACATCTTCGTGTGCGGTTGAAAGCAGCGCAGTGGAGTGGGATCTCGACTACATTTGAGGGCTTTTTGGGAATTTCCGGTGAGATTGTACGCTTTAACAACGGCTCTGGAGCCGAGCCACCGGTCAGAACCTGCAAAGGAGCGGAGCCCAAAAGAAAAACAACCGCAATAGTCAACAACTGCCGATCAACTGTCTCTAGTTCTGATATAAGTAGGACCCATCCACATTAATAATATAAGTAAAGTCAAAATGACTTTACAACACGAGTCACACAGGATGTGTGTTTTTCAAATGAAATATTTTAAAAAAAATTTAAACCGACACCCACGGCGCTGGTTTAGGCCAACGAGTACGTAGTTGCGTACGCGTGTTAAGAGCTGTATTGTTAAAACGACGTGGTGTCGACAATAGTCAGTCATGCCGTCGAATAGGAAATGTCGAACATTGTTCCTTTCGGTAGGTGAGTTTAGTCATTAACTTACAGTAGAGTCGAGGAGGCGCGTGGAAACGAACGCTCCGACGATCAGGAAGAGGAAGACGAGGAAGACAGTGAACAATCGTGCAGGTAACTTCATTGTAGGGCAGATCGACTCTGTTAAATGACAATAAATCCTCGATCCGTCCTGTAAATATCTCTGCAATCTGTACTGCACTCTGATCTCTCTCATTTTCTTTTTCTAGCGTCTGACATGTCAGTGAACAACTTGGCTGATTTCATCAAATGTGTACTCTGGTTTTGGCCGATATCTTTAATGCCTTACAACAAACAGTTGTTTGATAGAAATACGTACATGCAGATGAGTCTCTAAAATTCTAAATAGAGTAATTCTTTCTCATCTGAAACAGATCAGTAAGTACTGACCTCGAATTTTAAACTAGATAGAGATGGAGAAGACGCAAAAATCAAAACAGATCGATTAACGAATAAAAGCAGGGAAATGGTAATAGCTAATTGGCCTATGATAGGAACTATAAAAAGAAAAGGAGAAATTTATTTCCAAAAAAAGGAAAAAGGAAGAAGAAATAAAATTGAAGGTACCATGGAATCAAGAAAAGAAGGTGGGAGAGATCCAAGTGAGGTTGGAATCTTGTGCCAGTACGACGGCTTCCTGACTTTGTTTATTAAGAGGGATTATGAAAATGTAAGTGGCTAAAAGGTGGAGAATGGGAAGTGGACAAAGGAACTTTCCCCTAAGAAACGGAAAGATGAGGAATGCCCCATTAGGAAATTAGAATGCCTTGTTTGGAAATTACTAATTAGAATGTATTTAGTAGGTTGCACATGACCTGTTTGGATCAAACCCAATTCAAATGATTCCGTCCTTATTAACCTAATTCAACGAGTTTAAAAATATAATAATTATTATTGGAATTGGATTAATTATTTTTAAAAGTTAGGGATTATATTGAATTGTGGATTCACTAAATAAATCTGAAGATACAATTCAACCAAACTTATAAATACTACCTATATATATTGATATAAATAACTAATTGAAATATAAAAATTTCATATCTTTAAAATTTGAAAAATTACATTTTTAGAAAAAAACAAGGCAAAAGTTTATGATTTACTACATTAACAATATTTTTTAATTTATATGAAAATTAAATTAAATTTACTTTTATGAGATGATTAAAATGGCTTGTGCGGTAGCAAAATCATATTTGATATATTATTAAAAATTCACAAGTAGAATATATTCGATGCATTGAATTGATTGAAGTGGTAATTAAAAATGGCGAGAGGAATTTAACATTTTCCCTTATTTTGCTTGTCTTTTTCAGCAGAAAAATAAGGAATGCAGCGATGGATCAGAAAAACAAAGTTTGAACTTTGAATAGAGGCCTAGTGTTTTGGGCTTATAAACATCCAAGTACAATATGGACGTCCATAAAAGTAAAACTATTTAAACTAACCGAATTGGTCTACATGAAAATGATAATTATCAGACCCAATTGGCGTGATAATTTTCTTTTGTTTGTTCTCTCCTTTTAAAAAAAAAAAAAAAAGCTTTTGAGTTTGCACAAATTATGATTTTGCTGCACAATGCACAAACAAACTAGCTAGGAATGTTGATAAGATGGCAAAGTGACAGACAGACAGACAGGCAGAGGAATATTTGAGAAGATAGAGACGATATAAGTGTGCAAAGGTCCTACATGTAAACTGGCATTAAGAGACATTTTGGTGCCTTCCATCATTTCATACCACACAAGGCGTGACATTAACCGATTCATAACAATGTTTTGGTTGGCCATCAAAAAAATACTAAATAAAAGAAATTCTCACGCGTGAATATATATACTCTGATTTCATGCTTTTCAATTTCAAAACCCAAGACTGAAACTCTTTTAATGTCCTTCCCCTTTCAACTTCACTCACAGTCTTTTTGCTTATGAATGTCTCTCCATTCTTACTCTATATCATAACTTAACTCTCCATATTTCTCTTCACTACACCAACTTCTAGTATAGCCATTAATACCAACTCTATATTGTGGAAATCAGCTATGTCTGTGAGTTTCTTCTCTCTTGTACATTTTGAAGATTACTCTATACATTCACTTATTAACACTTCTGGAATTGCATGCAGATGGTAGAGGTGAGAGTTCCAAACCTTGACTGTGAGGGTTGTGCTTCAAAGTTGAAGAAAGCTCTCCTCAAGCTCAAAGGTATTTTACTTTCACATTGTGTTTTTCAAAAATATTGTTTTCCTGGAAAATTACATCTAACCTCATTAATCCTTCGCCTTTGAAGAGATGGGTCAAGGCAGGATTGATATAAGGATATATATAAACCAAAAGCCTACTGACACGTTCGGCCAAAAATGAGAAATGTATATGTTACATTTTTTTTTTTTTCTATTTTTATGATATTCAGGAGCAGAAGAAGTGGAAATAGAAATGGAAATACAGAAAATTACGGTGAGAGGTTATGCGTTGGATGAAAAGAAGGTGTTAAAAGCTATTAAACGGGCAGGGAAAGCAGCAGAGCCATGGCCATTTCCTGGATACTCTCATTTTGCTTCGTTTTATAAATATCCAACTTTTATAGCAAACCATTACTACGATAGTTACAGAAATGTAGCTTCAAATGGTGTTCACACTTTCTTCCATACTCCTGCAGTTTATTCTGTTGCTGTGGCTTCCGATGAGGCTATTGCTTCCCTTTTCAGCGATGATAATCCACATGCTTGCACTATTATGTGATGTTGTATTCTTTTTCTTTCTTTTTTATTTTTCTTCCTTGAAATTAATTAATTATATTTTCTGTAATTGTTTTTTGTTTTTAATTCCTTAATTTTGCTTGCTCCGGACTTGTATTTGTTATATCAGAGATCTCTTGAGATGTGTATTTCGAGTGTCCATTTTATTACAGATATAAACATTATATTAAAAGTGTATTTAATTATATTATATGATCACATTCAATGGAATTTAAATTTTTATAAATCCATTATATTTTTTTATTTTAAAAAACTTTCTGCATAACTGAAAATTATTAATATGGTCAAATATTTTCCATATTGAAAAAAAAAAAAAGATTGCGCATCTAATCAAATCTTGAAGCCATCAAAACAAACATTTATCAAAGAATAATTAATAGCAGTGCCTAGAACCTGTTGACCGATGGAATTGGAATATTCAAAATCTTCATTATCTTCAATGATGTCAATTTTTTCAATGGAGAAAATCTGGAAAAGAAAAAAGAACGGTAGCAAAGGAAGATCATAAGTTTTCTCCTAAAGCAAATAGTCAGTATTCATAGGTAATTCAAACTCTATTTTCTTCTCCATGTCGAATCTTTTATCTCAATATTAGAAACCGCCTAATCTAGCTCAGGCTCCAGCAACTAAGCCATTCCATGTATACTAGAGACAGTTTGATATTAATAAACTGCATTTTACACTATTGAAATAGTATGCTTCTCTTATTCCTAATTAATTATTGGTTGTTAGAAATATATATACCAAATTTGAATAAATTACATTTTAAATTCACATATATGCCATATCTTAAAATTTCTGACAATCAAGTGGCTCAAATTTGTCCATCATGCAAACATTAGCCTTTGTCAAAAAGAGGGCCATATGGCCACATACTCTATATAAGAAAAGCATCCACCGCCACCTGTAGGGTGTATAATAACAACTAGTAATCTGGTTTCCCTTTTAAAAAAGGCCATTGATTTCCAAAATTTCATTTCATTTTTTCCTCTTTTTATAAACTTCCTTCGAAGTTCATATTATTTTCCTCTTCTAATGGCTCAGGTAACCTCTCCTTAATTTCTTTATCTTCCCCTTTGGATATTGCTTAATTCTGTTTGCTTTCAGTCTTTTGTTTTATTCAAATCTTCCATAACCGATATCTTTTCTGAATTATTTTTGTAGCAGAAGGTGGTTTTGAAGGTGTTGATCATGACTGATGAAAAGACTAAGCAGAAGGCAATAGAAGCTGCTGCTGATATTTATGGTACAATTTTTCTTTGATTTCCGATAGCTATTACAAATTTTATTTTCTTTTAGCCCAGATAATGGATATACAGATTTTTTGGATTTGAATTTTCTTTTGATGTTAGAAAATTCATTTAATAACAGGAGTTGATTCGATTGCTGCGGAACTGAAAGATCAAAAGCTAACAGTGATAGGACAGATGGATACAGTGGCAGTGGCAAAGAAGTTGAAGAAAGTAGGGAAAGTAGAGATAATATCAGTTGGGCCTGCTAAAGAAGAAAAGAAAGAAGAGAAAAAAGAAGAGAAGAAAGAGGAAAAGAAAGAAGAAAAGAAGGAAGAAAAGAAAGAAGAGAAGAAAGAAGAGAAAAAGTAATGATCAATTCAACCACAAAATTCTCTCCCTGCAATACAATCCTGCATCATCATCATCATCATCTTTCTGCTTAAAAATGGAAAAAGGTTTTTCCATTTTAATTAATTAAATTTCTTGATTTTCTTAACTGTGATTTTGAAGAATCTATGCTGTACCAAATATATTTCAGCAAATAGTACAAGAAGGTTAGTGCGAGACTGCTGTGTCCTACTGTCCTGCATGTTTTCACATGCTCTCTTCTACTGTGCCTTTGTCCATTTTCACTTTTTCTTTTTCTTTTTTTTTAGCAACATATATTTAAAGAATTTATCCTTTTTATTAGGATTTTTTTAGCTTAAAATCACAATTTCATTACGCTTTAATGGTACTTAATGCATGACAGAGGAATCAGACTGTTATAAGCTTAATAACCAGTATTAAGTTTTAGAAAATTATACTATCAAAATAAATTAAATGCATTAACAATAACTGTTTTTATTTATTTTTATGTAAGTTGGACCAAATAAGAAAATCAGGATTTTGTCAATTAGTGAACATGTTTCCTCCTTCAATTTGTTGGAGGGTCACTTTTGTCACAAGCAACATTTTGAAATTGGCTCAAATCTCATTATTCTTAATTATTATAAACTTCAAAGCCACAAATTAGGCAGATTTGTGTTGATTGAAAGCAACTAATCACAATTACTTATCATTTTAGATAAAAAAATTTTTTGAATTTTCCCAATTCGATCCATTATTTTCTTCAAAAAAACTCTTTGATGTTGTTTTACATATTTTATTTTCCAGTGGAACTTTTTTTTTTATTATTAGGCGGGCTACTCAACGTGATTAATTCTTCTCTTTAACTCATTAAATTGATAAAAATATCAACGTGATTAATTCTTCTCTTTTAACTCATTAAATTGATAAAAATTCTTCTCTTTAACTCATTAAATTGATAAAAATATCAACGTGATTAATTCTTCTCTTTTAACTCATTAAATTGATAAAAATTCTTCTCTTTAACTCATTAAATTGATAAAAATATCAACGTGATTAATTCTTCTCTTTTAACTCATTAAATTGATAAAAATTCTTCTCTTTAACTCATTAAATTGATAAAAATATCAACGTGATTAATTCTTCTCTTTTAACTCATTAAATTGATAAAAATTCTTCTCTTTAACTCATTAAATTGATAAAAATATCAACGTGATTAATTCTTCTCTTTTAACTCATTAAATTGATAAAAATTCTTCTCTTTAACTCATTAAATTGATAAAAATATCAACGTGATTAATTCTTCTCTTTTAACTCATTAAATTGATAAAAATTCTTCTCTTTAACTCATTAAATTGATAAAAATATCAACGTGATTAATTCTTCTCTTTTAACTCATTAAATTAAACCATATTTTGGAGCTTATGAAATGCTTGGGTGGGAATGACGAGAAATGTAAAAGTATGGACTAATTTTCAAATTCTTGGCCACTGAATGCATGATTTCTATTCCCCTCCAAGCAAAATGACAAAAAGATAAAAATAACAATATCAGGGACTGATGGATAGAAGACTTGCGGCACTACTAAGAGAACCCCATCTTCTTTTTCTTTTGGCATCACGATTCACGAGGCATAATATACAAGTATTTTCTTTTCTTTTGCCATGTCATTTATCCATGTCAGCAGCATACGTCTCATATTCATGGTCTTTTGTACCACGTCATCCCCGTACACCCATAGTCATTTTGGAGTGCCAAATCAGCCCATGCTATACCATAAATGAAACGAAACAAAAAAGATAGTGGAAAAGTAATTCCATCAGCTTCCTTTTGTTATGGTAGCAGACATTTTTGAGGCTACGAGACCAAAACTATAAACTGAAGCAGCTTACGAGCTCAGCTTTGGACCTTCAGAGACCAAGATGAAGCTTTCAGATTCCACTTCTGACTTCAAATGAAACGGGAACCTGCACCAGATATCGGAAGAATCAAAGAAAAGTTATTTTAACTTCAGCATCTCTCCCAAATGCTGTCTCACTTTAGCAAGTAAAGAAATTTACATGCCCGACAAAAGTATTTCTTTGTCCCAAATCAATCTCGCAAGTGGCAATATTAAGATAATACTTATCAGTCACTTGAAGAAGCGTAAATGCAAGATGGGGTTACTAAAAGATCCGAGCAACAAATTGGCAAACTTAATTAACACTAGAAAGGCAGGTATTTATTTGGAAAAACAACAACTAAACCTTAGTCCCAAACTAGTTAGGGGTTTTTTTGGAAAAAAAATTATCAAAATATGGGTGTCTGCATATGACACAGGGATGTAATAGCTAATAACTAACATTGCGGGGGAGGATGGTACTACAAAGTCAATTGTCAACATTTTTCAATAATGGCAGCTTAGAGAAGAAGAGCTTGTCCTTACCATGCTCAGTTCCTTAGCTTCCCCATACGTGCTGACCACAAACCTTTTCACACAGCCCATGGGAAAATTAGAATGTTCCTTCAGTTGCTTTCACAGAGTTCAAGTGCAGAATTTGGAACCTAGGATTCCATCTCCCAAAAATCAAAAGATCTCCATTTATCATAGTTCTCAGATTCAAAATAACATGAACAGGCATTCATAGATCCTCTTAGCCCCTGCTCACATTTCACAGTGGAAAATGGGGCAGAAGTATTCCACTCCCAAAATCTCAACCTCAAAACAGATAAATACTAATTGTGAAAAATTCTCAAAGTCGATCACATAATGACAACAGCAAATCATTACTGATCCATAAAAAGACGTAATATCCAAGTAGAAGAAGAATCAACAAAGGAATACTTTAAAGAAAAATAAAAGTAATTAATAGAAGAAATACTGAAAAAGCACAGAAATCCATAAACAATGGAGAAAAGAGATTTGGCAGTTATCGTGCTGAAGTTTAGAAACAACTTACAAAATTCAATTATGCAACCAACCAGCCAAACTGCAGCAAAAGGAGGCTTATGATCTAGATTGTTCAAACACCCCACTTTTGCACTTCTCAAAGGAGATAGATCACGTTGATGGCATGCCAAAGTGCATCCTTAAACATTCAATTGCGAACTTTTACCTGCATTTCTTGACCTTTCTAGTACGTAACTACACACTAAAAAATAAAATTATGATCTAATGACAGAAATCTAGCTCATTAAGAATCGGGCATAAAGCTGACAAATGGCAACAGTATTTAATAACTGTTAGCAGCCTCCACTAGCAGGTATTATGTACCAGTCAGGGTAGAATTAAAACTAAAAATAAAAATAGTAACAAAAGCAATGTATCTTAAACTTTTCCCAGGGGTCTGCATAACCCATATTATTACTTTTAATATTTCACATGAAGTGGCAATGCCAAAAAAGTTTAACATTGTTTCTGTAATGGTATTGTTTCCTAATCAAAAGGCTAAACAATTTTCTACGTGTACAATGCATTGGAAGAAGTGGTTTGGTGGATTCTAGAAGAACAGAAATTATCTAAATGCTTCAAAAGAGCACTCACTTTCTCTAGATATTTATCAATTCATGCCAATTGGTTTATTGCTTAATTTGAAAGCAACTGTTCCATCAATACCTCTGAAGAAAATCACCAAAAATGCACAACATAATAGTAGAATTTCAAAATTCATTTCCAGTAACAAACAACTTTATCTTCAGCTGGTGGAGATTTACTGATACAATTAATCAAATCATCATGATGAAAGATGTTAAGGTCAGAAACATTCTGATGACTAAGATATCATACCTCAGTACAGTTAGTACACAGGAATTTGGACTGCAAAGCAAGAGCTTTATGAGAAGTAGATGATACACCCAACTACAGCTTACTAGTTGCTCCACATGAATTCTCAACGAATCACTTTACTTGGGGAAGGCAGAAGGTGGCTTTCTATTGTATCCCAATTACACTGCATGAGAAAGAATCAACAACGTGAAGAAGCTATGCTTAATTTACCCTTTCTCCTCAACATCAATTAAGCAGCAGCTACAAGGTGTCAACCTGAGCCAAATCTCTGAGCATTATACAGTTCAAATTCCCTGTAATTGCTTAGCAAATTTATATCCCTTCAACTTAAATACGATGGATGTATTGCCCCTTCTCCTTCATCTGTTTTATTACTTCATGAGCTTCAGAAAGCTTTCCAGCATTACGCAAATTGCTCACTAAGGTACTGTACACAAGAAAATTGGGATTACATCCTCTAGATTCCATTTTCTCGAGCATGGAGCAGGCCTCCTCAAACTTCCCTTCATTACATAGTCCACGAATCAGTGAATTATAGGTAAATACATTGGGCAACTGCCCCCTGTCAGTCATCTCATCAAACATTGCCTGAGCCTTTTCAAGCTGCCTTGCCTCTACGTATCCTGTGATCATTACAGTGTAACAAACAACATCTGGTTTACATCCATTTTTTATCATCTCATCAAAGAAATCCTTGCAGGCATCTAAATTCCCAGCCCTACTCAATCCATCTATCAATGTAGTGAAGTGAAGGACGCTAGGATCAAAACCAACTTTCTTCATATAAATCAAAAGCTTAGCAGCTTCAACTGGTTTATTCCCTTTACCGAGAACATGGAGAAATATGTTATAAGTATGAAAATCTGGGGACAATCCACTACTACACATTTCATCAACCAATTTATAAAATTGATGCAACTTCCTCAATCTAAACTTTGCACACATAATAATATTGTAAGTCAAAATATCTGGAGAATGACCATCAACTAACATTAGTTGATACACCCACTCAATCAACTTGTACTGATGAATTGTAAGAAGTGAATGTAGGATTGCATTGTAAGAGTGTTTGAAAGGCCTATAATTGAATTTTTTTGATTTAATGAATCTCTCAACCACATTCCTAGCCAAACCTGCCTCGTCACAGGTACATATCAATAAGTTAAACGTCTGTGCTGTAGTTGGGTATCCATTCTCAATCATCTCATCAAGCAATCTCCACATTGCTTTAAATTCATCACAATCAGCAAATATCTTCATTATTAAATGATATGCATTTACTGTGTGACTGTAATTTTTCTGCTGACCAGACCACACGAAAAACTTATATCCTAATTTTGCACACCTTGTTTTATTCTCATCGCTTATGTTCTTCAAAATTCCCACAAGGACTTCTCTCACAAGAAGCCCCGAAACCCTTACATGCAACTCACTTAGAGCTGTTTTTGCATCGAATCCAGGGCCATCTCGTCGTAGAATGTCAATAATTCTTGCAGCATCGGCCCTAACATTCTGAAAAAAGCGCAACCGCTGAGATAAATGATCCTCATTTCGGCTTCCATATCCATATGAATTGAAATCTGGACTTCTCCATTCTCTCATCAAGGTTTCCTCAATGTGTAGGAACCCATTATCATTTGTATCACTATCAAAACTATAGTCACATAATTTTCTCGAAATGAAAGAAATATATGAAAATTTATGAACCATCCTTGCACTAAAAAGAGAAACAGTGTTCATTTTTCGAATCTATTGAACCCATTATATCTGTAAAGGTGCAGTACTGAATTGATCCAATAAACCCACCAACATATTGGCATTTATAAATGCACAGAGCATAAAAGTCCGTGCGAAATCGAATTGAGAGGTGCCCATTAAATAAAGATAACCCAGTCGCATAAAAGCTTTATCCGAACCAGATTGAGTAAAGATACCGCTTGATAGTTTCAACCAAAATGACCAAAAAAGATTTTCAAGAAATTGGCAGACTGAGAAATTACCTGGGTCTTAGCGGTTTGTTACTCATCCAACGCTGTTAAGTTCATCCAGGTGCTGCATAGGGTTTTTGTTTCAGCAAGGGTTTTGTTGCAAGTGTAAGGAGGACAAGCAAAAACCCCAGTTCAGAGAGAGGCTTGAGGACGGCAATCCGGTGTTCTCACGGAACATGATAATTACTGATGAAAGCTAAACATAAATTGCCACGTAACTGATTGTAGCGAGTCACCGAGTTGAGTGAAGAAATATAGCTTCTTTTTCAACTGACTTTTTTTTTTTTTTTTTTTTCGGCCAATCCGGTGTTCTCACGGAAACATTGATAATTACTTGATGAAAGCTTAAACATAAATTGCCACGTTAACTGATTGTAGCGAGTCCACCGAGTGACGTGAAGAAATTATTAGCTTCTTTTTCAACTGACTTTTTTTTTTTTTTTTTTTTTTAAGCGGATTATCGTGCCGAGGGCAAGGGCGTCCATTTACGAAATTGTGTTGGGAACATCAATGGAGTCTCTTTTTTTTTTTTTTTTTTTTTTAAGCGATTATCGAGGGCAAGGGCGTCCATTTACGAAATTGTGTGGGAACATCAATGGAGTCTCATTATAACGGGACCATGGGAGGATCTTAATCCTATTTACAAACAGGTTAGAGACTTTGGGCCCATTGACATAACTTTGATCCATATTCAATTACTGGCCTAAATCTTTTTTTAGCCGGCCCAAACAGGTGACTGGCTGTATCAATTTTTACATTTTTGAATTGATAATTTTAAGCTTTCATTATTTTGATTAAGACTCGTTTTTATAATTTCCGGTGTCCCTATTGACTGTCATTATTAATTTTATTAAAAGCTCTTTAAGTGATAAGATATACTGAGTTGAGCAAATGATTCCTATAAAATTAGAGGAAATCACTTATCACTCGGGATTTATAATATTAAAACGCTAGAAAAACAAAATTTTCAAAATTAGCTAGCAAAATAATAAAAGACATTAACTAGCTTATAGAGCAAATTTGAAAAAAAAAAAAAAGAATTTGAGCTCGAGATCAGGCCAATCCTATACATTGTTCCTATCATCGGTAATCACAACTCCAAGATGAAATTAGGTTAAAATAATAATAATAATAATAATAATATGACTTGCATGAACTCAGAGCCGCCGACCATGCATCATTTTTTCTTTCAAATTGCATTTGTATACATTTTGATACAGTAATAGTAAAAAGTAAAAACCTTTAGTCAATAGTAATAGTAAAAAATCTTTTGGGTCCGTTGAGCTGGTTTTCCAACGAATAAAAAGAAATTAGTAAAAAATCCTTTTCCAAATTCTTACAAAAAACCTATACCTTTTTTTCAGTTGAAAAAGTTATGGAAAATTTATCCCCACTAAAATTAAAATCAATTATGTATTACAAATTAGGAATTATCTCATAATTTGAAACAAATAAACATTAGTTTTTATATATTCAACATAAATAGATATATAAAATTAAAATAAAAAATTTCAAACCTTAAAAGGGTTATCCTTCATACTTGATAATCGAAATTCAAATATTGCAATAACGTGAAAATTGAACATTTGAATACTAAGCAGTAAGCTAATTCCGGCTTCGATATTTAATTAATACGAAACATTCAACAATTTATAATGTGGATTGTAATCAATTTCTCAAATTAAACAAAACTACCATTTCTCGTTTTAATAAAACCAAATACATTAAATTTAGCTGCTTCTTTATACAGAGAGTGAAAAATCAAATTGATCTCTTTATTTATATAAAGAGTGAATGAGTGAAAAAAAAAATTCAAAACATGCTGTACAACTCGCACTGTTAAACTTGACTTAGAAAATACTCAGCAGCATTGACTTTCGTATCACAATATTTACAGGAGGGATTTTTATAAAGAGAACAATCTTAAATGTTATGGCATAATACGGTATAAAATAATTGGCAAGAGAGATGCTGGAATACAAAAGAAGTCACAATTTTGCATTACTTGTTATTTCATAAAATATATACTAACATTGGTACTTAATGAAGGAAACCAACTTAAAATCCAAGCCAACTGTAACAGAGAATCAAGAACATCTGGTCAAACGACAGCCCGTTTATCTTCATCCATGCTAATTATCAAACTAGATTTGTAGTTACAGAACAAACAAGAAAATGTCAAACATCCTTTTATGTATATATAAAAACACAACACCACATACAAGCAGACACGTTGCCCATTCAAAGTTTTTATTCACACAAGCAGCAAAATTCACTCCCACATAAAACCAACTGAACACTCTTTTCTGTAAATGAACATGTTCAATTTCCGGATTCCTGAAGTCTCCTCTCCCCTGTTTCATCTCCACTAAACACTGTAGTGCCTGAACCAAACACCAACACGGTTCAAATAAAACTAATTAATATTATAAATTTATAGATTAATTCGAAAGTAAAATTTAAAGATTTTACCGGTTGTGGAACCTCGAGTCTCTGTGCCTTTTCCAAAGACTGAACCAACAACTCCTTTCAGCTTATCCACCATAGCACTACCAGCATTATGCACAGAACTTGGATCCACCCTTTCATCAGAATTCTCTTCTGTAATCGCCAATTGTTTCTTGACCTTCTCTGACTCTGTCACTTTACCCGTTGGCTTATTTTTATTTCCGTTCTCATTCTCCTCTGCCTTTGGCTTGTGTAAGGCTTCTGATATCACTTCAGATAAGGCCTTATCTTCCTCTCCAGGCTTCAATTTCTCTGCTAAATAGTTTTTCATTGACACTCCTTTATCTTGCCCTTTGACTTTGCTTTCTTCTTCATTTGCAGTTTCAGTGCCCATTCCAGGCACTTTTGATATCATGTTGCTCCCTGTCTCAGCAACTTTCTCATAAACGGGACTGATTTTCTCTGTTACAGTCGCTGCTATTTTCTTCCCATATTCCACCGGTGACGTTGCTTTAGCATGCTCTTCTCCTTCATGTTCTTTATTATCGCCTTTCTCTCCATATCCAAGCTTGGAAGCTACAACATTCTTTGCGGAGATTGCTTTATCTGAGATTGCAGAGGATATTTTCTCCGTATAGCTGCCCTGTTTTGATGTTTTCTCAGCTGCATCATCATTGGAAGTTTTTGAAACTGATTTAGGGCTCTCTTGGGAGGTTATGGGTATCGGTGAAGTTGGTCCTGGAGAGAATTGATCATGGCTTCCTGTAGGGAAGATAGACTGATCTTCAGCTTCTGGTTTTGGTTCATCATGTATATTTACTTCCTTGAAAGAACGAACAATTGGAGTAACATCTATTTCTTTACCTCCTGCATCAATTAAGGCATTAGCATTTAGTGTTAACAATCCAAGTTTTCTTGCATTATTTAACGACATACAAATGCATACCTGCGCCAGTTGGATCAGCGACTTTTGTCTGATAATTGGAAGGAATATAATCTTCAGGTCTATCTTTAGGGGCGTCAGGATCCTCCTCCAAATCCATTTGTCCTTCCAAATGAACTTCTGGTAGTCCTCGAATTGCCTCTTGTTCTCTAGCGAAACTTTCAACCGGATCAACACTTTTTGTTTGTTCCACAATTCCAGGTGTAATAGATGCAGGTTTATTTAGTAGAGCATGAGGCACTTCCTTAACATCACTTGTCTTCCCAACAGCGAGTTTACGTCCTTGATCTTCTTCTTGAATAGGAAAAGAGCTACGTACTGAATCAGTGACTTTGGCTTTATTAGAATCTCTTGTTTCTACTGAATCACCTAACTTCTCCACTTGCAAAGGCAAAGAGCTCCTAATAACTGCGGACTCGAATGCTGAAGATAGATTTAACCAATTTAAAGAAACTATTTAAAAAATGATTCATATTCCTAATATTTGTCCTTAAAAATTACGATCAAGGGCAAAGGCTTTCAAAAATTACTTGTAAAGTTGTAATTAATTTAAGTATCATACCTGATCCTCCATGAGTTTCAGGGTCCATAACCATTTCTTCATCCTCTTCCTCATCATCTTCCTCCTCTAGGTCGTGATCATCAGGCACATGATGACCTTCATGCTGCAAATGATCCTGTTCATAACCTTGACCGTGGCCATGTAATTTTAGCGTGTCTTTTATTTTCTTGGCTTTTGCCTTCACCTTCTTCAAAACGGACTTCTTCTCATTGTGATGGTCGTCTTCCCCTTCTGGAACCAAAATATTAAAGCAAGAAAAGAAGCATATCACGTTAATTATTTGCCAGAACATACAATTAACTGAAGCCCAATATCTCGCTTATAAAAATGAGGGAGCAAGGTCCTTACCAGCGTGGAATGCAGCATTCCGGGGTTCTTGGTCGTAACCATAACCTTGTGGGCGTTCTATTTGAGAATCCATGTTGGAAAGAAGACCGAAAGGAACAAGATACTTCTTTAACGGTTACTCGAAGAAGACAGAATTAAGTACAGTGTGATCACACAACACAAAAATAATGAAAATTGTAGTAATATTTATAGAAGGATTGGATTTGCCACTTTTGCATGGCGGTGGATACTTGGAGAGGTGACACGTTTATAATAACAGACACATCCCCATTTCCTGACACGTAATCATATAGCAGCTTGTACACGCGGAGAAATGTCATGATGGGTTTGGATAATCTCTATCAAAAAGGTTGCTAGATATTGAAAAGAATGAACAGTTTTTAATTATATCTATCTAATATATGACTGGAGACTGATAGACACAAGAACACGGCGTACACGCATTACAGAGAACTATGAATGATGATGGTGAAATTGTGGTCCTGCGATTACTCGGTGTGGAAACAAAAAATGCCAAATTTAATGTCAGGGCGGGAATCGATTGCAGTCCATTTTCATATTGCAGAGTAGTGCTACTGAGTTGCATAAGTATATGGAATTAGACCAAAAAATAGAAAATTTCAAAAGAACAGAATAGGAAAGTTAAAAACAAAAACACTCGCCGTTGCCGGGGATCGAACCCGGGTCACCCGCGTGACAGGCGGGTATACTTACCACTATACTACAACGACTTGATGATTTTAATCACTTTCTCAACATATATATAACTATTTAGTCGTTTGTCCAACAAAGGCGACATACGACTTTGTCGTTGATTTTTGTTTTGTATTTATTTTAAATTAAAGACGGGAAATGATGGGTCCTGTCCTGTCAAGTTAGACACTGCTTTATTTGCCATTGTGCTTTGCGATGTGCCAACACGGAACCAATAAGCTAAACGTTGTCGTATCTTCCTGCGAGAAATTGAATATCTCGCCGTCGATCTCTCATCTTAACTTCATAACTTGTGATTTGTGAGCCAGGAAAACGTATAAGAAATGAAACAAATCCGTAGGCGCCAATTTTAATTTTCCTTTTAAAAGACCAGTCCGTTAGTCATCTTTCCCTCTTTTTTCTAAACGAAATATCTCTGAGTTTCATCAGAAATGCGAACTCGATTTCTCAACATTGACTACTTCACCTCCCTCCAGTCTCCCAGCGAAACCCTAAGTTTCCTCAATCTCCCAATCCCTCGCCTCCCTCCTTCCCGTCTCCCTAACTTCGAAGAACATTTGTTCCGGTTTGATCCCGAACCAAACATCTCTCCTAAGATCGGAAGATTGCCGATTGAAGCGGCTCTCTCTAAGTTTATATCAGAAGTTACGCCTCAAAAAATTGATGTTGATTATGGAGGTTTCGAGGATCATCAACCTCGAAATGCAGAAGTTTGTGCCGGTCAGCAGTGGAGGTTTAGCTCTGGAACTAACCAGGTCGAATGCTCCAAGGTGGTTGAATTTAAAATTTTCTGTTAACATTACTGTATATTTCTTTTTTTTGAAAAAAAAAAATCGTTTATTATGAACATGTTTAATATCATTAAACACATTTTTTATTTTTGGATAGGCTTTATTTTATTATGAACTTGTTTAATATCTCCATTCAGATTTGAGAATGGAGGCCATTTTTGCCCCTTTTTGGGTGGTGTATTCCTTTTACTTCAAGTATTCATTGTTTAATCCTAAAATGACGAAGTATTCATGATTTAAATTGCTAAGATTAGATATTAGAGGTGAAACAGTAAGTTCAGTCAGCTTAGTTGTAAATTGTCTTAAATATTTGATACATATTCATTTACTACGAAATCACAGTTGAATCCACCGTAGGAACCAATGGCAGCAGTCACAGAATGACCTTTTTTTCTACTGGAAGAGTTTAAGAAAAAAAATATGATTCAGACTTCTTTTTTTTTTTTTTTTAAATTTTTTTGGCATCATTTTAAACATCTATAATTGGTTATCTCTTAACTTAGACAAATTTGAATTGTTTGATTAATAGGATGGTTCACGCACTGATGGCCGGCTAATACTTGCGACTGTTGAACCTGCATTATGGAAATTAAGTTGAAGTGGTTATAATATTGCTTGAGTTAGTATCAATCCTCTTTTTTCCTTTCACTCTTCTGTTTTAACTTCAGGCAGAAGCCGAGGCTTTTTATGAAGACAACGAAGATAGGATCCAAACAGCATATGGATGTGAAGCTCTGGAGGTTTAATTTCAGATGTCTTGATTCATTTATTTTTTAGTTTTTGTCTGTTTGTTGTTTTCCCTCAAGTCCCGGCTGTCATCGCAGAAAGATAATGAGAGGATCGTAGATGAACACATACGCAGGTTTGAGTTCATCCAATTTGAAATACCAGAGCTTGATGAATTCCCGGTAAAATTAAACTCCATGGCGTTCAATAAGATCTGCATTTCTGACAAAATTCTGTTCTCATGAATTATGTTTGATGTAATTTCCTAGGAACAAGTTTGCTTTTCTGAAGAGGGCATGCAAATTCTCTCAGAAGTTCCAGACATTGAGAATGATCCAGTAAGTGGCTTGGACATCTTGTACAACTCGTATTCTTTATATGATAATATACTAGAAGGTGATTATGGTCTCATTTTTCTTAGCCTTGTTTGTATTCAATAAAAGACAAACTTGTTAAGCAGTCAATAAAAATACAATTTACCCTGAGATATTCCAATTTTGAAAGTTTAGCCTAGTCTGCTCATTTAAGTTTCTGAAAGAATACAATGTTTATTTATCTCTTCATTCACTACAGTAACCTTCTGCCTTTGCTTTCTTATATACTTGGGTTTTTGATAGCAGGATTTTTTTGGTTCAATGTTTAGAGAATCCCCTAGGTTTTACTTTTTGGTTTTCCTAGGTGCTTATGTTCCTTGTAATGATAATTCATTCAGTCTATTTGTGTTTTTAAATCCAGAATTTTCTCTGTCCGGGGCCTAAAGTGCAGTGTTTTGACAAGGTTCAAGAATCACTTTATTCAGTTGAACATGTTACTTTAGAATTTGACATGGACGACAAAAAGGCTTGTATGTTGGAAGATGATGATTCTGGTCAAGAGCAAATGAACTTCAATAATAACTCGTTTCCTCTTTTGGAAGTGGATGATGTAAGTCTCAGAGTTTTCACAAACCTGTCTGTAGAAGATGAACTTTTGACATTTCTTGAAAATATAAATTCTAAATGGGATCAAAAGGATAACCCTCTTATTGATGGGATAGAGTTATTGAGTTCTATGCAATATGATGTCTTGAAGTTCCTTTCAAACCATTGTATATTAAAGCAGTGTATTGAATCTGAGCTGGCATCCATGGATACAGACCTGGGAATGGACATTATAAGTTTGGTGGAAAATGACTCTGCAAATTGCTTCTTTGCAATAAGCCCACTTGTTTTTCAGGAATTCGAATTCCTTGAATTAGACTCGTCTCAAATTTACGGAGTCTTCTTTAACATGCAAAAAACAGATGAACCAGTATCATATGACTGCATGTACAGAGAGGACAAGAAGTTTAAGAATTTCAATGAATTGATTGCTAGTTGTGAGCTAGCTATGGTGGATGACACATTTAAATCAATGCCTGTACCTATTCTTTCTGACCCTGACAAGATAAGGTCATTGCATACCATTTTTGAGGAAATACTAGCTGAACTAAAGCCAGAACTTCTTTCTGCATCTGATGGGATTTACTTGGATTGGCATCTATTGGAAAAAGATAAATGCAGTAGTAAGATTTTTTCCTTCTATCAGAATGTGTTGGAGGAGTTGGATTCGCACAGCATTGATCTTGATCTGGAATCTTTTAATAAGGGTAAGGGGTTGATAGATTTTGTTTTACTGCATGATGCTTTGGACGGGCCAAAAGTCAAAGAATATGAGGAGTCACTTAATATGTTTCCCGAAGACATTATGAATGATCAGCTTATAGGAGTTGCTTCAAGGGAGTCGTTGGATGATAGAAGCCTGAAATCAGGAATTGTGGAACATCCAGCTATAGAAAATGCTGAGAAGGCAACATTGTTATTCAAATCTATGTCGCAATTTAATGACCTTGATTTTTTCTTGAATCCGGGGAAAGCCACTGGTGGGGGAAAAAGTGAATCCGCAGTCAAGGCACCTGTTACTAATGCTATATCTCCAAAGGTAAATTTCTTCACTGATATGTTGGGGATGAAGGCTGACTTTTCTTATAATAACTTGACTGTTGGTGATTTTGTTATATCAGTTATAAGTTTTCCCTAGGAGAAATCAGTTGCATGACGTTGTACCTAACATTCTTTTTATTTTTCATGTCTAAATACAAATAGAAGAAAAGTCAACATTACAGAATTTGTAATCACATCTCCATATATGTTTTCCCGGGTTAGCATCGCAATAAAATGCCGGAGAAATATTTCTGTTCTAATAAAATCAACTATCTTTGCCTAATATTTTGGGTTCTTTCATATGTTTGTTTAATTACCGTTTTACAAGTATAATTGCAAGTAAAACTACATTTGACTCTAAAATTTTCCTAGGAAGGAGGATATCATTCTGTCTTATCCGTGGGTGAAAATATGGATGGTAAGAAGTTGAAGGAAATGCGCAGTTTTCTGCCTACTGAGCGCAAACATAATGCACAAACTTCAGAAGCTGCAGGTAAAGTAGAAGCTTGCTGTATGCCTATGGCTGTTCCAAATATATCATACGCAATGAAACCTGAGCAGACTCAAGGAGACATGCTGTCTTTCCCTGAGATCATAATTGTTGTGAATACTCAAACTCTTGACAAGGAAATGATAGTGTCCAGAAGAAGCACATACCAAAAAATTCTTGCAATGGAGAAAGAAGGATTGCAAGTTGTAGAACGTGATTTAAATCTGCCAGTGGATGTTGTGATTATGTCTTCTATTTGCTTGGTTTGGTATGACTGGAAAAATATTAGAATGAAGGCAACTGCTGTAGATGAAGCATCTTCCTGCTTGCCATTGTGTATTGAGAATATTGCTACAAATGTTTTGACATTGTTGAGTTTCACTTTCAGCTGCTGCATTCTGGTAACTTCTGTCTCACGTTCACTAGTTATGGTTTTACCTATGATTCTCCATCTGTTCTAGACAGAGTAATGCCATCTGAAGTAGTATGAAGTTTGTGCATTTCTCTCTGGGTTTCTTAGTATATGTTGAACTGGCAAATTTTGAACTTTTTATTGAATTCATAGCTAGGCTCTAATAAGGTCTATCTTAATATTGTTGAAACACATTATAATTACATTTTTTTTTTTTTTTTTTTTTTTTTTTGTAAAACCAATTCCTTCAACTTTCTCTGATATTTTTTTTTTTTTTTTTTTGTAAAACCAATTCCTTCAACTTCTCTATACCATGTATAAAAATTTCTCTATTCTAAGGAGCTGGGAACACTAACTTTGGGAGTATGGCTGCTCACGAGGCAATGCCAAAAAGAATTTCGCCAAACTGGATTCATATTTCAATGATCATGGTCTATGGTTATTTTTCTGTTTGCTTCAACAAATTTTCTGTTTTTAACACAGGCAAAAATTAAACTGTTGCTTTTTCATCATAATATTTAGAATTTATTTTAGATCTACAAACCATATTATGGCAAATATTATTGATCGGTAAATGAAAGTTTTCATCATCAGCAGTTTTTACTGGTGCTTCATGGATAAGTCACTATTCTGGAACTCGTACCCCATTTATTTATCTTATTCTCCCTGCAGGTCTTTGAGGGAGATATCAACTTCCTGTCCACTGTAATGGAAACCTCAGATGGAATCTACGCAGCTGCAGCAAGCCTGGGAGTTGATTTACAGCTTTTCTGTTCCTATTCATCTGAGTTGACTGATGAAATTATATTGAGCAATATTTCATATGCGGCTAAGCTTTATAAGGGCATATATCCTAAAATGCCTGAATCAGAAACGCTTGCAGAATCATTCCTTACCAATTTTCCTTCAGTAAATCCACTGACAGCCCATGCAATACTATCTTCAGTAGGCATACTCATTGAGTTTTTTGAGTGGCCAAACAAGCGCAGGATCCTTGCAGTCCATCAATATAATGTTCCTGAAGAAAGTATTACTTTATTTAGTGCTTCATGCAGCTATGGTGAAAGGGAGGATTCCAAATCTACAATGACAGACTGCTCCTCTTCTGTATCCTCTGGTCCCGACTCGAATAAGTGTCATTTTAATACTGCTTCTGAAGCAAAACTACCAAAATGCATCCACAGTCCCCTAAAAATTGACATTTGTGTGGATGATATATGGCAGCCTGAACCCTTAAACCAGTTCCCTGATGAAGTACAGGGTCCTTCTGGAGTGATAGAGCATGATAATTCTTGGATGTCAAGAGAAACTGCGATACTTGATGATTTGCAATGGCCGGGACCATCTTTGAAAAATTTGTTTGGTCAAAAACAGGGATCAGATTTTGCACAGGCCGAAGATTTGTCTGCTATCTCCAAGCCATATGATTTCAAGAGCTCCAAAGATCCTGTTATATTTGATGAAATCAATAATCCAAGGTTGTATTCAGATGATAAATTCTTGGGTCAAACTGAGGGATCGGACATGATAAAAAAGAACATGTTGGACCGGAATACCACGAGTAAATCTGAGAGTCTGCATCAGGACCTTTTAGGCGAAGTTATTGACCTCACTGATAGTCTGGGTAAGGGCGTTCCTCCCATTACTAACTACATGGATTTTTCAACTTGGCTGCCAGAAACAGAACAGGACACCACAAGAAAGTCTAAGGCTGCAAGAAGATTGTCATTTGATAAAAACGGTCACCCAACATTACCTACAGCTGCTGCAATCAACTCTGGTTCAGATTTATGGTCCTCTATTCCAAGACAAGGTTTGCAGCAAAACAAAAATTATCATGACAGTGATATGCATTTAAACCACCAGAAAAAACTATTAGAGGATATTTTAACGCAGAGATCTACAGGAAAAACCAAAGAGGTGCCGTTCAAAGAGGAGATATCTCATTATGGTGGAACATCACTCTCTAAGGCAATTCATTCTGCCCATCCAGAACCAGGTTCGCCATGGACAATAGAGTTTCTCAATAGAATCCGGGAAAAAAGTAGATTGCGGCAGCAATCCCTTCCATGCGATATGTCAACCACTGAGTTTGGATACTCAGGTAATGTATCAAAAGTTACTAAGAAAAGAAGTCCATCTATTCTGGAGTTTTTCAAATATAAAGGGAGCAACAATTCTGGAAAAATTTACGAACAAAAGAAACAGAAGCAGTCTAAACAATTGCCAAGCCAATCCAAAAGTGAAAGAACTTCATCTTCTTTTCTTCCAACAGGGACACCGTTGGAAAAGAGGTCAAGACAAGTATGACCTGAGATCCTTGTATGATATTGTATTTTTTACTTTTATTTATACTTATTGTACTAATGCACTTAAAGCACATGCAGACTTTGTCCTTCGAAAAGAATGGTAGTGGAAGCCAAACTAGGCTTGTGTGGACAGATGGAAGTGCCCACCGTCTGAGCAAAAAGTTGCGAAATCAATAAATGACAGAAGGGCGAGAATGACGTGTTTATTTAGGATCACATTGATGAAGTTAGAGGTTGGTTCTTAAAATTTAGCAACAATGCTATACTTTTATTTTAAATTCTGTGACTAGTTACCTTCTCGTTGAAATAGTATCCTAAAATATAGATACTTTAGCTCTCTTTTCTTGTAATTCTATAACGATGCTATCACTTTCTTAGTTAGAATTTGGAGGATTTCTATGTATATGATGAATACAATAAATATTTCACCAAGATTATCATGTGCAGCTCAATCAACCTGAGCCTGCAGTTCTCAGTGCCAAAATAAGAAACCTGAGTATCTCCGCTGTCGTAATTTCAAAAAACATTTTCACACCAAAAGCAATGTTAAATTTTCAGCTAGCGGTATACCTATACTTTGTACAGTGATTTCTGATATTTGGCATCAATTTTCTGTATTATGTCACTTTGATATCTTTGCTGCTACTCCTAGACTATTATTACCATACCAATACTTAAACTCTATATTCTGAAAGAATATCAAGTGTAAAACGTGGCAATATGAATGATGTAATAGATTCTGATAATTAAATTTTATTGACAAATTAATTTTCGGGATATATTGACCTCTTGCTTGAGCATGTTTTGGTCAACTGGATAATACAGTGTTTAGAGGAATAGCTGAGACAACAAGCCCTGCTGCATAAAATGCAGTTTTATCAGGTGCTTCATCCATGCTTAATTTCTCTTTCCAATGTCCCACATATTAGGCATGCTAGTTCTTCTTCCCAGTCTTTAGGTTCCGTACAGTCATGACTAGTTGTTGCCTTTCACCTTCTACCTCTGCAAATTTGAGGCTTATCTCTGAATATCTCTCCTGCATTTCTTTTAATTCGCTTTCCATGGATTTGTTTCTTTCTTTTAGCAGTGTTATTTCTGTCAACAATTCTGTAATGTTGCTGTCATCTCTGGCATAGAAAATTTTGATTTTCAGTGCTTGCTAGTGCAAATTTTTTTTTTTATTATTATTTTTTATGAATACAGAATTTGAAGAAAAAAACAGAACTGCTGGCAGTGTAAAGTTATAATTGACAATAAACTAAAGTATCACAGATGCAGCGATGCACTGTTAATTTTAAGAAAAGGTGCTTAGACTTATCTCCACAGTAGAAAATTAAGCAAAGAAAAAAGGCACAATGGATTCAAATGTAAAGAGACGGGCTTGAAATGATACCTTCTAAGTGCGGCACTAACTACTTTCTCAGCAGGAATTCTTTGGTTGGTGTTCGTCTCATATTGCTGTCCTTTCTCCCTTGTATATCTGCTTTCTTGGGACGTTCTTCCTACACATTGCAGCTCATGCTTTAATTCAAGTACTTGTTTCTGCAGATTTTGTTTCTCCAATTCTTGTTTGGACAAGCTATGTTCTAATTTATTATGTTGAGATCTAACACTTTCTGCTTCTGATAACAGTTTCTCAACCTGTGTCTCTTTTTCATTTTTTAAAGAGCTCAAGATGAGTAATTCTTCTTGTAACTTTTCTGCTTCCTTCTTTGCTAATGCAAAATTTCTCTCCAATTCATCTCTTTCTTTTTTCCATCTTTCAATTAGCACCTCCTTTTCTACAAATGACGACTTCATTTTCTCAGTTTCATCTCTCAAGCTCATCTGTTCTGCCTGTTCAGAGATGCCATTGTTCTCTTTTGTAAGCATTTCTATATTGGCTTTGAGCATTTGAATTTCCACTGAGAAATCCTCTTGCTTCTCTGCATTTCTCAGTTGCTTGGACTTAGCTTCTAGTTCTAATGACATCTGCTTAACGTGTTTTGTTTGCAAAGCTAGTTGAGTTGATAGTTCTTCCACTTTTACTTGGCTCTCGTCCCTGATTAGTGAAAGCTCTTCAGTAGATTTGTGAAGTCTTTCTTCCAGAATTTTGTTTTGAACACGTAGTTCGGTAGCTTCTGCAGTGGCTTTTGCCATCAGCTTCTCATTTTCATCAAACTTACCTGACATTTCCACAGAAAGTCTTTTAAATTCCTCTTGTAACCGCTCTGCTGTCACTGCATTTTTCCACCTCGTCTTCCTTAAGGCCTCTTCTGCACGGATGGCTCTTTGTTCCTGCTCAATTTTGGCATTTGTCATTGCATCAAGATCATTTTCAAATTGTGCTGCCTGTTTCTCTAGTTCTTTCTCCAGTAATTTCACATGACTTTCAAGTTCATCAATAGAAATCAATGATTCTGAGAATTCTTCTGTCTGCTTCTTTAATTTTTCCTCCAACCTCTTTAGCTGTAATTCAAGTCCCTCAATAGTTGCTAAAGATTCCATGTATTCATTTTGCACCTTTAGTTGTTGCAACTTGCTCTGCTCTAACTTGGAGGAGCAATCATGGTTTTCCTGTTGTAAATCTGCATACTCTTGGCTGAGTTGTTCAATATAGTTCTCCAGTTTTTCTCTATCTTGTCTGTATAGTTCAATTTCATCAGACAGGTCTTTAATTTGCTGCTTCAGTAAGCACAATTCATCACCATCATTTTGCTCCCTCCCAGATTCTTCCAGCACATGTACTGCCTGTTGGTTTTCGTCCTCTTTCATGGTGCATTTACATTTTTTACCCTGATCCTCATCGGAATTCTTACTTACCTCAAGCTTGACAGAAAGGTGAGATATCTCCATATTTTTCTGTTCCAACATATCATCAAGATCTCTCACAGCAAGAATCAACTCAGAATTAGAATCTTGTGTTTTCTGGAGTTGCAACTTGAGATGGCTATTCATTTCCTTTCCATGAGTGAGCTCTCGCCTGATTTCTTCTAGCTGAACCTTTAAATCCTTATTCTCATCCTGTAATCTGTTCAGTGCCTCTCCATCAACAGACCTCTGTGAGGACCGGAGTTGTACACATTCTGTTTTCAATGCATCTCTCTCCTCTTTAAGTTCAATAATTTCTCTAGATAAATCTTGTGCCCTTCTGCTTTCTTTTGCAATCTGTTTCCGCAGAGACTGTAATTCCAATTCCGATAATTCTGATTGCCTCAGTAGAGTGGATATTTCACTTTTGAGTTTTTCAATAGATTCATCCGAATTCCCTCGAACTTCTCTTTGAAGCTCGTTCTCAAGGCTGTTTGTTGAGTCAACTAAACTTCCATCTGAAGCTGAACCCATTGACCAATCTGTGCTTGATCTTCTATGTAGACGGTTCTTTGTTCCAGAAGTATCAACAGGTACCTTTCGAGGCATAGAATTTTGTTTGAGAGTTGTTTGTAAACTAGCATTAGAACCCATATATTCTCTGAAGCTTCCATCTTGGTCAGCATTTTCCAATGACAAGTTATCAAAATTCTTGTCCTGTGGCACAGTTGAGGTGCAGTTCAGTTATAACACTAGTAGATAGGCATAGGCTATCTATGAGTAACTTCTGATATAGATCTTAGAGAGTATAGTATTTAGATGTTACCTCACTGAAAATTTTGTCATCTCCATCTGTAAGTCCATTGCTCAATTGTTTCTGCAAGCTTTCATCTCGGGTAAGTGCAGAATCTCCATAATCTTCATTGTATCTGAAATTACGATCTTCAGTTAGAATACGCTAATTGCGAAAGGAATGTCAATTACTAAAGAAAAAAAAAATGAGTTAACGTTCTTTTGCACCTTTGATCAGTACCTCCCTGTACCCTCTGAACTGTCACCTGTCTCCATAATTAATTCACATGTGAGGAATAGAGTAAAGTTTTATAATAAAACGACAAGAATTTGAACTTTGGAGACAATTCTCATTTCTCAGTAATAACTGAGCAAATCACGATTCTATTTGTGTGTCCGTGTGCGTAAGAGAGAAAGAGGGCTGACATGTAAAATTGCTCCGGAGTTTGCAAACTTAAGGGGCAGAGAGACTGTCAATGGTTCAGCTTCATCTGCAAAATCTGCAAAATCAATTGAAGCTTCTCCAAGATAACCTGATTTTGAAGATCCCTGAAAGAACTCATAGGAATTAGAATACACAAAAACACCTTCTAAATCTTAGGAAAGAAAAATCTTTTAAGTTGACTATAACTTACACTAGACACAATGAAATGATATATTTTCTCATCCAGCTTTCCTGTTTTTGCGTGCCTAACGAGTTTTACTGTTACAAAGATAGGATTTTCCCATAAACAGGTTCCATCGTCAACTGCTGCTTTCTCCAGTTTGAATGTTGTCTTTCCAACATCCTCTGGCAACAGAGATATAGTCAATGCTGGTTTCTTCAACTGCGGCACCTGAACCAAAAAGGTACAGATCAAGGCGAGTGCTTCTTATACAAATCAATTCTGGAATTGCTTGATCAAATTGGTTATATCATACAGCTAAAGAAATTCTATTTGAAATTTAGTGGCAAGAGAATATTTTATTCATTGTCATTTTGGTACCTGAGTTGCCTGAAACTGCAATTTGAATACAGCTTTGATCTTTTTCTTGTCGCTCCTCCAAGACTTAAACATGTTTTTGTGCTTAATCTGGATTCTCAGAGAATCTTCATAAAAAGTCTCACTCTCTAACTTAGGACTTTTGTTTTCGTTAATTAGGACAAGACAATGTATGTTTTCTTCTAAATTGGGGAAACCCAAAAACAATCCAAAAGCAGCATGAAAGCTGCAGCTGCGATTTTCCTGGTTGTTTTTTTGGAAAGTAAGATTGAGATGCTAGGGACAATTGGAAACGAGAACAGAGGATGACCCAAATCCAGATGGAAAATAAAACCGTTATAATAAAAAAATTAAGAAGCTTCACTGTACTGTCTTGAGTGGAGACAAACCATGTGATATTTTTATTGTAAAGAACCTAATTGCTGTACTATTCTCAGCTTTCCTTTTAATGCAGGAAGGCACGAGTTACGGAACTTCAAATGACATAAATATCCCTGCATTTTCTATGATATGTCATCATCACTCATAAAGCTCTTTTAGGTTAATGTTTCAACAATCAATTTATTCCATTAACTCTGAGCTTCCATGCTGTTGACAGGAATATCAAATTGTTGGGGCAAAGAATTTTGTTCAAGTAAAAGGGGAAAAAAAAAAAAAAAAGGTTTGCGCAGATGAGCTTATACACTGAACTGTCAATGTTTTATAGATGGAAATTTCTGGCAAGTACCTTATTTAATATATGCAAGTTCTTACTAAGCTTTTGCAATTTGTCACTGGCAGGACCATTAAAATTTACAACAAATTGTAATTAGATAATTTGAATTAAAAATTAAATTTTAAACTTTATTTTAATGAGGGTGGTCCTTGTCTTGATCTCTTTTCTCCTGAAGTTTAGAATACGTGTAACTTTTGCTTCATCACCAGTAACCACAACACTCTTTATCTTGCTTTAGAAAGGAAAAGAAAGAAAAATTCATTTTTGCACGATTGCGGTGGCCATAATAAACCCGTTGTTAGTTAATCAATAAAAGCAGAATTATTGGGTGAATAATTGGGAAGATGAAGGTTTTAATTGTTGCGATGCAACTCATAATTATTAACTGGGGGGCAAGGTTGGGGCCCAAAGCATTAGATCCATTGTCACATCTGCGGCACATCCAGCCTCTCCGGCAGCGCACTATACCAAGTTGCCCTGTCAGTGCCGGAAACCACGTGGGAACATGTGCAAGGTAGATCTGTTTGGATATATTTAGATGTATTTGAAACTTGCAAGCACATCACCATGAAGGAAATAGTTTTAATTTTTTAGAGCATGTTAAATTTATTTTAGAAATAATTTTTAATGGTGTCTAATTTAACAGTCTCCAGTCTCCACTACCAAGCGTGAACAAGGTAAATGCTACTTGACCTTCAAACTTATCTATCCATCATATGCATGTACTGGACCACTATTTTAGTATATATGGCGGGTTAGCTGACATTCAATGTGCCATCATTAATACAAAAATAGAATGCTTAGAAAATGAATAGTAGCTTTATGTCCTTTTACTGAAAAATTGAAGGAAGAATTAGTCACCTAAGTTATTAATTATGAAATACACTATTAGAATTTAGATGTTTAACTTCACATTGAAAGAATAACTAAGAATAGGAGTAACATTGATCTTTGATAAAAGGCCTATCAAGAAATAGTAGTAAATGAGTGGGTCCATCACATTCAATCAATATTCCAATTAAGAGATAAAAACGTCTGTTATATCTTACCTGGCTGTGGCTAGTTTCATGTTCCGTGTGGGGAAAAAACGATAGGGGTCAACTTCATTTGATGTCACACCTCATCTCAGCTGATCTGGCTGGCTCCTATCGTTCTTCTATTTTATAATTATCTATACTAGTAGTAGTATCTCGTGCAAAAGCTGCTGCTACGATGTCGTTCTACTATTACGCCAATCATGAGATTCATGACCGGCTGCTTTTGTCTATACGCTTTTCATAAATCCCCTGAAAAGCACATATCAAAACGATTTGGCACACCCCTATTGTTTATACTCTGTAGGCTTCGAGTAATTTCTAAAATAATTTATCTTCTATTATCATGATATATTTAAAATAAGTTTTCCTGAAATATTTACTAAGTATATGATATCCTAATTAATAAAAAAAGTTATTTGTTGAGATTAATTTCATTATTTTATACAATAAAAAATTACTTTGTCCCATAAAAATATATTTACTTTTCTATTCACTTATCTAAATTGCATTCTTATTTATTTTTCTAAAAGAATATAATCCTTTTAATTTTCTACTGTACCCTTATTTAGTATGAATCTTTATCAATAGTAATTATATTATTATTATTATTATTATTAAATTTTGAAATAGGTATTTAATCAAAATATAAAATTTTTTCATATTTCAGTTTAATTAGGAAAAATTATAAGAATATTAAAAAAATTATGATTTAACTATAAATTAAGAGTTAAATTAAATATATTTTTTACGGGACAAAAAATAAACTGAATCCATAAAAGAACTCGCATGAGGATGTAGGGGAGACACGAAGCCTAGCTGTGCTACGCCCTTCGCACCTAACAGACCAAAGCTCATCTAATCACTCAAATCCACGTGTCGTCAATCTAAGAATTGAGGAAACATTCATCCAACGGTGAACATGGGATGGAATAACTGGTAATACAAACAAGATAGACTTGACCAACGAGACAGATCAAACTGTCGTTCTCCCTATCTATTCGCCCCTCTTATATGCTCTTTTTGCAGCTTCTGGTCTTTGGTTTCCACTTTCCAGATTAAGCAGACGAGGAGGAATAATGGCTTTGGAGGTGAAAGCACTACCGTTCACGTTTGTTACACACGCGCTTGCAGTTGCAGGTGCAATTTTGGTATTGGTTTGGTGCATATATTTCAGGGGCGGCCTAGCTTGGGAAGCTTCTAACAAAAGTCTCATCTTCAATGTAAGTGTCTCTGTTGTTCTTCTTAATTTGGTCTGTGCTATCTATCCGTTTTGCGTTTTCAGGTAAATTAATCCTGTTTTCCCGATCCTCATCTATCTCCTCCTAATTTCTTGTGGTACTCATTCATGACAGTCGTTTTGTTTGTTTCTGAGGCCACTCAATTCATGCTTATCAGAATCAAAGGTTCTCGTTTGATTGTGTCATTGTAGTTACCGCCGTTTCTATCAGCTTGTCGTTTTACTTTTACAATTACCAAACAATTATTATTATTATTATTATTATTATTAGGTTTTAATATTCTCTTTGAAGCTATGGCTAATGAAAGAGAGAATGTTGACTTGCAATTTGCCATTATCAGAAGTTAAAGGATTTGGAATTTTTTATGATATCCTTTGTCTTATAGAATTAGATGCTGCATTGACTCTTTTTAAGACACTCAAACAGCTCACAATAGTCGTCTTTAGTTGATGTTTTAATTTGTAACAACTTTTATTTTCATTTTTATTTTTATTTTTTTTTTAAAAAGCTAGGAGGTTGTAGATTGGATTCTTGATAATTTTGTATGCTATGGAAGCTTCATTCTGATTTGTGGGTGTAATGACTTGGTAAATATTGCTTTTTTTAATCAAGGGGTTAGCTAGAGTAAAATCAGGTAAGACTAATCATAAATTTTGCTCTTAGCACTTGTCCCATTTGTACCAACTACCCTTCTCATTCATACCAGAAAACTCTCTACAACAACCAATTGTCATCCATGCTGAATTTTAGTTTTATTAGCTAATTTTCAACTCACGTCCTCACCAACTCTTCAATTTTTTTTTTTCAATAGATAATAATATATAACGATTACATTATTAAACAATATAACTAATAATTATTATTTTAACTGTTCAAAATAATAATAATAATAATAATACCTGCCCATACTTAACAACATAGGTGAAAAAATCTTTACAACTTTAACTTTTATCTAATTTTACCACTAGCACAACAAAGACTAACCGTAATAAAACAAATAACTAAATAAAAAGACAATAGGTGGAAAATATAGCTAGCTAATTTTAAAATCAAAATTGAATTTATCCTTTTAATGTATGTAGTCAATATTACAAACTAAATACATTTTTCACCTATTTTCTTTTCTCCGATGTTCAACGAGGTGGAGATGCTTATCTTGTTTTTTTGGACTTTTTTTGAGCAATCACGAGGTTTATGACTAATCAGTATTCAATGATGTGGCGATGAATAGAAGATAAAAAAAAAGCCTTTTTTTTTTTTTTTTTTTTTTTTTTTAAGCCTTTTTTTTTTAAAAAAAAAGCCTTTTTTTTTTTTTTTTTGTTATTTTTTGTGGTTAATATGCCAAGATTTGTCTCTTGTCATTGGCCAGTTGCAAAGTAAACCAGTTGCAAAGTAAAGTGATAATAATTCACTTTATTTTCCACGTCTTTAAACACCTATTTCTTTCTTCTTAAAAAATAAAAATTTCAAATATCAAATCGGAAACAAATTTTACAAGAAAAGGTAAAATCAAACACCAAAAATTTGTATTATTATCTTTATTCTGAACAAAATATTATAATTTTTAAGTCAAATTCTATTTCTAATTTGTGCAATTACGATGTCTATTTCTAATTTTTTTTTTTTTTTTTTTTTTATGAAGATTAAATGTTCTCAAGTTTCAAGATTATTATTGATGATATTCGGCATCTGGAGTCTAATATTTCCTGTTACGTATGCAACAGATTCATTCCTGTTTCTGATTGCTAATTGGCTTAATTCATCATAGGAGGAGAATGGTAATTCATCTTGATGCTTTTATTAGTTACAATATTGTAATGAAATTATGATTTTTTTTTTTTTTTTTTTGTAGCTAACTAACTTTATTCCTCTGTGGAACTTTTTTTTTTTTTTTTTTTTTTTTAGCTAACTAACTTTATTTTCCTCTGTGAAAATACAAAGTGCAGCCATTATAAGTTATAAATCTCTTCCTTTCAAGAAACAAGAGAAGAAACTGATACATCTGGTTCTCCACGCCGTTGCCCTAATACTGGGTATTATTGGCATCTACACTGCTTTCAAATTTCACAATGAGAGTAGCATTGCCAACCTTTACAGTTTGCATTCTTGGCTTGGGATCACAATCATTTCCCTTTATGGCATTCAGGTAAGTAATTCATTCTCACTAATTAATTATAACTTCTTCATCTAATTAATTTTTCATGATAGGTTACATGAGTTCATAATGTTCTACTCGTACTATTTAGTAAACATCTTTAACATGATTAAGAGCTCAAACCCTAAAAAGGAACTTTTTGACCTAAAAAATGAATATATTAATTTCTTGGCAGTGGATATATGGGTTCATTATATTCTTCTACCCTGGAGGATCGACTGGACTTAGAAGCGAATCTCTACCATGGCATGTGGTTTTTGGGGTGTTGGTGTATATATTAGCAGTTGCAAATGCAGCAATCGGTTTCTTGGAGAAGCTGACATTCCTTGAGAGCTCCGGACTTGCTAAATATGGATCGGAGGCTTTGCTTGTCAACTTCACTGCTGTGCTCACAATATTTTATGGGGCCTTTGTCATTTTCACAGTTCTTGGTCAGGGTCCGCCCGCGGAAGAGGATCATAGCTACACGGCTATATAATGTGTATTTTAGTAGAAACATAACTAGGATCGATGTCTATTAATCCTTAATTAGCATTTGTAGCTAGATCTATTAAAATGGCTGTTTCTGATTAATTAAAATCATGTATATCATATGTTGTACTTCATCATATGGACTTCATTTTATCATGCGAATGACTGTATTTATTTTATTCAAATAGCGAGTTTTTAATAAATAAATTAGTCTTCCTAAGAAATTTTAAATGATTCTTATATCATTTATACTTTCTTTTCTATTTTTTTTTAAGAAAAATATCAGAGCTTTTATTAATGAAAAACGGAATGAGTTACAATGAATTAAAGCCTATACTATACTCACTCAGAACTGAGTTCCAAATACAAAATCCAGGGTGAGACAAAGCGGCCTCCCTAAGAGTGTATTGGCAGACGACCTATTAACTTGTCTCCAAAAGAACATGTTCAGTTTATTTTTGGTGCAAAACTATTTTCTATTATCAATACAAAGATAATTTAATTTTTATCATTTTCACTTTATTTTTGGTACGTCTTTTTTTTTTATCGGAAAAATTATTATGCGTTGCTACTTGCTAAAATGAAACAAAAACAAAAATAAAAACCAAAAAGTTGCGGAATGAGGACACCCCCAGATGCCCGGCCTGTTGGAAATCACGCAGGCCTCGCGGCCCGTATGATTTGCTTTGCGCGAATAGAAACGTAACTGGAAGAAGGTATGGTTGCGGAGGCGACAGGTAAGCAGTCGGAGGGCCACGTGGTTAAGGACGCGTCATCAATCGTCACAGAAGCTATAAGTATCAACAGACCCCACAACGTGGCAGCAGATGGTTGATTGTTGTTTAGCCTCATTCCTACAGTCAGCCAAGCCAACGTCGTTATCGGTCCCCACCATGAACCCAATTACTTCCGGCTACCAAGCATGGTTTACCTTTACCACCGTATGCTTGTTTTTCATTTAAAGAAAATTTATCCATCCATTAATCATCACTGTAAGGACATTTTTCACTAATACAGGGGAACAAATAAAAAATTTGAAATATTATTACAAATTTTTATAAGAAAACAATTTAATTAATCATATATAGGTTTCCTTTCCCTTATCTTTGCTGTATTATTTATGATTGAAACAAGTGAATTAGATTGAATAAGTTTGAAGTTGTGTGGTGACACCTACACATTACAATAAACGTCCATATCAATCAAGATTAATTCAAGGTTAGACATGGCAAACAAGCTTTGGGCCACCTCATATCCACTGCGATACGCAATCCTACATCGTTTTATTGGTTCAATTTTTAAAGCTAAATGCCTAAATCACAAATAATCTTTAATATATACCCTCCATATCCACTGCGATACGCAATCCTACATGTTTTAATTGGTTTCAATTTTTAAAGCTAAATGCCTAAATCACAAATAACTTTATATATATATATTAATATATATATATATATATATAAGTATATATATGATTAATATAAAACGTGAAAAATTGTTAACGTAATTTATACTAATATCACTTTGTCCTAACAATATTAAAAAAAAAACAACAGCTTGGTATTCTTAAAAGTTGCAATATAAAGGCCTTTCAATATTAAGCAGTTGCTTATCCAATATTAATATAAAACGTGAAAATTGTTACGTATTATACTAATATCACTTTGTCCTAAAATATTAAAAAAAAAACAACAGCTTGGTATTCTTAAAGTTGCAATAAAAGGCCTTCAATATTAAGCAGTTGCTTATCCAATAATTAATGTAAATAGTTTTCAATTAATCAAATCAATTTAACTGTTGGATTAATATTTTAAGTATATCCCGTTACGTTATTAGAATATAATTACAGTAGTTACTTAGAAATGAAAAGAAAATCGTGGGTTGGAATTATAGACTATTATTGGTAATATATATATATAATTTATATATTTATATTTCATTGGTCCCACATTGCTTTTTTGGGCAAACAACTCCCTGGCTTGCATAGCTATTAATCTAATCAAATTGTAGGCGGTCCACTAGCATATAATTTGCTTCAAGATCATAGATATTATTCAAGAAAAAAAAAAGAGGTTGCATTTTATTTCATCCGTAATAAAGCATTAATGAAGAGTGGCTGCTATAAATTATGAAAAGAAATTATTATCATATCCGAAAAAGGTATGAAATACTTATGAAAATTAAAAAAAAAGAAACAAATTATTTTATTAAATTTTGATTGCTAGTAGGAAATTTGATATTTAGCTATAAAAAAGTATCAAATTCAAATCTCGCTGATGTAATATTTTTTCATAATAGTACAAAAATGTTAAAATTTTTTATAAAAACAAATGAAGAGATTTATATTCCAAAATTAAACATATGTTTTTATTTTTTGAGAAACATTATTTTGCCATTTAGAACAGACAGGCATTATTTATTTTATTATTGTTTGTGTATTGGTAGGGACAGAAGTATAATTAAGAAATAAAAAAAAGGACTCAATAGCGAAAAAGATGATCAGCCACTTTTCAATGGGGCCCACAAAAGAATCCGTTACCACCATTTAATATGAAAGAATATATATAAATTAAATGGCGGAATCTTTTTAGACAAGGAAGGTAAGCGACGTCGTTTTGAAGGGGAAGACGAATACGTACAATTATGAATCTAGTAAACGATGTCGCTTTGCGGAGCCAGGTAGTTTCCTTAGAAAGGCAATCAATGATTATATATTCCGTTACTAATTACAAATTCTCCAACAAGATTTTTGATTTTTTAAACTGAAAAAAGGAATTATTACGTTGAACAGAGCAGAGAGAGAATCCGAGTGTCACTCTCTGCCAACGCAAGGTAGAAGATACATAGCCAAGCACAAAGGACCTACCAAACCAGTCCAGCTCATTGTTTAAAGATACAGTTACCCACTTTCAACTATAATATCTCAACCAACACAACCTCTCTCTCTCTCTCTCTACTATCACAATTCACTTATTATCTTCTTTGCAATTAAATTCTCTTTTTGCCTTTTTCCTAACTTTCCTCGATCAGTTCCTAAATTGGATAAGCAGGTACTGATATGGCTGAAGAAGAGTCCAAGAAGCTGGAAACTGAAACTCCCTCTCCTCCGGCTCCAGCTCCTGCTCCTGCTTCTGCTCCTGCTCCGGTAACCGAACCTGTTGAACCTCCAAAAGATGTGGCTGAGGAGAAATCCATAATTCCACCACCTTCGGAAGAGAAGACCGAGGAGTCCAAGGAGCTTGTTCCTGTTGAAAGTAAACTACTTGATTTCTCTTTTTCTTTTTACTTGCTTTCTTCTTCTTTAGCTGATTAGCTTTAGCTCTAATTTCTCTTTGGTTGATGAGTAACTTTTTTTTTTACAAAAAGAAAAAGTATTCTTTTTGACAGTTTCAATTGAGAGAGTTGGTTTTGTGTTAGCTTTCTATATCTCTTTCATTTTTTATTTGTTGTTTGAATTGGTTTTTACTATTGTCTTTTATGTATTGCTATTTTGTAAGGATCTATTCGTTTCAGCTAAACTATCATTAGATGACTCTCTGTGGAATCTTTAAACAAAATTATGTGCCCTTCTCTTAAAAGTTTTGTTTTTTGAATAAATATATTTGTTAATGTCTTCACTTAGCTGCAGAGAAAATAAATTTCTCCAATTTTCATTCATATGAAAAAACTAAGGAATCAGGAAAGGATAATTGCAAAAATTGCTATTACAGTCCAAGTAAATAAGCAAAACAAATAACAACTTTTTTGATTAATTTTCTAGAACTGTTTTTTTTTGTTCCAAATTGTGCAGATTGCCATTATTTTATTTATTTATTTATTTTTGATTATGGCAGAGACTCCTGAACCTGCTGAGACTAAAAGTTCTGAGGGTTCTGTGAATCGAGGTATTGCTAGACCTTAAGATTTATACTAAGTCTCTCTCTCTCTCTCTCTTTAAATGTCTGTTTATGTTATATTTTATCAACATTAAAGTAATTAACTTCTTGTTTTGTATAGATGCTGTGCTTGCAAGGGTTGAAACACAGAAGAGGCTGTCACTTATTAGAGCATGGGAAGAGAGTGAAAAGAGCAAAGCAGAGAACAAGTAAATATTTCTCTAATCTTCAGTGATTGTTATTCTTTCAAGCAAACTTGATATTCAGTTTTGATGAAGATCTTTTATCATGTGACTAAGTTTTCTAAATGTAATAAACAGAGCTCACAAAAAACTATCTGCCATTGTGTCGTGGGAGAACAGCAAGAAAGCATTAGTAGAGGCTGAGCTGAAGCAAATTGAGGTAACAAGTTGCACCTTCTACAACTTTCTATCAAATCTCAAAATGTTTCTATCAACTTCTACATTTTGCATGTCAATTTACCTGTTCCATCAAGTTCTCTGCGCCTGCTTTTTTGTTTCAACTTGGTAATCAACAAATTGAAACCACCGACTTTGCACAATTTGATTCCTACCTGATGAATATTTGCATATGAGCAGGAAAAACTGGAGAAGCAGAAGGCAGAATATGCAGAGAAAATGAAAAATAAAATAGCACTAATTCACAAGGCAGCAGAAGAGAAAAGGGCAATAATTGAAGCTAAACGTGGAGAAGATCTTTTGAAGGCAGAAGAGACAGCTGCGAAGTGCCGTGCTACGGGAACTGCTCCAAAGAAGCTCCTTGGATGTTTTTAGTCTAAAAGCCTCAGGCTTGAATAACAGTGTATTATTTGTGTATTTATGATGCGTTTATTTGTTAATTTAGTTGTGTGTTTGTTCATAGGAGAAGTTGGCAAATATGCAATTGCCGTGTTCTCATGTTCATGTCTCTCTGTATATACCATTTGAAATATTGTTTGGAAGCTTCACATGTTACATTTGTAAGAAGTGCGTAAAAACAGACTGTTATTCTTGCAAGTTGTATTTTCATCCTCTTATGACTGCGGAAGACAGGTTTTCTGCAGCTACTCTCCTGCTGATATAGCAAAATATCTTAGCTATGTGGCTAATTATACTGCGGTGGACCAATGGAAAGATACTAAATTGACATAAATCATAACAAAACTATATAGCTCAATGAGTACTTATATATAGGAACCATCTTTGAGCAGTTACACTATAACTCATACTGAGACCTAAATAACTTGTCTGCTTCTATCTTATGTATGTTTAACTCGATTTCAGAGAAGGCAGCAAAGAAAAAAGCATGGAATCCAGTAACCAGTAACATTACTGGGTTATCTTTGTCGCCTTGTATTTTCTCAGAAATCAAGCAGGGCAGTGACAAAGAAAATAACGAACTAGCTTGATTGTGTCATAAGTCAAAAGACTCGGAAGAAGAAGGGGCAACCAAAAATTACCATCTGGAAGCAGAAAGTATTAGGAAAAAAGTTTCAGTCACATTTAAGATTAAGGAAGCTGGAAAAATGTTCAGTCTGTCCTTCCAAGAATTCCATATCATTAATACATGGAACATCCAACAACAGCTTCAAGGCTGTATCCGAAGAATCAGTAAATTGGCTAGAGCTTATAGAATCTGAAGCAGTCATTATATCTGCATTTAGTTTGCTGTTATCTTCTTGTTCACGAGCAGTGTCATTGGAGGTACTTATTTTGATGGGTGTCATTTGAAGTTTACTGCCATTGTCAACTGAACCAGACCCAAGTTTCGTTGATGAACATGTCTGTGAGATAGGACTTTCACATGCTCCCCCAACTTTCCCTTTGATACTGCGAAATGATTCCCCGACTTCAGAATTCCATAACTGGAGAAAGTAATCACGTTCCATCTTAACAGATGATGACGGGTTAAGCAACAGTGTTTCCATTGATAGACGGGCCTCGGCCTCAACCCTCGCGCTCTCCCACTGCACCATGTGCCGAGTTGATGCAGACTCACATTTTATAGCGATAGGCTCTGAAGACGACCAAGATTGATGAATCTGCAACTTTTGAGCTGTAGAATAAAGGCGCTTCTTTAGATGTGTATTCCAGAAGTTCTTAATCTCATTATCTGTTCTTCCTGGTAATTGACCAGCTATGGCAGCCCACCTGAGAGTTTTTAATATTCAATAATTCAATATTAGATTATTAATGTTTTGAGAAAAGAAATAAAAAGAAAAATCTACCCAAATATTAATAGGATTTTGCACTATAAAAACCAGGAAGCAATATCTACAGGCAAGTTAGTGTCTTTAACCCAAGAACATTAAAGAACGTAAACGTTGAGGACAATCGTATCCTCTTCAAATAATAGAATGCACACAAAATTCGAAATATTGCAAAATTCTTTCATATATAAACAATGGATAAGAAATATGAAGAACAGGGGATTACTTGTTACCAAGCATGCCATGAAGTCGAATAATAGTATCTTCTTCTTCAGGAGAAAAGGGACCTCTTTTAATGTCAGGGCGAAGATAGTTTGTCCATCGAAGCCGACAGCTCTTTCCACATCGGAGAAGCCCTAATCACAGGCCACGGCTAATGTTTAAATTCAAACACTTGCAGAAATTACAGTATCAAACTTGTTGTGACCCCTTGGATATTGATAGATAACTAGTGATTTTACTGCTAACTATTGAATAAGATAATTTTACGCAAGTGCTAAACAATACTGCAAAGATTAGAAAAGGACACACAGGTTGAAGATGTTCTGAAATAAGATAATTGAAAGAGACAAATTTATACTGTCATGAGGCACATGTAAAAGCACCCTTCCAGATAGTAAAGTGTAACAGCACAGTTTCTGTCACATTGAAGAACGAACAAGGGGCAAAAAATCCAAGCTTTGCTCTGTTGTTGCATTTTTACTATCCAAAAACCTTTTTAAAAAATTTATAAGCAACCATTTCTCCTTCTGTTCAATTCTGTAAAATGATTCGATTGATGCTACTAACGAAGAGAAAGGGAGAAAGAAAGGGAAAAATAAGAGAGACCTGCATTCTTGGGGAGAGAACGCCAACTGCCATGGCCATGTTTTTGGATATACTGAATCAAGATTCTGTCTTCTTCAGGGCTCCAAGCCCCTTTCTTCACTCCATCTTTATCGCAACAAGGAGTTCGTCCCATCTTCGTCTTCTTCACTTGCTATTATCTTCGGTGCATAATCAGTCATAAACAATAACCATTAAAATTTAAAAAAAAAAAAAAAAAAGAAAAAAAAAGATTCTGGTCTTCTTCAGGCTCAGCCCCTTTTTCTTCCAAACTCCATCTTTTAATCCGCAAACAAGGAAGTTTCGTCCCATCTTCGTCTTCTTCACTTGCTATTATCTTCGGTGCATAATCAGTCATAAACAATAACCATTAAAATTTAACAAAAAAAAAAAAAAAAGAAAAAAAATAAGACAGAGAGAGAACTTCTTAGTTATTATGACTCAGAGATAGTAATTAATAAGTTAAAAAAAAAAAAAAAAAAGAAAAAAAAAAGACAGAGAGAGAACTCTTAGTTATTATGACTCAGAGATAGTATTAATAAGCTAGAGCTTTTCATAAGAGACCAGAGAATCAGTTGAGGGGATCACTCTTCTGAATCTGAACGAGAGTTTAATGCTATCCATTTTATTTCCATGAAACAACCCATTTTTCATTTGTACCATTCTAGACCCACAAAGACGCTAATACAAAAGGGGCACCAAGCTGTCGTTTTGGAGAAGCGACAGAGATACTGATACAAAACGAAGTTAATATTGACAGAATTGCAGCAATGGGAATTAGGCAAAAATAAGTGGGTATAGCAAATACATACCTTTGGTTTGGTGTTGTTCATCAAAGACAGAGATGACAGACTCTCAAAAAATAAAAAATATTTTACAGAATAAGCCTTTTGGTTTGGTCAATGCTCTTTCTATGATCCTCGGAAACGCAAGAAGCAACAAGCAGCTGACTGATAGGATGACGTTTTGTTGCACGGAAATTTGGTGCTATCGAAATTCTATTGACACGAGTGAATGAAACGTGAGTGAGGCGAGGATGTTGGTGTCTTGGGTCTCAAGTCGTCATTCTGCATGTATCACAGTGTCAATCTCTTCAATTCAATGAGTTCTGATACTTCCTTTGTCGGCTACCTTTGCACGAGGCCCTATAATCCCATTATTATTATTTTCACCATTAGATCCGAAAGCCAACAGGACTTCCACTGCGTCAGGCTCGACTACTGGGTTGATAACAGGGCGAATTTTTCCCATGGGTTAATGTTAATTTTCATATTTAAAACGTCAAATTGGAGATTTTAATTAAAGAAAAAGGAGTTGTAACCGGTCCATCTCAACCGGCCCATCACTTAATATATCAATATTAATTCAAATAAGATTTTATCATATTTTAATAGCTTTCATTAACAATTCAGCTCGACTTATTTATTATTATATATAATCAATACTTTACAATTTAAAATTATATTTAAATTTAAATGCATTGTTAAAGCTTGAATAGATATGCATTATTTAGAAAATTTAATTTTTTTTAATCCGTATAAAAATTTTAAATTTTGAGATTAGGGAGTACTTAATTTTACAATGGTGAATGTTTTTTATTACTATAAATTATAGAGGTGCACAGCTTACAATAACAATTAATGTTTTTTACTATTATCCGGTGTTAGTGCAACGTAGCCCAGGTGGATGGGCAACAGGGCAAGCCCAGAAATGAGGCCTAGTCGATAGACACCATCGATTAATGAATTTACTTCATTTCTGTACAGCACCGCTTTTAATAAATTGATTCAGCGTCCCATAAATGAATTGGCCAGCCCACAATCCAACTCTGATGTGATGAGCTTGCTTGAAATGGACTTTTTTTCTTCTCCATTGGGCGATGCAAGAAGTGCTCTGCGCACTGCAATTTGAGAGTTGAAGAAGAAATGAATATCTTCCTCTGCTTCTTTTGCAAAACCAAGGAATAACTTCAGCTACAAGATCCTCTTTTTCCCCTATATATATTAAGGACCGATTGAGCCCTTAACACATCAAACTAGCTAGGCTTCAGATCCATCTATTGGAATGGTTAAGCTAACAATTGTTGGAAGGGTGAGTGATGGGTTGCCTCTTGCACAAGGGCCCATGCATTTTCATAATAAAGAGAATGATAACTTGTTAATGGTTAAGCAACAAGCAGAATTCATACTCCAAGAAATCTCCAGAGGAGCCTTAGCACCCACCGAGATGACAATTCGCGTAGATCATCACTCCTTCAAGTATCCTTTTTTCTCTCTCTAAATCTTTTCTTTTGAAATTATTACCTTTGTGTCTGATATATTTAGTCTTTAAAGGGGCAGAATTAAAAAGAAAAGTTTAAGAGGGGCTGAAGTTAATTTAGTTAATGTGATTCATATTTTTTTTTATGACAAATTTCATCAAGCTATTTGGTCGCTAATGGAGTCTGCTTCATCACATTATGCGATTCTTCGTATCCAAGAAAGTTAGCTTTCCATTTCTTGCAAGATTTGCAAATGGAGTTTGACAAACTTGATACTGATAATAATACCTTCCTACACAAAATTACAAGACCTTACACTTTTCTCAAATTTGGTAATTAATCTCTATTATATTACTACATAATACCCAAGTTGGAGACTCATTAATTACCTAATTATATATGTTTAATCATTTATATATGCCCACATATTATATAGGAGCACAAACATCCAAACATGAGTTAATCTCTTCCTGGATTATTATTTTATGAGAATAGAAAAAGAAAAAAAAAGTACAGAATTTAGTTAACTTGTTGCAGATGGGGTTATTGGGAATATAAGGAAGCGATATGTGGATACAAGAACACAGGCTAATCTGTCAAAGCTTAATGCAAATCGACAAAAAGATGTAGATATTGTTACTCAACACATTTCTGAAATCCTTGAAAGAAAACGAAATTCAGGTAGACATTATTAATTAATTAATTAATCTCCACGAGTCATGATATATAATTAAAATTAATGCTTTTTTTTTTCGAGGGAAATGCTTATTAATTATTATCTTCTCTATAGAAATGTCAGAAAGAAAATTAATGACTCCTCATCAAACTGCCTCTTCTATTTGGGGTTCCCCACTCCTTGAGGTATACTTCGATTACTATAATGTGCAAATTAATTTCTTTTTATTTTTTGGCTCTTATTTGTTGAATTTTCTTGGCAATGAAATATATAAACCCTAATTTTTTAATTGTAATTGTCTGTGCAGGCGATTGCACTGAAATGGATGCCCATTACAATTGTTGTTGTTGTTGTCACTGTTGTTCTGGTGTGGGCAAGGTTGATGCTTACAGAAGACTTCATCATTTCAAGCTCATGAAACAGCTTAAAACTGTAATTTTTAATTAGGAAATGCTTCTATATATATATATATATATGTATCCTTGATGTTAAGGAAGTCATTTAGATAGCTTTCATTGTTTAGTTTCTTTAAGCAATCAATAAAATTATTAATTAGCATTCCTAAAAAATTATGCTATTAACTAATAAGTTGGGCATTTTCTGGCAGTTCTTCATTTAATTATCCCATTAACAATCCATGTAGTAATAATAATACAAAAAGTCATAAATCAACTCAAAATTAATAAATCCCAGTGTTAGGTAGACAGAAGTGGACTCCTCCATTACAGCCATACACCAGGCAAACTGGTATCTGGTATTAAATATATTATGTGCTTTGCAATTTTTTTTTTTTTTTTATATCGGAGTGGTGAGTACTGACTAGCGGACAGACGTAGTTTCTACTCTCTACCTCGGGTCCATGCAAATGCCACTTCACATGAAATTTTTATTAGAAAGTCAATAGAATTAGAGCCTTTAAAAATAAAATCCCAATCCAAACAGTTAAAATGAAAAATTAAACATAAAAAAGTTAAAACAAAAGATCATGAGAAATTCCTGAATATTAATTCTTTATTTTTCAAGCAAATAATTACTGAGGGTACTGTCTCCAAATGTAACTATTCGATGGAAGAACAATCATTAATTATACTGTTACAACATGGTAAGTTAACTAAAATTCCACAAATAGAGCCAAACTAATAATTATTTAAAGTACAATTAGAAATTATTCTTCCTTTAAGTTTCTATAACTAATAGAGTAATTACTTTCCCTCTGCCTGCTTATATATACATGAAATCATTGTTCAAATTGAACTCTGAAATGAAAATCTCATCACCAGACCCATCGCTAATTATCGAATTACGATACTCATCAGAATTATTATTCAATAAATAATCTTGCATGAAACTATCCTGTAATATTAAGCTTGGATTATTATGATCAAAGGCAGTAGTGCCCTTCGAAATGGAAACCATCGACTGATAATCCCCTAAACTCGGAAAGCTGTCAAGTGAAAGCCATTCTGCGAACATAAGCTTAGGGATGGAGTTAATCCTGTTATTATAGTTAACTTGCTTATTGTCAGGAGAGTCGAACGAGTATGGAACTGATTGATCAGTAGATAATATTGATTCATAACTTGGAGTTTGCATTGAAGACGAAGGTTCCTGCATGTTATTACTATTATTATCATTAGTATAGTATGATGAGCTTGTTTTTTGTGCATTTGGCAGCTCCTCCAATATTCCCTCAGCTTTTATCACCTTTTTCTTCAAATGAGAATGCCAATAGTTTTTTATTTCATTATCTGTTCTTCCAGGCAAATGCTGTGCTATTTGAGACCACCTAATACATAATTTTAACAAATTAAAATAAATAAATATATATTTATAACATAATTGTCTAATGAAGTTGTTACATAATTAAAATAAATAAATGCAGGAGCTAGCTTACTTGTTGCCTAACAGGCGATGGAGGGTGAGGATTGTCTCCTCCTCTTGTAAGGAAAACATCCCTCTTTTTAATCCTGGTCTTAAGTAATTAATCCACCTTAATCTGCAGCTCTTCCCATTCCTTTGCAACCCTGCAAGTGCAACCACATTTAGTTAATTATAGTACCACTCTTAGGAAAATTTATAAAAAAAAAAACCAACAAAAGTCAACCATCAGATAGGGTAGTTTAGTCATTAATTATTTCCCTATGACAAAAATAAAAAATAAAACATGAAGCCCATATGAACATTGCAGCAGGCATGGACAAAATAAAAATTAAGTAATGAGACATTTCATAAGGTTAGATACTAAATAAATATCAGAGTCAAAAATCATAAGAACATATAATATTGGACTATAAAATTAAACAACACTGACACATCTATATATTATTAAATTTAAAATTATTGTGAAAGTAAAAGGAGGCTTTGTCAAGGTTAGTTAATTAACTAAACTAATGAAAATAATTATTGGTTGATTTCCAAGAACACATATATGCGGAAAATGCCCAGTTGTGCAATGCTGTCTGATATATAAATACAATTTATACGTGAGCAAATAAATATTGAAAACGCCAGATTTTATCTGCATTAATTATTTTTAGTTCTTGATCAGAATGACAGAATTTTTGTTACATTATCGATCTAAATAGATTTTACACAATTAATGAATTAGGGTTAGAGAAGACATGTAATCAAACTAACCCGCGTTAATGGGGACGGAGCTCCAACAGCCATGTCCATGTTTGAGGATGTAGTTTGTGAGCCTTTGGTCTTCTTCAGGTGACCATAAGCCTTTCTTGTGCTTTGGCTTTGTCTTTGGTTTGTCTGAAGACTTGCACCCCATTTTAGCCTCACAAATTACGAAGCTTATCAATCAGAAGCTATGACAATTGTTTTTTAGAGAGAGAGAGAGTGTGTTTTTGTTTTGATGGGTGCTATGAACAGCCGACACTAAAGGCTTTCATATATAAAGCAAAGCTTAGTTAAAAGTCTACCATATTAAAGTATAGAAAACAAGAATTGTAAAGCATAATTGTTAGAAAATTCTTCCTTCTAATTGTCATTGTTAATTAATACTTGAAGAGAAGTTCCAACAGTTGGTAGCTCTAAAAAAAAAAGTAATATTTTCTCCATTCCACCAAGGTTTTTTTTTATTTTAGAAAATTCTGGTTTTCTTTACCTAACACCATTCAATTCTCTCTTCCTTAAATGAAAAACCTAATCAATTCCAAAGCTTTCCTTGAAAAAGTAAGAAATAAAATGCATATATAGACATATCTTCACAATTTCTTTTTTTATAATTATTCAAAAAAAAATAAAAAAAAAAAACAAGAGAAATCTTTAAAATGAATAGTAAAAAAAAAAAAAGTCTTTTAAATATAAAAAGATGATGATGTTTTCTCGGGAAAAAGGTTATAAAATGACTAATAAAAAATGTAATCCAGTTCTTCCAAACTAAGCTAAAAATTCGGAAGAGCTTGTAAAAGTTACAGCACAAATTGCTGGTGAGGAGGACCCTCTTACGTAAATATAATGACTATATGCATATGGTATGACAGTAAAAGATACCATTATTAATAGCAAACACTAATTAATCTCACCTTTATCAATCATCACAACTTATGATATTCAGATTTTTTTTTTTTTTTTTTTTTTTTTTTTTTGAGGAACATGAGGATATGAGTTATTTTTTTTTTTTTTTTTTTTTTTTTGAGAAAATGAGATAAGTTATTAATTAGGATGCTGTAAAATGTAAAACACCAAAAAGAAAATATATGTGAAACAAGAGAGAACGAAACATAAAAATCCAAAAGCGTGTCATAAAAATTAATTAATGGTTTATCTTAGAAACAAGATAATGATATTAATTAACAAGTGTGTTAAGATGGACAATATATATGAAATGATTCACTAATCATTGTTAATTATTGGCCCAGTCGAAGCTTCTTATTAAAAAATTATGCACTACCATTTGTCACCTAAACACCTATACATGCAGGTGTTGCTGTTGTACAAACAAAGAGAGGACTGAATTCTTTTCTGCAAGAGGTAGAAGTTTTTGATTATTTACAAATGTTTTGTTTACCCAACCATTTAAAAATAACTCTGAATCTCAATTAATAAATTTTGAGAGCTCTGAATGTAATTCCTTTTCTTGTTCTCATATATAGGATAAGATTTAGTATTGCAGCTCGTTGCAGAATACATTGAAAGTTAAAAAATTTCAATTTGTTTGTTCCCAATATTTTAAACCAGCAAGCTACTTGATCTTATAAATAGATTTAAAGCTTGGACTTTCATTCTGCCTCCAGCAAAAATTATTCTTCATTTGATAGGTACAGCTATTTCTTCTATTCAAAACCTTTTGCAGTGCTCCCTTTCCAGAGAACAAGAATCATACAACAACTTTAAGTGAATAGACATTTATTCTTATTATTTCTTTTTTTGCATAAAAGCTACCAAATAATTTAATTTAATACGAAGAATTAAAATTAAGAATAATGTAAAAAGATAAAAAAATTGCGTGACAAGCCGTCTGCTCAATAGGGTGGTGATATGTGTTGGAAGATTACTTGATATTTGGTTTTGCTTACTTAGTCTAGTGACAGTGACACTACAGATTATGTCATCGATTGTATTAATAGTTTAATTAAAACTTAATTTTTCATTAAGAAATCACTAAATAAATAATATATTGTATTAATTAAGCATGGTAAACTCAACTTTATAAAACAAGCATGTTGTGTTACGTTAGATTGATGATGCAATTAAGTTAACTGATTTTAAATTATTCCTATTGTCTCTCATTGTCTTTTATAAATAATATATTGCATAGGATGCTTTGGTTCGGTTCTACCACATTTTTTTAATTCTGCAAATGTTGATATTAAATTGAATATATTCAATGTAAATGAAGAGCCAGCCACGATCACACCTACACAAGTCAAATACAAAAATTTTCGAATGTCAATGGCTATTTTATAAACCTACCATCATTATCGTCTGTCTGAATAGTAATTAAAAAAATTCCAATTCTCCATGTGGTGGCATCCAATGCCATATACGATAGATTATTCTTATTATTATTATCACAACAAAATTAGGTATTTACGTATAGAGTACATCGTATTCTTTCGTATGTAATTTAGACAAAAAAAGGTACCTCAAACCTTTTTGCCGGCACGACAGCGAGGGATTCAATGGCATGGTGTTGTCATTAACTCATTATTGAGTTGACAATTATAAAAACAATGCTTCATTAAGAACATGTTAGTCATGACTTCTGTTTGTTTCCGAAAGATCCCTCTGGATTGGATACTGTCAAATTTCTTAATGCCGTCTCTATTTCAGTTCCTTAGGTGAGATCGATAGTAATGTTATTAGCTAGCTAATTTTAAAAAAAAAAAATGCGGGTTCATGGTTACGATGATATGATTTACTCTGATTCTGATATGATTCTTTTCTTTTTTTTTTTAGTCAGTTAATAATAATTTAATTTTATATTGATATTTTCGCAATAATTTGAAATTTATTAATGCAAGCAATCAATTTTTGTTCTTTTAATCTAAGATTCAGTAGATATATTTTTTACCCCACTTCAAGGCTAGTTAAAGGTTTTTGGTACATGAAGAAGGAAAGAAAAGAAGAGCTGGTTTCTTCAAGCAGCGCCGTTTTCTTGACTGGTTTCGTTGGACAAAGTCCTTTTTCGTTATGTGCGAAAACGGCCAGCCCTCTCGTGACGCACTCAAAACCATTGTCGTTTGAAGCATATTATGTCGCTTGTATTAAACACGGAACTTTGTTGATATTAAAATAAATATGCGAGATCGAGCCGTTTTGTCCCTAACGGTCGTTCGTCAAATTCCAGTTTGATGCCCGCCTAGGAACTCCTTTTTTCTTTGTTTTTTTGGTCCACTTTGATTCTCGGTAGATAGATGACTTGCTGTCTTGCTCCTCGTCAAAGGAAATTTGCCATCTCCCGCCTTCACCGGTATTCTACACATGCCTTGTACTTTACGACTGAAAATATCAAATATATTGCCAAAATGCACATTCCAACATCTGAAACAAATTCACGCCCTCATCATTGCAGCTTCTCTCGCTCGCAACATACAAATCATCTCAAGATTTCTTCGTCGAAGCACCGAATTTGGTTCCATGGATTATTCAACTCTTATATTCTCCCAAATGGGTAATGATTTCGACACAGAAATCTTGCTCTGGAATGCCATGATTCGAGGGTACGCATTCAATGGTCCTTCTGAGAAATGTCTATTAATGTTCGATGAAATGCCTCAAAAAGAGCTTAAACCGGATAACTACACGTACCCATATGTGTTAAACTCCTGTTCTGAACTGAGGAATTATAGAAAAGGAAAGAGAGTTCATTGCCAGATTATAAAGTCTGGATATGAGTCAAACTCTGCAGTTGCCCATTCCCTTTTCAACATGTACATAAAAATGCCGTCTTCTTTGGACTTTGGTTGGGTCGGTAGTTGCAGGTTAAATGATACCCGCAAGATTTTCGACGATATGTCTATGAGACCAATAGAAGTGTGGAACAGAATGATAGCCGAGTATGTGAGTTTCGGTGATGTCAGGTCCGCGAGACAGTTGTTTGAGGTTATGCCAGAAAGGGATGCTGTTTCTTGGAATTCTATAATTTCGGGTTATGTTAAAGTAGGAGAAATAGAAAATGCAACAGAATTGTTCGACTGGATGCCGGATAAAAATGTTATTTCATGGACTTCGATGATCAGCGCCTATGCTGATAGAGGCGATCTCGAAGCAGCAAGAAAATTCTTTGAGAAAATGCCATGCAGGAATGTGGTTTCTTGGAATTCGATGATTTCAAGTTATACCAAACATGGGAAATTTGTAGAAGCATTGAATCTTTTTGTTCAGATGGAATCTATAGGTGTTATTCCAGATGGGTACACCTTTGTTTCTGTTTTGTCAGCATGTTCAAGTTTAGGTGATTTAGAGTATGGGAGATACGTGCACTATTTAATTGGTGATTTCTCTCAATTGGAAGTTATGGTAGGGACTGCACTCGTAGAAATGTATGCACGTTGTGGAGATGTGGATAGAAGTTTTGCAGTTTTTATCAAGGTAGCAAATAAGGATGTTTTTTGTTGGAATGTTGTGATAAAATCTTTAGCTATCAATGGAAGAACTGAAGATGCCATCAAAGTTTTCTTTTTAATGCAAAAGACTGGATTGAAGCCAAATGACTTCACATTTACTAGTGCTTTATTTGCTTGTAGCCACGGAGGATTGATAGAAGAAGGTCGTAGAATCTTCTATAGTATGGAGAAAGAGTTTAAGATTTGTCCCAAGGTTGAACATTTTGGTTGTGTAATTGACTTGCTTAGCCGGAATGGCCAACTTGAAGAAGCATGGCTTCTAGTGAACAATATGCCATTTAAACCCGACATTGCTATATGGGGAGCTTTACTTGGAGGTTGCAGGATGAGAAATGAATTGAAATTAGCAGAAAAGGTGATACAGAGAGCTATTGAATTGGAAGCAAATGAATCAGGAGTTTATGTGCTCTTGTCAAATATCTATGCCTCAGTGGGGCAATGGCAAGAGGCTCTATGTGCCCGAGGAAACATGGAAGAAAAGAAGATAATGAAAGAGGCAGGGAGTAGTATCATTTTCTAGGATACTTTTTTGTATGACTTCAAAATTCAGAATTCAACAAATAATATCTTGGAAAATAAAAGATGTAATGGCATCATTCCCAGGAAAATGCAGCTCCTTTTTGGTATCCTATATGTAATTTCTTCCTATAGCTTCAATCAGGATCACGACTTGAAAAGGATACAATTGGTTTTAGCTGATTCTTGCTAAAAAATGGACTCAAATCAATAATCTTTTTCTCACCTAAGCTAACATCACGAGAGAAACGAACTCCTAATTTCATGGAGCCGCTTAAAGGGCCCAGAAAAATATATTGCATCAACAAGGGTAGATATTTACCCCTTTCAGTTCAAAGCAAACAACAGTTTCACCACCCCACCATCTAACAATATATATATTCTTCATATCAACTATCAAAGGCATATACACATGCAACCCAAACTCCAAGCATGACTAAACATTGCATGGTACCAAAATTTATGTTTCAAATAAATACGACAGTAATTTGTCATTCCCTATAATTTCACTACTCATACAATGGCAGCAGCATTAACTCTGCAAAACAGCCAGGAAATACAAACACATAGAATTCTTACATTAGCAGACCAAGTCTCAACTGTGCAAAATCCTAAATTAATTGTGACAGATCTCATGAACAGGGAATCTAAACTCATAAATAAACTCCATCCAGAAAAAGTACAATTCCACCATATACAAATAGGTGGGTTCATGACAATCATCCACAACCCCGGATACTTAGTCAACCAACATAAAAAGTTCTGTTATGAAGTACCATTAACTTGTGTAGCATATTATCCACTATCAGAATCATGCTATACTGTCTGTAGCCTTTAGGACTCCAAGCACTAAATTGAAGGTGTAAGCTCTTGAAATCCGTTTACATTCATGTAGTAATCATGTTGAACTGGAATCTGGAAAGTTGTTGAGGAATGGTTGATATAACTGGGCCATATCTCTGCCACCCAACAAGCAACATATCATAAAATAATGTTAAAAAATCATATTCTCTTTTTTCAGAAAACTGAGCAGGGGGAGGACGATGTCATGTATGTTATCTTCAAAGGAGGCATAGGAGTAATTGGGTGGATTGAACAAATGAAAAGTGGAAGAACCATAGGTGATGTAGCATGCATAATTAGACATGCTTGAAAAAAAAAAAAAAAAAAAAAAAGAAAGAAAAAAAGAAAGATAGAGATACACAAAGCATATGGAGCAATCCAGCATTTGAAAACATAAAATATTCCAAATAACAAATCAAGTTTCAAATTTAGCATAGAATCCCACATGATCATACCTGCACATTGTCATAGAGTTCAAACAATGGGACAGCAAGAAGTTTTAAATTTTTGGGCACTGCAAAGTACTCTCTTTCAGACAATTGAACAAGGAAAAGCTTCTTACACTCCTGTGTTAACAAGAACAGAGAGGAAGGTAGATAAGTATACTTCATACAAACTGCCATGTGAAAGAGAAGGAACAAAAACCATAAAAGAAAGTCACATGAATTTCACAAATTAATGACCTTAGGCTTTGTTATGTGGGGAGGGCAATACGGATACATGATGGTCTCAAAGTTTGGCCTCCACCAGATGGCCACACACTCACCAATCTGCAAGAAGATGCCAAGTAACAAAAATACACATCAGAAAAATGGCAATATTTAAAATCCCAATTAACCCATAGAGCACACAAACAGCATAGGGAACGCCATCCAACAAATTCCGAGATATGCAGGTCCCAGTACAATTCCCCCCATGTGAAATCCCCCCCCCCCCCCCGAGTGAAATCAAAACATAAAAGCAAATTATCACATACTGTGAAACTAACTCTTCTGAAAAAGAGCACATTAGAGTTGCTCATGACTCCATAAAGAATGATGGCTAGTACTGAGGAGTCCAGACACCATTTATGTGAATAATACACCGAAATACCATTTCCTTTTCCCTTTTTTTTTCTTTTATTTTTCCTGCCTGCTCATTCCCAGAGATATTTTCATATGTCAAACACGTATCAATTTCCAGTATCTTTGTTTTAAGCTACACTTAAACTAAAGCAAAAGAGGAAATAAAACCTTCCAGTCTGGCACAAGAGCAGGTGAATTAGCACCAAGCTTGCTGGTCAATTTTCTTTTCAACCCTTCAATTTCTGTCACATATGCATGTAAAATATAAGCAACACGATATCTGGAACAGATGTAAAACAAGAACACATTCCACCACAAACTTAATGAAGACGAGACAATATAACAGTAACAAAGATACACGCAGATGAGTGAAGCTATACCATTCTCTCCTGGCTTTAGACGTCCGCCAGGCAGTTTGCAGAATGTATTTCCAATTTGCAGTAGTAATATATGAGGATGATTATGCTCCTGTACCTGCAAGATCAAACTATATGTACTAAGCCAAGAGACAGGTAAGCGGCATCTAGACGTTTATCTTGAAAATGTTACCATGCCCTTTCCCTGTCCACTCAAAGATTTCACAGATTGAAAAGGGCAAACATGTGAACAAAAAATCTTACCAGAAAGCACAGCGGTAGTGGCATATCAGACAATAAAAAAGCAACAAAAATACAAAGAAGCTGATTCCAATAACAGAACGTTACTTTTTTAAAATTTGACAATGAGAACAAGAAACCAATTTTTTGGGCCACATAATTTTGGATTTACCCTTGAGAGATAGCTACTTGCAAGTGAAACCAGTATTTCACCTTTGTCAGTAGAGATGGTAAAAGCATTTAACTCAAAGCCATGTCTATTTCAACAAATTCTATAATTTATCTACCATATATTGCATAATATATTCTACTGAAGAAGCTCCTGAAATATGAAATTGAAATCCGTAACTTCTTTATAGAAAAATATAAGAATTCAGGGGGGAGGGAACAGCAGCAGCAGCCTGAGATATTCTGCCCCATGATGGATCGTTTACATACACATTATTGAGATGGGAGTCGCATGATTTGTTGATCCATCTGATGCTATCCCATTTATTTATAATCCAAACATGATACTTGATAGTATAAGTGGTACCCTTAACCCACCACCACCTTTTCCATTGTAATAGAGAAAAGACTAAGTTGCAGACTTTTGATTCCTCTTTTTATGGGCAGGGATAAATAAGTGGTGCTGAGTTATGATTCATATTTATTACAAAAGTTATTGTCTACTGAGGGATCCCGATAAGCTATAAAATGATGTTTAACGATAAAAATTATTCTAAGATTGTCCAATTTGTAATTATCAAGAACACTAAACATTGCACTCAAACTTGTCTTCAAGTGCAGTTAAGTGAAAATTGGAAGGCAAACGGGCAGAGTGAGTAGGAAATGAAATTGTGATCGAAGATTTACTCTCCAATACTAAATAATAAATAATTCCACCTTAAAGGTAGATCAACATGAAAATCACAATCTTACTGACTTACATCCGGTGATTAATAAAAAATTTATAGCAGAACAGAAGCCTCAATATGTTCTTTAGCTTAAGAAGAAATACCAAGCACTAAACAACACGGGCCTCAATAAATTTTCTCTCTTCATAGAGAGTCAAACCTACATAAATTGATTGTCTAAAAACTAAAATCCTCACAGACGAAAGAACGAGATACGGCTAGCAGACAACTAACAGAGTTCGTTATTATAATGAACTTTAAATTACTAAAAAAGAAATATCACATTTTGACATAGAAAATTGACAAATCACACAATAAGTAGAACTGCATCGTATGATAAGTCCATTTTGCAATACTTATTGCATAAATCTAAAAAGGGAAAAAAAATGTTTAACATACCAGCAAAATTGCTTCAACACTTGTCCTCATGCCCTCTTTCATATAGCTGTAACACAGGATCAACAACAATAATCAAATTCTGGCACATTTACATAGGAAAGCCCTAGAGTCCTCAAATTATTAATACACCACGGAAATGTTTTTTAAAGTTCGTAGCTGCGGGAGTTTCGAATACTTGGTAGCAAAAGCAGTCGGCTTTTATCTCCGCATCCAACGGGATACCTGATTTTCCAATCCAAGTGAAAACCCCAATAGGAAAAATAAAACTAGGGTTTTCCAATCACTAATTAATTACAAATACAGCGAATAAATCATCTCAAATTCGGGCCTCGGTTAACTTCTAGATGAACCAAATTAACTTACATAACCCAAAAGAATAAGAACAGATGTAATTCTTTCCTTCAGCGAGCTTTTTTCGCATTCAAACAGAGGGCCAAGGTTTATCTAGGGTTTTCAATTGCTCATCATTACAAGTCAGAGAGAGAGAGAGAGAGAGAGCTTACTTGACTTTCATGCGAGCGAGACGATCAGCGACGGAAGTATCTTTCTCCATTTTTGGCTCTTTGGTCCCGAATGTATAGCTCGACAGAGGATAGGTGTTCACCACCGATGAGTTCACCATCTTCCTCTCTCTCTGATTTCCAACCCTAAATCAAATTGAAATGTTCAATTTATTTAGCTTCTTACTCTCTAAAACTAAAAGAGAGTTTCCACTTTCCACTCCGTCTAGAATGTTTAACAGCCAGAGCCAGTGAGAGAACAGGACGGCAGCCGGGGATTAAGAAGTGCGATTCAAATTAACCCAGTGGTTTCGTTTCTCTGCTAATTACTTGTTCTTGAGTTCTTCTCAAGTAACACTACCGTGGAGAAAGTTTCGGTAACAGCCAATTATGACCGTTCGATCGATGTTGGCTAGTTGGACGCTTCACGTGCGTGACTACTCAAATATTTTTCAGCCGAATACGCTGTCGTTCGACAATTGATCCTTTACTCGACGGATAATGTGGGCCTAATGTACCATGAGTTTGCAATTTCACCCTATTTTAATATTTTTATCAATTTTTTCTCCATTTAGATTCTTTATAGCAATAGCAGCCTTGATTACAAAAATACATATATAACCATCATTTATAAAAAGAAATTAATAATAGAAATAAGATTTTTTTTAAATATCAAATTATATTCATATTTAATAGGTAACACATTTATAAATTTAGAAATGTGATATTTGACATGTACAATTAAAGTAGCAATAAATTGTTTATCTATTTTATATTAAATAAATATAATTTGACTATAGATGAATTCAATAAATTTAACAATTAGAATATTTCATCATCAAATTATAGATAATATGAAAACAAAATTCGTAATTGGAAAAAATTATAATTCTTTAAATTTATTATTTCAGGATTTTTAGTAAGTAACATAAACTTAACAGTACATTTATTTCAACTGGATACATTAGAGCCATAAATATTTTTCTTGTTTGGTAAAAACATAAATCAAAGACCATATAGTAACATTTTTATGCGTAAAGATTCTAAATTTCGGTGAAAATAATGCTCTTGTATGTAAAAGCTTTTTAATATCAGCGTTCTTTTACAGCGTAAGATTATATTGTGTCGCCATTAAAATTTTCAGCTAACAAAAATGAAAAATGTTGGTTTCCTATTTATAACATATTTTTGGGTGGGAAGGGAAGATAATGTGGTTTTTTTCCAAATTTTGCACATATTCATAAAAGCAAAACTGTAGTATGCCGTCGCGTCGAACAAATTTTTCAAAAGATTGGTGTTTGGTCTTATCAGCAAAAGCATAGATCACATCGAATCGTACATAAACCATAATCTCCTCAGAGTACAAATTAAATATTTGATGACTTAAAATCATGCACGACCACAAAATTGAGACTCCAAATTCCAAATTTCACACTGTTATCAAAAACAGAGCAAGAACGCCAGCCACTTTTTTTAGTTAATATGGCGGGGCAACCGGCAACTCGATAGCTGTAAACTGAAAATTTTAATTTTAAAAAGGAAAAAAAAAAAAAAACCTTTATTTACGCCATTTTAACTAGGAGTTGTATTTGCCTTCCTTTTGCCTTGAAAAACTTTTAAGACACCATCTGATCCACCTGCAATTAGTGTGCACTTATCCTCTCCCACTTGCCTCCAGCAGACACTGCTGACAAACTCCTGGTTTTCCATACTTGAACCTGCTGTGTCGAACCCTTGCATCCATATGGGTTCTCCCCATCTCTTGTCATAAACGAATATTCGATTATTTTCTGATCCACAAGCCAATAAACTTCCATTCCTCCACACCGATAGCCCTACGAAATTCCGATTATTGACATGTCCCTTGTACGTGCGAATCATTTTAGACTCGTTTAAATTCCATAGCTTTAAGCACCCATCAATGCTTGCAGACACTAATGTATTAGCGTCCACAAACTTAACGTATGTCACAGTCTTTCTATGCCCATCGAGCATGATAACCGGTTTGACCATCATTCGAATATCGTATCCGTATGCTTTCCGGTCAGCGCATCCAATGGCTATCATCGATCCACCAAACGGATTAAACTCCACACAACAGACAGCACTGCGAGTCACGCTAGGTTGAATCGTAGCCACATCTCCATCCTCACAACGTGGGTCCCACATTTGCATGGTGCCATCGTCCGATCCGGATGCGCCCACCACCGGATTCCAATTGGAATAGTCCACGCTCCAAACCCGATGACCGCCGTGCTCATCTCGTTCAAATACCGGTAATCTTCTTTCAAGGTCATATTCCGTCACCACTCCGTCGTAGTCTCCGGACCCTATAATCCGGCTGTCAAATCCAGGTTTCCATCGGAGACTGCTAAGCTTAGCCGGGGTACACATATAGTAGTCACATGCATTAGCATGGTCTAAAGAAAGTATGTGTTCGTACTGACTACCTTTGTGCGGTAGCAAAGACTTAATGCTGTAGATTCTTATCTTTCTCGCTATTCCACCTGTGGCAACGAAATTTTCAGACTGGTCAAATTCGATAGCGCCAAGGGCGTGAGATACAGATTGGCTGTTGCTTGATGAAACTACCGTCTCAAGATTAAAATCCCACTCACATCTAGCTCTTTCTTCTTCTTCTCCTTCTTCTTCTTTATGGTGCTTTATGGCTTTGGTTTTCTCTTCTTCTTGTTTTGGCGGTTCAAGTGTAGTTATATTATGGAGTTTTTCAGAGAAGTTTTTCATTGCCCATTGGACCAATGAAAGCTTCCCATGAATTTCGCAAAGTTTTCTATATTGCTGGCTAATTGCTTTGTATAAATGATCACTCCTCATTGTTTCATTTATTTTTATTTTCATTTCCTATGCCCTCTTTATTTGATTTTATTTTCTCTTCTAATATAATGGTACTTAGTATTCCAACAAATTTACAACAATGCCATTTGTCTAATGTTTGGATCCAATCATTTGGAATTTTTGACTTTACAGAGATAAACTATAAAGTGTAACGGGAAATATATACCAATTTAACAGTTGAAATACTTGTGATTTGTAATTAAATTTTAGAGATTTAATTTGTGAAAAAATATTTATTAAAAATATCCGTTACTATGAGTTATGAAATGGATATATGAATATATATAAATAAATAAAAACTTAAAAATTTAATGGTAACTTCAGATGATTGGTGCTTTATTTTATTAAAATTGAATTGATATTAATAGTATTATTTTAGTTTAAAAATTAAAATAATAAGTGTGTATTTTGATTGGAAGGAAAGGGTATTTATGGTATGGATTTAAGTAGTATTTTGTATTGTGAATTTGTAATTGATATTTGTAAGAGAGTTGTATTTATTATAATAATTACTGAATTAGATGGCAGACAAAAGAGAAGTGTTGGTCGTTTTTGTGCCTCAACTTTAATGTATGGGAGGAGCGTGTGTGGATACAGGCTGTTCTTTTTCTACGCTTACGTGGTTTAAGGCAGGCCTTTTGTGTCCACTTTGCACGATCTCCTAGCCTTCAATCCCAGAATTAATATCTCGTGGTAAGGCATAGCTGCATGGGAATGGTTGGGCCCAATAAGTTTTGGGACGGTAACTGATATCTTTTTTATTTTTATAGTGCTAGTATTTGGTAACTTACTAAATTCATAAATTCACCCAAAATATTTCAATTTATATGTAAAGTCACCCATAAATTTATATAATATTTTAATTTATAAAATTAGATCAAATAAATATATTTTAAATAATTGAAAAATATGAAGATATTGTTTCAAAGCTAATATTTATATATAAAACTTAAAAACCACTAAAACTATTGTTAAGGTGAAAAATCATAATTTTAGGGCATAATAATAACTCTTTTTCCGAATTAAGAATGCGACAAAAATTAAAATAATAAAATGAGTGAATAAATTTATACATTTTACCCATTATTAAAGACAACATTCAAAAAAGGTGACCTTCAATTTGTTTTTTTTAATGTTTAATTTAATTTGAAAATTTTTTCAACGGATTTAATAAGAATATATGAGGATTACTTTATTATATAATCCATAATGCTTTTTTTTTTTTTTCTAAAAGAGCTTATTTATTTGGTAGATTAAAAAATAAAATTAATTATTTTTATTTCTCTAATATAAGTGAGAAAAATGATTTTCTACAAAGTTCAAGATTCGGCTTGAATTTTTTTGGGAACGGTAAAATTGCATGTTGATATATAACTAATTTGTTACTAATAAAAGTAAATAATGTTTTTCAAAAAAGTATCAAGTAGAGCTAGTACAATATATCTCTATACATCCATTCTCATATTCTTTAAATTATGAAAGCATATTACTTACGTTTGAGCACTAAATAATTTCCAAAAATTTTTATTTTTTAGTACGTCATGAAATATTTTTTTCATGTCATTAATTGTTCGTTAAAGAATGAGGAAAAAATAGAATCGCAAGTTTGACTGGATGGAGCACAAATCGGCTGGAATAGTTTTATGTTTTGACAAGATGTTCCAACTCGTTTGATGTTAATTTGTGTGCTTCTAACTATTTATCAAACATAGTTTTGGTGTAACGCGCTTAAATTGGCCAGGATAGGATATTGGGCTTCATTTTCTGGTGAGAGCAGGCTCTTTTGGCTTTGGCTGCCTTGATTTTCTCCATTAAAGATCTTGGGCCAAGCCCATAAAGACTTTGCTTATTCAAATTATCTGAGGCTATGAGCCCTTTTTTATTGTTTATTCTGTAACTAATTACATACTATCAATTATAGCTAGCAAACACTTTAAAAATTAATTATTATACATCCTATATGTAGAGTTTCGTCCGTCAAGAAATACAAGCCGGTCTATTTTTTGACAGAAGAACATTGAGAAGAAGAGTAAGTGTAAGCTCAGTTATGTATACAGAGAAGAAAAAGCGCGCCATATCAGTAGAATCCCCTTTTCCCTTTCTGTGTCTATAAGGTGACTCTCAATAATCTACCCATAAGCCTTCCGAGCATGGGCAAGCAGAAGCAACAGGTTATTTCCCGCTTCTTTGCTCCCAAACCTAAAACCAGCGATTCATCAACTCCAACGGTAAAAGGCCCGTCATCATCTTCTTCGTCTCCGACTCCGACCCCCAAAATTTCCGCCGTCGTATCCTTCTCCCCCGCCAAACGTAAACTCCTCTCTGCGCACCTCACCTCCACTCCCAAAAGGCCCAAACTTTCTCCTCACACTCAAAATCCTATTCCTACTTCTCCTAATCGCCATCGGAAGTTCCTGGACAAGTTTCTGGAACCCTCCCCTGAAATTATACAACCTTCCTATACTCAATCATCAGTTTCTAAAAAGTATACCCCATTGGAACAGCAAGTTCTGGACTTGAAAAACAAGTACCCGGATGTCCTTTTGATGATTGAAGTTGGTTATAAATATCGGTTCTTCGGGGAAGATGCGGAGATTGCGGCGAGAGTGCTGGGGATCTATGCCCACATGGATCATAATTTTATGACCGCCAGCGTACCAACTTTTCGATTAAATGTCCATGTAAGAAGGTTGGTTAGTGCAGGGCATAAGGTTGGGGTTGTTAAGCAGACTGAAACCGCCGCGATTAAGGCTCATGGGGATAACAAGGCTGGCCCATTTTGCAGAGGGTTATCGGCATTGTATACTAAGGCGACATTGGAGGCAGCCGAGGATGTGGGTGGGAAGGAGGAGGGGTGTGGTGGAGCGAGCAATTATTTTTGTTGTGTCGTGGATAAGAGCGTTTTGGTGGAGAATGTTGATCGTGGGTTTGATACTAGGATTGGGTTTGTTGCTGTTGAGATCTCAACTGGAGATGTTATTTATGGTGAGTTTAATGATGGTTTTTTGAGGAGTGGACTTGAGGCTGTGGTTTTGAGCTTGGCTCCGGCTGAGTTGCTCCTTGGGGAACCTCTTTCTAAACAAACAGAGAAGGTAGTTTTTTGTTTATATGGAAAAGACATTTATATATATGTGTGCGCGCGCGCCCGCTGAATATAAAATTTGAAATGCATTTGTTTGTAATTGTGATAAACAACCCTGTGAAGCATGCAATACAAATTGTCCGTTATGCCTGATTACTAAATGGATGTCAGGTTAGACGCTAATAGTTCACGTCTGCCAATGATTTTAGTTTATCACTGGGACCTTTTCAGGGGATCTGAATAAGGAATATTATGGAAGATTTATTGGCAATAAACCAAAGCTAAGTTTCTGACTTTCTGTCTCACTAATCCTGTCGGATCATGGGAATCTTTAGGTGGGTCTATAGATTCAAATCAATGAAATGCTAGTTATTTAATTACTAAAAAAAAAAAAAAACCATGAAGGAAAGATCTGGAGAATTTTAATTTGGTAATTTTTGCTCTGATGACTAACTTACCTTTAGAATTTGACATGCGTTAGTCATAAATTAGGACTAAAGATCATAATTTGGCCTAACATAGTTGGCTCTCTGTTCTGAGTTTCTTCTATTTAACCTTTGCCCCAGAATATTATAGCTCATAGTTGTAGATTTTGGGAATGACAGCTTTAGTTTGTATGTGGGGGGCTCCTATTTGTATTGACAAACGCCAACCTGATTGTGCAACAGATGATAGTTAATACTATTAAAATGGTAGTTTCATCAAGAATTAGACAAACTATTTATTAAAACCAAACTTGCAAAATATATAACTATATGGAGTTTCATAACTAACTACATAAAAATAAATTTGGCCTTCATGATCAGTTGCTGCTGGCATACGCTGGACCTTCCTCAAACGTCCGTGTGGAGCATGCCTCACGAAATTGCTTCAATAATGGTGGTGCACTTGCTGAAGTGATGTCTTTGTATGAGAATACAAGTGAAAATAAGGCAGCAGATGATGGAAAACAGATGATAGAGGGGACAGAGCAGGGCAGTTATTGCCTGGCTATTGAGGTGTGCATTTGTCTTGTTTGTCGATGATTATTTTTGTCTATGCTCATTTGTTTATTTTCTTTTATAGGTTCTCAATTTTTTTATCTTATCCTACTTTAATTTTCTTTATCATGAAGGGGATTATGAATATGCCAGATTTGGCCTTGCAAGCATTGGCCTTAACCATCCATCACCTAAAGCAATTTGGATTTGAAGGAATTTTATGCCTAGGAGCTTCATTTCGGCCTTTCTCAAGCAACATGGAGATGAATCTTTCAGCCAACACGCTTCAACAATTAGAGGTAGTTTTAGAGTGACGTTCCAATTATATAACACTTTCTGTTTCTCCCTTTAGACCTTGTTTATCGTCTAAATTAATTTGTCACTGCATTCAGGTTTTGAGGAATAATTCAAATGGGTCTGAGTCTGGCTCATTGCTGCATATCATGAATCATACTCTTACTGTTTCTGGTTCCAGGTTACTAAGACACTGGGTATGGGATGATCCTGGTTTTAATATATTTTTCTTGCAACTTTGTCTGCTTGCAAATGCCAATATACACTTCGTGTTTTATTGTGTGATACAGGTGAGTCACCCTTTATGTGATAGAAACATGATATCTGCTCGTCTTGATGCTGTTTCTGAGATTGCAGAATCCATGGGATCTCATAAAGCTTCACAAAATATTGGTGAGCTTGATGAAGTAAATTCTGATTTAACAACTGTACAAGCAGACTTCTATTATTTGCTTTCCTCTGTTTTGATAAATTTGGGAAGAGCACCTGATATTCAACGTGGAATAACAAGAATTTTCCATCGAACTGCCACTGCATCTGAGGTAATTATTGGCTTCTTGTTGGGACTGCTTGTCTGCTTGTACATGTGCTCATATCTATACAAAATCTCACACCTTACCTTTCTGGTTATTGACCCTAATAGTTTACCTTATATGTCTTTTCTCATTGTCAACCCTTTACCCTGTTCTTTTGCCAGCTGCAGGTAAAGGGTAGCACTAGCTATGTTTCACATTGTATAATTCATTTGTGGTACTTCTGCTGCATTTAAATCTTCATTTCTTGAATTTTTGGTCTATTTGTTGACTTGTATCTATTCTATGTCAATAGAATGTGGGCTCAGTTTACTGGCTGAATTTGTTCCATCTTATTTTTTGTGGATTTCTGCTGAAACTATTGACTGTAAATATAATCTGCAAGATAGACCCCCTTTTTTTTTTCTGGAGGGGGGGTGTGGGGGCAATTTTCGAAGTTCTTCCCTGAAACTACTTTTGGTCCTATACACTCTGAAGCGTCTGGACTGAAGGATCCTAATTGTTGACACTGATTTTTTCATCTTCTACATCATATGCTGATGGGTTTAAATGGTTGAATGACAGTTCATTGCAGTTATTCAAGCCATATTAAATGCTAGTAAACAACTTCAGTCTCTTCCCATTGAAGAAGAGCACAGAAATGAGAGAATTCAAGCAAAGATTGTGCGCTCAGTTTTATTGAAGAAATTGATTTTGACTGTGTCATCATCTAGTGTAGTTGGCAATGCTGCAAAACTTTTATCCGTCCTAAACAAAGAGGCAGCTGAATGTGGGGATATAGCAAACTTAATTGTCATTTCTAATGGTCAATTTCCAGAGGTTTGTGCTTTCTATGAATTTCATCCTTTCACCTTTATTTATTTATTTATTCACTTTTTACTTGTAAATTCCCTATGAATGTTTTTACTATGTTCTATCATGCATAGGTCGCAAGCTCAAGGAAAGCGGTTCAATCTGCAAAGGAGAAATTGGATTCTTTAATCAGTTTGTATCGCATGCAGCTTAAAAAGCACAATTTGGAATTTATGAGTGTATCTGGAACCACACATTTGATTGAGGTAGACCAGTCAATATATTCTGAGAATACTGAAATGCATTAGCTTTGGTAATGCAAGTCATCAAAATATTTTAGTCAATGCAGATATCACACTGGGGTACTATTAGCATACTAGGAATCCTTGATTTTATTGGACGCATAATTCATTTGGGAATTAGACTTTACAGTTCACTGATGTATGTTACTTCCATTTTTCTTATTTATGATATTAACTGTTTTTTCCTTGCTACTGGGCACGACTTTTATGGTGTATATTAGGCATGCACATTGAAGTCTTTTACCCCTGTTTGAGGTTGTGGAGTTGAATATTTTTCAATTGGAATTTGTAATCTTTATTTATCATTTTGGTTTGTAAGTTTTACTAGACACCTTCTATGGTTAATATTGAGTGCAGTTGCCCATAGATGTCAAAGTACCATTGAACTGGGTGAAGGTAAACAGTACTAAGAAGACAATCCGCTATCACCCACCTGAAGTATTGGCTGCCTTAGACCAGTTATCGCTGGCTAATGAGGAGCTCATGGTTGTTTGCCGAGTTGCGTGGGATAGGTTTTTAAGGGACTTTGGTAAATATTATGCCGAGTTCCAAGCTGCTGTTCAAGCACTTGCTGCATTGGATTGTTTGCATTCACTTGCCAGTCTTTCCAAAAATAAGGTACCCCCTTAGAGGCAATGAGAAGTTTCCTTACCCTTTGGGATACTATGTGACCTTTTCTAATAATCTGTTGCAGAATTATGTTCGTCCAGTTTTCGTGGATGACAATGAACCTGCTCAGATACATATATCCTCTGGTCGTCACCCGGTCTGTATTTTCATGTCAAACCTACTAATGCTGTGTGCTTGCTGAACATAATATGTAATTTTTTAATCAAATGGATCGTGGATAAAATGGTTCAAGGTACTGTGCTATTCGCTCTTCACCAAAGTGTTGTGAGGATGAGGGAATTTCTCTTTGATAGTTGTGGACTCATAGTTATAATAAAACTAAGATTGCTCATTTAACCTTTATATGTTATGATAAAAAAATTTAGCTTATTCACTTTTTGCTGTTTTAGAAGCTGAAACATGCTGGTGGGCGTAGGATATAAAATGGCTAAAACTTTTCCAAATCAACTGAGTCTGCTTGGTTGAAATTCGAAAGTAGATAGATTCTCAGTCACTAATATATTATGCTGGATTTTTTTTTTTTTTTTTTTTTTTTGGGGTGAAACTAAGATTGCTCATTTAAACCTTTATATGTTATGATAAAAAAATTTTAGGCTTTTCACTTTTTGCTGGTTTAGAGCTGAAACATTGCCTGGTGGCGCGTAGATACCAAAAATGGCTAAAACTTTTCTCCAAATCAACCTTGAGTCTGCTTCTGGATTGAATCGGAAAGTAATAGATTCTCAGTCACCATATAATATAATGAATTTGGGTGACCATTCGCGAGACGTCACCAAATTATATTATAACGTTTTTTGGGGGGGGGGGGGGGGAAGATTAAAAAAAACTTTGCTGATTTTTTTTTTTTTTTTTTTTTTTTTGGGGGGGGCACGTGGGGGAGCGGGAGGGGGCTTGGCCCTACATTTTAAATTATCATTGGACCACTATTCAAAATTTTGACTAGGGGGGGGGGGGGGGCACGGTGGAGCGGGAGGGGCTGCTACATTTTAAATTATCTATTGACCACTTTCAAAATTTTGACTAGGTTTTGGAGACCATGTTAGAAGACAATTTTGTCCCAAATGATACACATTTACATGCAGATGGAGAGTTTTGTCAGATTGTCACTGGACCCAACATGGGGGGAAAGAGTTGCTACATCCGCCAAGTTGCTCTCATTGCTTTGATGGCTCAGGTGGAGTGAGATTGATAAACCCTATTCTTATTTGTATAATGTTCTGGACTTAGTAGAGCCATTTCTTGAATCCCTCCTGATCTCTATGCAATGTGTTCTTGAAGGTTTTTTTCTTTAGGAATCCTGCATAGAGTATCCTAGCTTTCCCCATCATGTTAAAATTTTAAAGTTATATTTTTTAAGAACTTTCACTTTATGGGTACGACTCTAATCAGCCCGAACTTCTGCATCTTCTCTGAAAGTTTATCTATCAATTTGTTCCAACTATCTTTTCTTGATAGAATTGATCGTCTGTACTCTAGAGCTTCCCTCTTTATTGTTTTCAATTAACAAAACAAATCTGCTATAATTATCTTCATTCAAAGTTGTACTCTGATCCCTCTAGGTTGGTTCCTTTGTACCAGCATCATCAGCAAAACTGCATGTACTAGATGGTATATACACTAGAATGGGAGCTTCTGACAGTATCCAACAAGGGAGAAGTACCTTTTTAGAAGAGTTGAGTGAGGCTTCTAATATACTCCACAAATGCACGGCAAATTCACTCGTTATCATTGATGAGCTAGGTAGAGGCACAAGTACACATGATGGTGAAGCTATTGCTTATGCTACATTACACCATCTGTTGGAACAGAAAAAATGCTTGGTCCTTTTTGTAACGCACTATACTAAAATTGCTGAGATAAAAAATGAATTCCCCAGTTCTGTGGGGGCTTATCATGTTTCATATCTTACATCGGAGAAAAATTTGGGTGTCACGGGCTCAAAATTTGACAATGAAGATGTCACTTACCTTTATAAACTGGTGCCTGGAGTGTCAGGGAGGAGTTTCGGGTTTAAGGTCGCTCAGCTGGCACAGGTAAGATCTATCTCTATGTGAGCACGTTAAGAAAGCTGATATTCTTCATATAAATTCATTAGCTAGCTAATGAATGAAGTGTGCACTGCTGTGATAAATATTATTACGGTGCTCACTTCAGAGTTCAGATTAGTCTGGAAGGTGCTGGCTTATTTTAGACAGTTGTTTGAGTTAATATGAATTCTATATGAGAAGGGGGGAAAAAGGAAAACATATACATAAAAGAACTCTAATTTCTATTGCAGTTACCTTCATCATGTATTAGACGGGCATCTGTCATGGCTGCAAGGCTGGAAATGGTGGTAAGCCACAGAATGGAAGACAAATTAGTTAGAAGGCAGTTGCTAGAAACACCGACAAGTGATCAACAACAAGAAACATGGGAGAAAACTTCAGAATCTCCTGATTGCTTTCATTCAGGAAAGATAGAGAAATACGAAGAATTAGATAATGATTATCAGAAGCTCTTTCTGAACTTGAAATTTGCAATGCTTGATGGAGACTCTGCTAAAAGCTTCCAGTACTTGGAGAATGCTAGAAACATAGCAAAGGCATTAATAATTAGGTAAAGTTGAGTTTCTTTCACTCCTTTCAAGTAAACATTTCTGCCGAAAGCTATCAGGTGCAAGGGCATGGTTCTTCCAAATGTAAGTAATGTGGATATGTCACCGCAAGCTTGTACACGTGCTCTTGCCCTTGATGATACAGTTTGTTGTCGCATTGTTTCTGACACGCCCTATCCTGTGCATTTTCAGATAAAAATGCAAGTCCTCAAGATGAGACAGCATGACGATGGGTAAAGAGTCTGAAACGCCGAGTCCTCAGTTATGGAGCGATGGATAGAGCGTTGAGCTTTCAGCGTTCCAAAGGCTGACTCGCTCTTTATTTATGTAGGATTCTTGTATCAGAATTTTGTCTATAAAGAATTAGAAAATCTATCACATTGATAATTTATGGACCTCCAATCCATTGAACTTTAATCTGTATATTTTGTCATGCAATTAGAGAGCCTTTAATATTTATTAGTGTTAAGATTAAGTTAAGGAGAAAAACACAATCAAATTACTTAAATAATTAGCATGGCTAGTCTTTTTTTTTTTTTTTGCCGTAGAACAGCTTTTTTTTTTTTTTTTGGGCCGATAGTTTTTTTTTTTTTTTTGCCGTAGAACAGAAGGTGATGTTGAAGGGAATGAAGTGGATCATTACTCTTATAGTTGGAGTCGCCCACTGTTATCCATATATTTGTTTCTATCTAAATATATAAAAATTGAATGAATCTCGTCCGCCTACTGTGTCAAATCAAGAAAATTGGTTTTTATATTACCTTTTAATTTTTTTTTTTTAATTTTAAACATTAATTAAATCAATATTAATATTAATATAGTTGATAATATTAAATGTTCTTCAGTTTTTTTTTAATAATAACTATATAATTAATATAATTAATATTATTTCTAATAATAAAAACTTTCATTTTTTTAATCTAATTAATAATATTAAATGCTTTTAGTATTTTAATATTAAATTAAAAAATTAAGTCGAGGAAGGAAAAAAAAAAAGAAAAAAGAAAAGAAAGGTTCTCCTAAATTTGGATTATGGTGAATTTGCAATTCAATCTTAGCCGTCAATTTGTGTGAGACCCACTCACAACTATACCGTGAGCCCGTCACAAGCTTGAAAGGAATAACTGGATCGTCTGATTCAATTAGTTGACGTCTCATCTGAGCCTGGGGTTGGGCTTGAGGCAATTCCAGTCCCACAAAGCAAAACAAGCATAGGAGTTGATTTAGCAAAACTCTACATTTGCTACCTGCCTCGAGCCACGGATGAAAATAGTTTGATAAAGCTGTTTGCTCCATTTGGCGAAATCACCCAAGCAATAGTGATAAGAGATCGATTTACTGGAATCAGCAAAGGTTTTGGCTCTGTCCATTTTAAAAATGCCAGCGAGGCAGCAGTGCTATGGCACACATGGAAGTGAAGTGGACGGGCATGTTTTAGCTGTAAGGGTAGCTGACTATCATACAGTTACAACATCCTCAATGCCATCTTCCCTTAGCAACTATAGAATGATATTGTTAAAACCAAGTTCCCAAGCTTTTAGGAGGCCAAAACCAGCAGCCTCTGTCTTTGCTTTTCCTGACTTTAGACTGAAATTCTCTTTGCACCTGACACATCACTTCCTTTGTTGTATCCCTGATTATGAAACACAATCCACAACCCACAGTGTCTCGAATAGTGGCCCAACATTAATTTTATATCTGCCCAACGCTGGATCGAGTGCTACACTTGAGTACTGTCATCTGCAGAATTGGCTTGCTGAAATTCAAAAAGGAAGCTCAATACAATTTGAATACTTGCATCAGGTTCCATCCCAAGGCGATGGAATCTAAGTAGATTTCGAACTCACCATAAAACCCATGTCATCATAGAGAAAATCTCTAGTTGATCCTGCGTGAAGCGTTCCACAACAAATCCAAACCAATCAACAGAAGAAAACAGTTAACAAAGGAAAGCACTCGTTGGTTTAAGGAATTCACCGTAGAGGACTTAAGCTCCAAACTAGTTGAGCAAAAATAACACTCTTTTAAGACATGAATAGTGTTTTCAACATCGTTTCAGCATATTTCACAAATGGGATCAATCTGCATCTCTGTAGAAACAAGAGTTGTAGTAATGTATTGCTTAGGATCGACACAATAATTCAGATGTTTTAACTTAGGAGTAACAGGAAAGGTTTCTGTATATGTTGAATTGAATTAATGTTTACAATATACAATAGAGTATATATACAAGTTATGGATTAGAATACACTCCTATATTTACGTAACATAAATCTATCTACATAACAGAATTTGTTATTCTGTTTTAATTAGCTGGAACTTCATCCTTACCCAATACACCCCCGCAAGATGGCAGTCAATCTCGGACGCCAATCTTGTCTCGTTGCTTCAGAAAGGCCAGCTTCGACAGGGGCTTGGTTAACATATCTGCTAGCTGTTCTTTGGTGGAAACATATTGAACACGTAACATACCATCTTGAACTTGTTGACGAACAAAGTGATAGTCAAGAGCTAAATGTTTCATTCTAGAATGAAAAATAGGATTTTCAGCAACATACTTAGCTCCTAGATTATCACAGTAAATGACCAGTACATGTGAAAGCTGAACATGCATTTCAGATAGCAAATTTTTTATCCATATAATATCCGCAGATGTGTTTGCCACGGACCTGTACGCGGCCTCTGTAGAGGAGCGAGCTACGGAGGCTTGCTTCTTTGAACTCCATGCAATCGGGTTCTTCCCAAGGTATATGACATGGGCACCAGTAGACCGTCGATCATCAATGTTACCAGCCCAATCCGAGTCAGAAAATGCATGAAGAGTCATTGGAGAGTAAGAGTAAAGCTGTATCCCATAAGAACTTGTACCTTTCAAGTAACGCAACAAGCGTTTTAAAGCAGCCCAGTGATTGATAGTTAGCTTGGAGCTATATTGAGCTAATCGATTTACTGCAAAAGCAATATCTGGACGCGTGAGCAGTAAATACTGAAGGCTACCAACAACCATTCTATATTGCGTCGGATTGTCATACTCTGAGGAGTCATTCTTTGCCAACGTTATTGACAATGTCATTGGCGAAGGTGCAGCTTTTGATTCATGCATATCCACCTTTTCCAATAGTTCTTGAATATAATTTTCTTGTGATAAGAAAATTCCAATGGAACTTCGGGAAACCTCAACACCCAAAAAGAAATGCAGCTCACCCAGATCCTTAATCGAAAACCGTTTACCAAAGTCAATAATAAAATGATCAACAATGGCAACATCATTCCCTATTATAATTATGTCATCGACATAGATTAATAAATAAAGAACAACCCCTGTAAGAGCATAAACAAACAGACATGTATCAGCCTTGGACTGCTCGAAACCAAACTCACGCAAAGCAGTTACTAATTCAGTATACCAGGTTCGTGGAGCCTATTTCAACCCATACAACGATTTTCGGAGATGACAAACAGACATGATACCACTCAGATCCTCTTGGCACATGCTCGAAAAGCCAAAACTCACGCAAAGCAGTGTACCAATTCGTATTACAGGTACTCGTGGAAGCCTCGTCATAATCACCACCACTACAACGACTATTTCGAGATGTGAATCCACAACAATAGAGATTGAGGATATTTCTGGAACGCACTCCACAACAATTATCTTCATTCAATGTGGACTTGCCTATATACGACTTCTTCCGTCTCATGTTGCATGATTGAAATTGGTCATATAGTGACCACTCATTACCTCGTCGCACCAGTCTCCCACCCCATCTAAACACAAGCATGTACCCACGTCGATATGTGAGGACACACAGTGACCTCAGGTTTTGATGCCTTTTAGACCATCGGTACGGCAAATGCTTGGACATCAACCTGTCGCAAGTTCCACCCATTGACAACAGCAAGTGATAAGAGAATACAGACAGTTGGATGTTTAGCCACTGGGGCAAATGTCTGATCATAATCCAAGCCTGGTCTTTGAGTAAAACCACGAGCTACCAAACGTGCTTTGTAATGCACGGGAACCCCTTTAGAATCACATTTTATCCGGAACAACCACTTACAACTGACTATATTTGAGGCTTTGTCAGAAGGAACCAACGTCCAGGTGTGTTGTTTCATAAGTGCAGTATACTCTTCCTCCATGGCTCGTCGCCACTTAGGATCTTTCAAAGCTTGAGCAACATTCTTAGGAACAAAGAATTTTTGATTTTCTCGCACAACAGTATGAAGATTCAGTCTCTGAATTGGTTTTGTGATATTATTTTTCCCTCTGGTAATCATAGAATGACTTGGCTGAACCACAGGAACAGATACAGGTATAATACTCTGCTCAACATCAGTCGCAGGAATAGGGGTAGGAATGGAAACAGTAGGTGAAGGTAAGAAATCCATACATGTACTGCATAACGCAGGAGATTGCAAATTGGTGGAGGTTTGATGGGACAATCGAGAAGCCGAAGAATGGAACCTTGAATCCTGCACAAAATTGGAAGAACGAGTATCTGGCAAAATATAGTGAAGTGGTGACCAAACATCAATCGAATCAGAAGTTGGACTAGAATTAGGAGACGTTTGGAACGTAGGATATGGAAACGTAAATTCAACAAAATCAACTAGGATATGGAAACGTAAATTCAACAAAATCAACATGTCTAGATATGTAAAGCTTATTTGCAACAGGATCATAACACTGAAAAGCACTTCTATTGACAGAATAACCCAAAAAGTTGAGCGTTTTTCTAATTTATTAGAAGTGTATCGCCGAATCCAGGGGTAACACAAGCAGCCAAAGACTTTTAATTTGGTGTAATTCGGCTCTTTGTTATGAAGTTTAAAAAATGGTGATTGATTGTGAAGAATCGGAGTAGGCATTCGATTTATCAAATAAACTGCAGTATGAAACGGTAAAAGAATCACAAAAGCGTGAGGGAGAAAGATCGTCCGTCAACACAGACAGGAGTGGCCAAAATGAAGACCCGGAGGCCATTTTTATAGGCAGAATTGCTCGGCGGCGGCCCCTTGCATAAGGTGAAGAAACTCATAATGGGAAACACCATGTGCTTGGAAGAAACTCATAAGGTGAAGAAACTCTCCTGCATTATTAGAATACAAAGATCCAATTTTTGTTTTAAAATGATTCTCAACTAAGGTTTTGAACACAGGAAAGATGGCAGACACTTCAGATTTACGTTTCAAAGTATATAGCCAGACATATTTAGTATAGTGATCAACAAATATAAGATAATAAGAAAAACCATCAATAGAAGTAACCGGTGCAGGTCCCCAAGTATCGGAATAAATTAACTCCAAAGGAGCAGTACTAGACATTGACGAAATCGAAAAAGGATTTTTGTGCATTTTATTGCACTTACAGGAATTGCAGAAAAAATTATTATCAGACACAGACAAACTAAGGTGCCATAACATAAGACGCAAAATAAGAGTGGCCGGATGACCAAACTGTTGATGCCATAAGGATGGAGAACGAGAAACAGTATGTAAAACACGACTCGGATTATTGCTGGAGACAGGCACTTGCTGCGGCCATTCATAGATTCCATTAACCGGTTTCCCTTCCACCACCGGTTTCCCTTCCACCAATCGCACCCCCATGTTCAAATCCTTTACATAAAACATAAAAGGATTAAATGCAACCTCAACATTGTTAGCAGTACACAATTGATAAACAGAGATCAAATTTTTATCAATAGCAGGAGCACAAAGAACATTTTGTAACTGTAACGGTTTTGTTTTAGTCAAAAGCAAAGCAGAACCTTTATGGGAGATAGAATGAGCTGTACCGTCACCAAGAACAACATCATCTGTTCCATCATATTCAGAATGAACAGCCATGTTTCGCACATCTTGAACCACATGCTGATTGGCCCCAGAATCCACTATCCATCGCGGATGAGCAGCAGAGTTTGTATTCACGCAATTGACTTGTGATTGAGCAACAGGTTTGGCCGGCGATTAAGATCCCTCAAATAGCCAGGGAAGCAACTTTTTCAGTTTGTAACATTGTTTGGTAGTGTGTCCAGGGCGATTACAAAATTGACAAGACACCTTGCCTTTAGAATTCGAAAAATTTCGATTACCAGACCCAGTTCCAGATCCACCAGGCTTGGAATTATGAAAAGCAGAACTTGGTCGGTTCTGCAGTGAATTTATAGTCGTTGGAGCCACAACTACGGTAGCTGAGTGAGATAACTGACTTTCGAAGTCAGTAAGTTTAGCATATAACTCATCAAAAGAGACATCATTGTCCCTAGCCCTGAGTGCCGCCACAACTTCTTTGTAATCACTTGGTAAACCACGAAGAACATGAAGCAAGACTTCTCCCATAGAAACAGTCACGCCTGCCAGTGCCAGCGTAGCAACTATAGTTTTAATACGCTGAAGATACTCAGTAGCAGTAGAACGACCCATCTTCGCATTGAACAAGGACCCTCTCAAGCTCATGATTCGAGCTTGAGATCATTTGGCATACGTCTTCTCTAAAGTTCGCCACATAGCAAAAGATGTATTTTCACCAATAACAAATGAAATTAATTCAGGTGAGAGAGATGCAATAAGTGCACTGCGCAAGAGTTCATCTTGATGTAGCCAGAATGGGTCTGTGGCAAGAGTGGCTGGAATTTCAGTTTCAACAAATTTCAACAGATCATAGCCCACAAGCAATAAATACCACTACGTATGCCAGGACTGATAATTAGTAGAGTTTAATTTGAGTGGTGCTTGAGCTGCAGAATTAATAGACACCAACTGGTTTTCTGCGTTTAGACTTAACGCAGTTGTGGGTATCACAGGAGTACCAGGAGTATCACAGGAGTACCAGGGAGATGTTGTTGAGGAGAAGGAGACTTTGAAGAGTCGATCACCATTGCAAACAAAGAAACTGAATTGATAATAGAAAGGAAAGCTTAGTAATCAGAAAAGCTTAGGAGAGCGGAAGGGACTCTGATACCATAACAAGAAAGGTTTTCTATATAGTGTTAATTGAATTGATGTTTGTCAATAGTTACAGGAGTATATATACAAGTTATGGATTGAATACACTCCTGATATTTACCGTAACATTAAAATCTTCTACACAACAACGGAATTGAAATAGATTCTGTTTAAACCAGTATTCTGTTTTTAACGTAGCTGGAACTTTCATCCTTACCAATACATATGGAGGTGAAGCTCAGCTGGGGCTTCTCGCTTATGACTGTGTTACCTCAATCAAGAGTATATATACAAGTTATGGATTAGAATACACTCCTATATTTACGTAACATAAATCTATCTACACAACAGAATTTGATAGATTCTGTTTAACACCAGTATTCTGTTTTAACTAGCTGGAACTTCATCCTTACCCAATACATTGGAGGTGAGAGCAGCTGGGTTCTCGCTTATGACTGTACCCTCATCAATTCCTCCCAAAAGCAACTTGCAAGGTTCCTTTGGCCTGCCACTTGGTGCTCCTATTACTCACATAAATACCAGCAAAGAAATTGACCCTGCAAATCTGTATGTGGCCTATTTACCTCTAGCTGCAGATGAAAATTTTTTGATGCAGCTTTTTTCTTGTTTTGGTAAAATAGTTTCAGTTAGAGTGGCCAGGGACCATATTACTGTTAGCAAGTGTTACGGGTTTGTTAGTTTTGAAAGTGCAGCGAATGCAGCTGAGGCTATGACATACATGAATGGTTACATATTTGAAGGGCATATGTTGGCAGTAAGGGTAGCTGGTCTAAATCCATATGTTCTTCCACAATATTATTGTCCTACAGAAGCGCCCCAAAGCAATACAAGTGGAACAGCAGAGTCATGATCATCAGAAATCCGAGCCTCTAACAGAGATATGAATTTGTTTTCTTCCTCTATCCAAGGGCATGGAAATCTCTACAAGTAAGGCCTTTGGTTGTATTGATTCAAATGATGAAAGCAAGCTGCACTGATCTAATTATTGAATCTCGCATGGTAATGGAATCTCATGATAATTGAATAAAATAATTGAATCTCACATGATAATACAACTATATCAATGTGAGGGAATTGATTGATTTGCAATCTAATTATCAATTCTCCAGTAAAAAAGGCTACTTTCGCCATTGTTATTCACAAGTCAGAGATTTCTGTGTCATTTTCCTCTCTGCCACAATGTGCCGCTCGTCTTTAAAAGTTTCTCCTCTGCAGCTTTTATTTTCTCGAGATGAAACTATTTTTTTCTGATTCTCTTCCTTTTTCCTTTGATTTCTTATTGTCGGTTCGGTGACTGCCAATTTGCCGAACGCTCAACACAGGATTATACAAAGCAGAAGTTTTGCCGTCGCCCAAGACTTGAAAAAGTTTTATTCTAGATCTGTTTGGAGTGGGAGAAAGTCCCAGGAAAAACAAAACAATCACATAATTTAAGGAAAAATTAAAAGTGGTCAGAAAACGGGGAAAATTACTATTCACTCCCTGTAGTTTGGTAAAATCGACCTCTTATTCCCTGCCTTCGAAAATGATATTATTTGATCCTTATGGTTTGTAACTGTTGGACTAATTAGACCTGTAAAAAATTTGTACTTTTCCCGTTAAATGCTTAATTTCTAAATAAGTAAATAAATTTTATTTTTTCACTGGGTATTTCATGGGCAAAAGTACAAATTTTGCATAGACTGGTCAAGAGGGACAAACTTATTAGCACAATAACATCGACTGGTCAATTACAAAGTATACATTAAAGAAGACAGGAGGGAAATAATAATAAAATGATCAAATAAATAATACATTATTATTATTATTATTATTATTATTATTATTATTACCGCATTATCCAATATTTTCCATTGTCTTCAAGAAATGTCATCCTTAATGCTAGCTAGAAACAATCTAAGCTCTCTTGCCTTTCTCACATGTTCAGGTGACGCTTCAGTTTCTGATTCACTCGAATCTATCAACTCAATACATTGTTTGCCGACTCGTTGAAATCTAGAGACTTTGCGGGCACGCACCGGTGGAGAAGGGCTCAAGAGATCAATTATCTCGTATTTTGCGAGACTAGGATCAGTATCAGAAGGAGGCAGGGCAGCATTGCTATCGGTAACACTTTGTTGTGACTCTACCATGTGTGGATGACCTGCAGTTGCAGTTGTGCTGTACTCCTCCGATATCATCTCTTTTGAGGGAAAGGAATCACTAGAAGTGGTGCTGCTTCCCGATTCAATGTCAAGCAACAAAGTTTGGAGTCTTAAATCAACTTCAGCCGCTGCTGATCTGTTTCTCGATTTCTTTGTTCTTGGGTTCCGGTTCTGATGATTTTGTTTCTTCCCCATAGCTCTTCTCTCCTCAAACTCAGCTATCTTTTCAGGACAAGCACTAAATATACACAACACAAAAGAAAAAAAAAAAAAAACAAATCAACCTTCAGAAACCCCAACTGAAAATAACATTACATTGATAACATTGAAAATGTTGGTAAAAAGTTCAGAAAAATAAGAAGAGATATTCACAGGTTTTATTTAACTACATGTTTTACTTGTCTTGTGTTTGTCTTTCTCTCAATCCATTTGTTTAATTAAATTATTTTCTTCCTCAATGTCATAAATTGGAAACTCTAAATTGTCAGACACCAAGCCTCCAACACTATGAAAAACAGGAAATCCATTTAACTCACATCCGTAATAGATAGATGGAAAATTAATAGTAATTTACCTGTCTATGAGATCAACAGGAACTATGGAGGTTTCAAGTCCATCTAACCCTTCCCACAACACCTCAAAGCATTCTCTTCCCTGAGCTTTTCTGCGTTTAACAATTCCAGATACAGGGCACTTAACCGGAATCTGCAAGTTGTAAGATTTTGCTATATGTTACATAATTGCATAAGAGATTATTAAAGATTTACAACACCATGATTATAGAGAACCTTTCAGTCTCAAAAGGTCAGAGCATAACAGGCTAAATTGTATGATTCGTTTGTTGATATGTTTCTAATTATTCTGTAATACTTTTGCAGTTAAGGTAAGTCATCGCGTAGTATATGATTGAAAGAATTAAACTTTGCTGGCATTTTATAAAATGCACGTGCTTCAGCCTTTGATCATCAATATTGACAAACAAAGGATGGCTTTGATTTTGAACTGCAGTAGGAAACAAAATAATGCATTTAGTTATCCTGGGAGTCACAACCTCAACCTAGCAACATAAAAATTTTCAAAAACATTACGCTGTGGCATTTTGCTGGATTGAGTGATGAAAAAATATTCTTTACATTCTAGCAACTGTCAATCTAGATTTAAGAAGATCAAGGATTGCTAATTTGTAATAGTGAACAATAGCACCTTGTCTGGAGGAGGCCTAACTCCTAGTTCTGAGGAAGTTCTCCGCAAATTGGCAAATCTCCGCAAATCTCCTTCAGCAATTTTCGGGAGGATATACTCATCTAAGCAAAGGAACAAAAAAAGGGTAACAAAAAAAAAAAATGATCTTCAATATGTCTCTTCTTGGTTAATTGACCAATCAAATGAAGGAGCCTAAAATAAATAATATTAACTAGACAACCCTCACTATAAAATTTAAACAAAATGATTATGTTGAAAAGGATGGAATATCTGATGCTCCTTTGATCAAAGATTCAGTGTCCCTCTCTCCCCACCAACATTTTGACTTTCAAAATTAACACTTGGTAACTTCAAAATCATAACAAATTTTAAAAACATCTTGCTGAACCACTTCCAGAAACTGTACTGATTTGGTTAAAGCAGATACTGTTATAATCAATCTATCAAGAAAATAAACTAACATTTGAACAAAATAGAAGTCAACGAGAAAGAAAAATGTTTAGATCTTGTAATCATGAGATTAAGAGAACTTCATGTAAACATAAAAATGACACTAACGTAAATCTTGCATTTGTAAAGTAGCAGATAAAACTTCTCTCTATGCCCACCAATTGTGAGAAGCAAAGAACAGACCTGTTTTCTCTGGTGGCCACGCAAAGAACTGAGCACATATTTGTTGAAGTGTGACTCGTTGGAATGGCAGCTGAACAAGAACCCTACCAAAGATTAAAAGAAACCAGAAAGGAGTTAAAAGGCACGGTTATGAAAAGAGGGACAAACTTGAGAAAATCCAAGTATCAAGTCAGTATAGAATAAGCTGGCAAGTTTTCAATTTCTACCACTTTTATGAACAGTAGGGATAGCATAAGAAACCTAATTACCTAGTTAGCATAGAATAGGCTGACAAGTCTTCATTCGTTTTCTACCAAAAAAGAGCACATCACAGACTCAAGTATCAACCATTTCTGAGAGGTGCAAATAGACTCTTTTCCTTGCAAATCCCTGAACTGATGAATATAATTCATGATACAAAATTAACTACATGAAGCTTTTGCAGTCTACAATCTTGTATTCATGCTAGAGAAAACTTCTCTATTTATAGCCTAAGAACAAAAGTTTTCAGGCTTTTCTATTGTGACCTCGCATAGGTTGAAACCATGAAAACATCTTCATTGGAATGCAAGGGGAATGCTCCACAAATCCAACTCTCCCAAAGCCCACAATGCAGAAAACATCGTGCAATTGGACATACAACAATAGAAAGGAAAATGGACAATATGAGTACATGAACATTTCTTTAATGCCATAATCTTATGCAGTAACTGCACAGTTAATGTAGGTAACAGGAGTAAGGCAAACATCATCACCTGTAGACTACATCTGAATCTGCTGAGTGGCACTTGGGCTTCAAATATGCATCAATTACTTGCAAAAACTGATTTGGCTCATCTATATTCTCCTCCCTTCCTACCACAAGCATCATGAACTTAAAGGAAAGTTCGAGCTACACTTTTCCACAATTAAACTATTGGAACTCTTCAATTTAATGAATAACCAGTCATCTAATGCAAATTACAGAGTTAGAAATGTGCTCATGTTACACACTTTACTATCTTAACTTCTAAATGTAATAAAGCTCAAGACATAAACCAGGTGTATACATATTATCCTGATTTTTACTATTAACTTTAAGTTTACTGTTTTTCAGAACATGTGTTAATGCTATGTCTAATTTCTAAATATATAATTTAACGAATAAAAGCTTTTGAACAAGAAATATCGAATTTAATAAGCATTTGATTAACCATTCCATTTTAAACTTAATTAAACTCTGAAACATGCTAAGCAAACCAGACAGAGCTTGCAGAAGTAAGATGTGACATTCAAGATTCGGGATTCAATAAGTTTAAGGGGTCTATTCTTGCATTACCATTAACGTTAAATTCAGGATGCAATGAGTTTGGCTGTGTCCTTTTCTTTGAATTTTTAGCTTTCTTAGCAAAGGATAATCCTTCTGATGCAATTCGTTGAAGGACATTATTGTCTCCAACAGACTTAACAATCTGGCAGGCTGACTCCTGTAGACGGAGAAAATGTGCTATAGATAAGCATTTATTACCTGCTTACTAGAATAATAGCAGGCATTCAGGAAAACATGAACAAGGCATCCAATCAAATTTTGAAGTAACAGAATACTGAGACATACTGGACCTAAGCCATGAATTCCCTCAGAGTAATCACTTCCAAGAAGAAGGGCTAGTGTTATCTGAAGACAATAAGATAACGAATAAACAAAATCTGTAATTTACAATCACATGAAAAATATACAAAAGATGGAAAAAGTTAACCATATGAACTTTCTACGAGTTACATTCAACTGGGAGATGAATCAAATGAGACACTCCCTAAATCCAAGACAGCAGTAACAGAACCATTCTCATAAAAGTAAATATGTTTCCTTGTTCGTTTAATTACCAATGAGTTCCTCCCAAAGCCGAGTTTTTTCTCTATATCTGCCATTTCATAACAAACTACATGACCTCCTTTCCCTAATTCATCAGAATGGTTAGCAATATTAATAATCAACTGAAAATTGATAACTAAATAGATCAGCAAGAAAAAATTGCCATATGCTCACCAAGGCATATGTCTCTGTACACTGTCCTTGCACCAAAAAGGAAGACGTCTGAATCTGAAGTGAAACATCCATCCTAACAATCGTCATGAAAATGATAGGTAAAATGAGGGTGCATATTCATAATTCCAAGTCAACTAAATTCAGAGTACAAAGTTCCTACTTACACACAGTGATTCTGAGTTTAGCAGTGCACATTGTGCTTCAGCTTCCTCAATTCTGAATATTGGAAAAAGTCAAAGAACTTGTCAAGTATTTCCACAATAAGGAAAGAAGGGCAGAAACTACCCTAAGTACCGGTTCTTATATTGTTGGTGGTCCAACAGATTCTTGTATTCCTTGCACCAAGGTTTGTCTAAAATAAAGCCATGCATGGCCATAAGGAGTGTTAATTCTTCAGCCTTATATGTCCTTGAAAAGTTTACATATTGTTATTATCTGCTATTCACTTTTTACCAAGTATGGAGAAGAACCAAAATAAAATAAAAATTTGACTACCAAATTACCCATCCAAGCAAGGGATTCCAAGTGCAAGTCCAAGGGCTTTTGCTTCTTTTATCATACGTGAGAACGCAGATCCCATATTTCTCCGAAGTGAACAAGCTTTTGTTGAATTTGTCTCATCCTGAGTAACCTACAGCACAAAGAAACCTTTTCCAATTTACCAAATAATAACAGAGAGGAAAATAATGAAAGATACTTACTACTGCATCTACAGGAGTAAAGACGATGGGCATTGTACAATGTTATGTGGTCAACCTCAATTCCTGACTTTAATCGTTGTCTGTAAGTGGCTAGTTTAATAGCAGGAATTGATCCATCTGCAAGGCAACAAACGGGAATGACATTAAAATATCAAAAGCATTACAAAGGATAAGGCTTTAGTTTAGTAAGCATTTGGTTTACTATTAGTCCATAGACACAAGGGTAAATTTTAATTTTAATGATAATTGATCAGAATTGCATCAAAGTTATGATGGATCCAACCTCATATTAGTAAAATAAAGAGGAAAAAAAAAATCATTTTTAGTAAGAGTTAAGTGTCGAGTCCCAGCATGAACAAGAACACGCCTTTGGATCAAGATTAATACACTCATTTACATTAAAAACAGAACCCCAGTTAATATACTTGACCAAACTTCACTCAGCAAAGGAGAAGTGGAGAACAATACCAGTAACGAAAATAAGGCTACAATTCAAAGCAATGAGAGCTCGAAGGCGGTGAAATAGACTCCTGAGATAGACCTTGTCTTGGATAGCGCAGTGTGATTTGTTCACGTTTTGAAGTTGAACCATCCAACAAGAGAGATCTATGCATAACCTTTTGTTTCTAAAACAAAGAATTGTTTAAAGAGAAAAAAGAATGAGATAGCATAAAACATAGAAGTGGTCTGCAAAATAAAAAGAAGAAGAAGAGAAGAGAAAATGGTCACTTACTGGAGATGTTGAAGTGGCAGGATTTTCTTGCATGATTCTAAGACATCCCATAAATTCTTGACTCCCATGTCTCTGATCTCTCTCTATCAGATACGTTGCAGAACTTCGTAGTAGAGGAAAGCTCTTGACGAGTTTGAATTTGAAATTCACCAATTTTATGTCTACAGAACAGACATTGTTCTGCAACTTGCGAGGGAACCAAACTAATCGGAACGACTTCGTTTTGTGACGAGGAGCTTCTAGCGAGGAAGCCGAAGCGGGGTGGAACTGGAAGAGGCCTGAGACCCTTTGGCCTATGGGCTTTGATCTCCCCAAGAAAGGTCCTACGTATAATTATTTTTCTATCTATTAGTGAATTAATATAATAGTAAACTATTAAATTAAAATAAAGTGAAGTCATACTTCAATATTTAATTTTTCATTATAAAATTTAAAAGAAAAAATAACAAAATGTAATTATAAAAATAATCTTAATTATAAAAATAAATGTCTTATCAACTAATAATTAATTTAATACACTTTCTTTCTTTCTTTCTCTATTTAATTGAACAAGTTGATTTTCTTCAATTAACCAAAGTCATGTCATTTTCATTGAGAGCAAAATTCCTTTCTCTTTCCAGTTATTTTAGGATGCAAGGCCAATGTGTGCAACACATGAGTCATGGCTCCCTACTAACTTTTTTACAACTAAAAAACAATAAAATGCACGTTTAGTTAACATCAAAAGACTCCAAATTAATATTATAAGAAAATTAATTAATTAATTTTATACTCATATTTGTCTATGTAATAATTTTAATTATATTATTAACTTGTCTTTTTTTTATAGAATTTTAATTATTGCATATTGGAAATAAATTCCACTAATTGATTAAATAATAACCTATAATTTCCTGGCATCTCCATGATCAGGTACTTCTCAGACTAGGAAAAAAAATTAATATATATATATATTTTTTATTACCATCAGCCAGAAACTTTTCGTGAAAGGACAAATAATACAGCATGGGTCCGAAATAGTAACTGTACTACAATAGTGGCTAGTAGATTCTTCACATCGCACCACGTGATGGGGAAGGAAGGAACGGACTGTAAGTAACTGGTAAATTTGACATTTCTGAGAGCCTGAAATGAAATAATACAAAGTTGGATTCTTTTGAACCAGAGAGACAACCATTTATTCAAGCATAGTCTGCATCTTCGTTTCCTTACTTCCCTAAGGCTGCGTTGCGTAGAGTTCGTTAAAAAAGTAAAGGTTTTTTTGGTAAAATCACGGCCTCGGAATCCGGTTGCCTTTCTTTATCTGTTACTTGTTTAGAAAAAACCGAACAAAATTTCTCTCTCCCTGGAAGCTGACACACATCGGCTTACACAGATAACATTTCATCTCTTAAAAGGTCTTTTTCTATCTTTTTTTCTTAATTTTATTTATATTTGTTTGTATGATTGAAGGAGAAACTGGATCTGTTTGGATCTAGATTTTTTTTTTCTTGTTCAAATATGGTGAAATGAGAGATCTGTTTGGAAATTGATCTTAACAATGTTAAAGGACTGGCTCTTCATGTTTTGATTTTTCTTTTTTAAATTGACTTTATGTATTTCATCAAGTACTTGAATTTGTAATTTGAAAATGAAAAGCATGCGACTTGAAGGATTAGTTCTGTTAATTTATTTTTATGTCCTATAATTCATTTTAAGCTGAATTATTGGGGTATTTTGTCTTTTTCCTATTTATATTTTGTTTTCTTCTTGGGGAAATTGAGTCTTTTTTTTCATCAATTTAGGCCTTCTTTCCCCAAATTCAATTTTAAACAACTCTCATTGTAAGTGACCTAACTTATGTGTATTATGAAACTAATGTGAAGTTTTATGTTTTATTGTTTATTGTCTAGGCTTGGTGTAGCACTGGAATGCTGTAAAAGTGATGGAGGAGGGTGATTCTGCAGTGAGGAGATGGGAGGATTTGGACACTGATATATTGGTGAAGATATTCCAGTCTTTTGACATTTTTCAATTAATTTCAGGCGTTGCTCACGTTTGCAGTGCATGGCGATTCGCCTGCAGCGATCCCTTGCTATGGAAGACGCTTGATTTGTCAATGTTGAAATCTAATTTCATCAAAATCCCCTTGGAGCCTTATGTGTATGTGGATGGCCGTTCTGATAAGACATTGACCCGAATCTTGAAGATATCCTTGAATCTTAGCCGGGGAAATATAACATCGTTGATTTTCCACTTCAATCTCTTTGTAAGCGATGAGCAGTTAACTTATACGGCTGAAAGGTGAGTTTGTAATATTATCCTAATTTTAAGAACTTTTAGTGTTTCTGATAATGCCAGTAATATATTTAGGTTTTGATTTTTAATATTTCCTTGTAAGGCAAACGAATTTAGGAATTATAGGTTGAATTGGATTCAGTACATCAATTTTTGAGAGGAAAACAATGCATTATTTTTTCCTTTGTCATGAAATAGCAGGTTCTACTTGCCCCATTGCATGTGAACTGTGCATTGGTAGGAGATCTGATTTATTCCTAATTAAGTCAATAAAAAGTGAAATTTGAGACAATTTAGCATTGGGCTGTGGTGTGGCAACAAGTAGGCAGAAGTGAGGGAGAGAGGGAAAAGAAGTTACAGCTACACCTGCCTTGGGAAGCAAATTAGGTTGTAGTTTCATTATTCAAGACTCGAGAAAATAACTCACTGGACCCAATTTTTGTTCTATTAATCTCAAATGGAAACTCTCTACAAGGCACTTACCCGGAAGAAACTTTGAATCTCTTAGTAAGAAAATTTCCTAAGAAATGCTATTATTTTTTAAATTAAAAATTTTTGCTAGAAAAATCTAGATATTTTCCAGGTACATATTCCTTTTGACCAAATGTCTTTCTACTCATAGTAATTAAAGGCACAAGGTGCACTTAAGCACAAAGGGTTATTGGTACCTAGGTGTTTGCCCCTAGGCAAAAGGCGTGCGCCTGAGCAAGGTGAGATGCAAAAAAGTAAAAAAATAGAACGTACATCAATCTGAAAATTATATTTTAAGATATTAAAGAAAAACCGAAAAAGATCAGACTGTGAAAGAAAAAGGTGCATCTTTATTGCACCTTGCGCTAGCGCGAAAGTGAGCACATAGTGACGTTGCCTGCTTCTAGGATAAGGCGCAAGCCTTGCGACTTAAGTATGGTGTGCCTTGAGCTCACCTTTAATAGCCATGTGTTTATGAATCTCCCATAGCTAGGGAACTTCTGCCATGACTTGACTAACTTTTAGGATGGCAACTTGTCCATCGGACCAGACCACCTTGTGTACGCAGGACCTCTGCTATTCCCTAAACCAAACCGTCAGTCACGGCCCTGGAGAACGACTTGTGGGAAATATAGAAAGACTTTCTGTGGTTTTGACTGTAGCTTTTCAGTTGGATATGTCCTATGAAACAGTGCAATAGTAGCTCATCGATCTTTGTTTTCCTGTTGCTAAAGTGCTTATGTGATATGGTTGAACAATAGATGTACAATATGATTATGGTATTTAGGCAACAAGGATGAAATGGATGCAACTGAGGCTCTTTGGATAATGCAAGACAGAAACCTGATGACCTTGATCTCTTTTCTTTCAGCTGCAGAGTTGATTAATATGGCATAATGTGTTCATGTGCGATTCTCTGTCATCGGTTTTTGTTGTTTGCTCAGTGATTATGTCATCAGCTTTAATTTGCTAAACATAGCACGCATCAGTATCTATCATTTGTTGTAAGATAACTATGATAGAAGCATTACTTCTCATTTGCAATTTTAAGGAATGCAAAATAGTTAATCCTGTTATGGTGAAACTTATGTTCAACTTATATCTCAGTTTGATAATTCTACTCAGTTCAATAATTCTAACTTGTAATAATTATATATTTATTGTTTTTTATACAACAATGTGTACCATCTGGATCTTTTAGCTTAACTTTTCACCTGTTCTTGTTGTCCTCTTCCCTTTCTGAACATTTGGAAGCACTCTTGCTGCACATCCTTATATCTGGACTCTGGAGATTCATTTTGTGTGCTCTAAGCCACTCTCTTCCTCTTTTCCAGGTGTCCGCAACTTAGAAGACTTGTTTTGCCTGCATGGAATCGAATAAAAAAGACTGGAATATGCAAGGCTATACGTATGTGGAGAGATCTTGAATCATTGACAATGCCTAGCATAGCAAATCCCCATTATCTCATTGAGGAAATTGCTAATAATTGTAGTAACTTCAGAGAACTAAAGGTCATGGGCCCTTTTGACATTTCCTTTGCAGCCGCACTAGCAACATATCTTCCAAATTTAAAAGTTTTGAGCCTGCGATGTTCAATGCTATTTAGAGATGCGTTGATCCGTATCTTAGATGATTTGCAACATCTAGAAGTGCTCAACATATCACACTGCCTTCTGATTGAAATCCAGCCGCCTCCTGCGCCAAGACGAATTACTAGGGAGCTTGATCAAATTATCCTGGACAGGGCTTCTCGGTTACGTGAATTCTTAATATGCACGGAAGACTCCTGTGTTATGTGCCAGAGGACGAAAAGGGATGAAGGACTCATGCGGTGGTACAAGTATGAGGAAGGTTTGTGGAAGGCCGATGAGGTGAGCTCTCTTGCTCTTTGATTGGAGCAGTCTGAGATCATATTTTAGCAACTAAAATCTGTAGAACATGTGCCTTCTTCCAGATTATGCTTCCAGATTATGCTTTCTTCAATGCTAGAAACAGAATAAACTAATGTTTGAATGGACGTAGTTAAAAGCTGTCATCAATGAGTGGTTGTGATAAAAGACATACTCAATGGGTAGTTGTGGAGGGGATTCTGAGGATTTGCGAAAATCTGCCACTATGGCTGAGATTGTTTGTAATTGTAGTAATAATGTAAATATATGGCAAATTACCCTTTCCGGTACGTTTCTTTTATTTATTTCTTGATATGCAATATCTTTCTCTTGTGTTTCGGTGGGGTGGGGTCTGAAGGAGCTAGAGTACATCGATTTATTATAAATGAGGCATATTCCTGATAATACACGTTGTTTATTGATTTATTTTTTTTGACAATCATTTTCATTTCTGTTCTGATCCTGTCGAGCCTCTAAAGCTAAAGCATTTTTTGCCCCTTTTGGCTGAGTAAGTTTTTGTCTGATTAAGAATATTTTATTCTGTTCTAAACTCCTAGTTGTTGTGCTGGTCTATCAGTCAAACCAGGCATGCTCTTAAGACGGGTTATTCTAGATTTCTGACTCAACAATGGTCAAATCTTCCGGTATCAAGGGGAATTTGGGAATATACATATTCTGTCAACAGTTTATTCTAAGTGAGTGTCTGAAGGTCAGGAATGCTAATTTTGAATCATATTCACATGCGCTCACCTTGACAAGTACATTAACAACGTCGTATTTTTATCTCAGTAGCTGCAAATTCTGTCTGAAAGCCACCTTTGCGGCTGTAATACAAGAAATATTTATAGTGATACTAAATACGAATTTTCGGATGGAGCATGCAAATTTTAAAGATTCTTGTAAAAAAAACACAAGCTGTGTCCTTTTTCTTGGTTTTGACCTTCAACAACAACCAAGTTCCAAGCTGCAATTGCTGTAGCCAAACTGCAGAGTAACATTTTGCACTAAACACAGATTGAACTGCAATTCACCATGCCATGCAATTCCCACGTTGGTATTTTGCACCTACCACGTTTTCAAAATTAAATTTACCTAATTATCCCCAAACTCGTCAAAGGGTTTTTAAGGATATGGAACGGTGATGATGATCGCTTCGCTGCGTCGCATTATTAGTAACAACTAACACATCATTGCGAAATTAACAACAAAGAAGTAACCGATAAAAAATTGGTCTACTATTTATGGATGAACAACCAAGGGCAATCAAGACATTTCCAAATTAAGAAAATAATCAAAATAATAGTTTGTTGGATGAATTCAATAGATATTGGTCCACCAATCTAGGGGTTAATTAAGTAACTTCAGAATTGGAGACGAGGACAATTGATATTTATATAGAAATAATCAAGAAAGGCGTGGAACCTCTGGCGTCTAAAAAAAATTAAAATAAAATAATAAATTGGCGTATAATTGGGAAAGAAGATTTCATTCAGACCAAACTCGCCCGAGGCGATAAAATATCTCTCTCCCATTTTCTCTATCGAAGTAAAAATGGCTTTGCAGCTGTGGGAGACTCTCAAGGATGCAATCACCGTCTACACGGGTCTCTCTCCAGCAACTTTCTTTACAGTTTTGGCTTTGGGTTTGGCCGTTTACTATGTGATTTCTGAGCTTTTTGGATCGTCTGATAATCATCCGAGACCCAGAAGCGTTGAAGAGGTGCAGCCTCTGCCTCCTCCTGTTCAGCTTGGTGAGGTTACTGAGGAGGATCTTAAACAATATGATGGCGCCGATCCTAAGAAGCCTTTGCTCATGGCGATTAAAGGTCAGATCTATGACGTCTCTCAAAGCAGGTATAATTTCAACTCTTTTGGCTTCCGTGTTGGAGCTTTTTGGTCTTTTCTTATGTGAATTACTGGGTTTCCTTAATTTTTTTTTTTCATTTTTTCCGATATGTTTGATCAACTGTTTTGATCCCTGCTTTATAATCCGAAATCTCTGGAAAATTAAATACTTCGGTTTGCAAATTTTGGGGGTTTTCAGATGACGGATTTGAAATTGACTTCTCTTTTCTCTGTTTTTTTCCTTTTTGAAGTGTGTTGGCCACTTTCCGACTTTTTCTTGTTGTTGTTATGGAGTATAATCTCGTTTTTTTAAGGGGAAAAAAAAAGTAAATAGCAACAAATTGGCTAATGCATCATTCTTTTAATTTTCTTCTGGAGAGTCTAGAGTTTAAGGGTCGCAAATCTTCAGCTTCGTTTCTCCCGATGAGTGATTAATTTTGAGTGCTGTTATCTGCTTAATTAGATTGGTGATCTGCCTTTGAAATCTTTTTGTTTCCAGTGAGTTGCGTTAAAAATTGAAAGTCGGGTCCCAAATTTCTTAGAAATAAAACTTTGTGCATATAACGGGTGTCAATGTTTGAGGATTGCAATTTAAAAAACGGAAGTCTGGTAGAATGCAAAGGTTTCGTGTGTTCATGACAATATATGTTATAGACTTCTCTTATTAGGAATTGCACTCTTAATTTGATGTAGCAAACCAGACTTGTTTGCAATGTGTTCTTGCAACGGCCTTACAACCGGTTCCAAGAATGGATTAACATTGAGTTGGAAGATTTCTGGTTTATTTTTTTTTAATGCAAGTGGCAAAACTATGGCTTTCTGAATGTGAAGTAGAATCTTAGATTTCCATGGTAATTTGATGCTGCATGTTTTAATATATAGTATAATAATATCGTAAACAACTAGATACACTTCAGCTGATCTTTAGCTTTTTATATAAGCTGTTTTCTTTGCTTCTTTGTATATCATGATAAAGCCATTGCAAGTTTTGTAATTTTTACGATGTAGTAGTATCTAATTCAGAATATCATACTGTAAATTATGTTTTGTGTCTCACGTGGAGAGAAAAATTCAAAAAATGGACGTGTTTTCATTTTATATGTTGGATGGCACTTACAGCTGAGGCTTAGGTAATTTTTTCAGTTCGTATCTGGATGAGAACTTTTCCACCAGTGCAAAATTTGTTTTGTGAATGCAAAATTTTTTCAGAAACTTATATTTTGTTATGCAATTCCGTTGTTGCAGGATGTTTTATGGACCTGGTGGCCCTTATGCATTATTTGCCGGAAAGGACGCCAGCAGAGCTCTTGCAAAGATGTCCTTTGAAGAAAAAGATTTGACTGGTGATATCTCTGGTCTTGGTCCATTCGAATTGGAGGCCTTGCAGGATTGGGAGTATAAGTTCATGAGCAAGTATGTTAAGGTGGGAACTATCAAGAAGCCTGTTCCAGTAACTGATGAAGCTGCTTCCGCTGGTGAACCTGCAGAAGCTAAAGAAGCTGATGTTGCTAAGCCTGCAGAAGATGGTCCATCAGCTGATGGAGCTGTGGAACACACTAATGCTGAAGTCAAGGAGTAATATTAAGATTTAGGAACATGATTAGAAATCCAGGAAGCAATTACTTATGGAGATGCCAAGAGTGAGTGATGTTTACTCGGATGCATGTGTGGGGTGAACTTTGTTTCGCAATTTAGTTTACTTTATCAATGTAGTATAATTCTATTACAGACCTGCTTCAACTTTTGGATCTTTAAATAAATGCTAAACTTTGGAGATTCAAAATTGTTACATGCCAATATGCCAGGATAAATTTTACAGTTCTTTGAAGAGAACTGAAATGAACCTGAAATTTTACAGTATTCCGTTCCATGTCATTCATTACCACAGGAAAATGAGTGCATTGGGACCATGATTGGTATAACTTTATCTGAAATTGGTAGATTATTTAGTGACCTAATTTCATAACATATTTGTGAGTTGGATGGGGATTATGCTAACCGCCTAACCCTATGTATAGTTATCACTAAGTGGTCGATAAGCAGGTGTAAATTGTATTTTCAGGTCAACTTGAACTGCAATTTACATGGGCCTTATGGTTATTAAGGGTTATGGGCCTTATGGTTGTAGTCATAGTGATAATTAAACATGGGTCAGGTCAGGTAGCTTATGGGCCTAATTAGATTGATTCATTTTTTTTTTTCTGCATTTTTGTGAAATTCTTTTTAGATAATTTCTTACAACATCCAATTATTACACCCAAATGTAATAGACGGCCGAAAATGGATATAATAGTTAGTCAACAAAACTAGAATTGATAGATTAGTTGGTGAATCATTCTATAACTATATTGTAATTAGTTGGCTGGCTGTAGAGATCATATGTCAATTCTATGCAAATCTTAATATTATACTAATACTATGATGCTAAATTTAGTTTTGATACCATGATTTGCAGGATTGGTTGTTGCACTGGTTGTTTAAGCCTTAATTAGTTCATTGTTTAGGTGGGTAGCCATTGGACAATCCAATTTCAAGAACAAGTCCATGTCAATGCAAGAAGGCCCTCACTTAGCAGTAATAATCTCCAATTGCCTCTGCAAAGCAATAAGAATAGTAATAGCTAAGAATTCGTGGTAGCCACTGGACCACAAGGGAAGAAGGGTATAAGGATGCCTTGTGGGCTCCGCAAACTTCATTTTCCGTGGCTGGCCGCTGGCAGGTGAAGTTGAACGTATAGGGCATTGAGCTATCCTTTCAAAAATACATATCAAATACCAATCCTTTTTATTTAATAGCTTAGGGCCCCCTCTTCTTACTCTTAGCACCATCTGCATTTCAAGACTTTGTCCTCTCTTATTATTACACTTATTTTCTCATTGTACATGCTTAATTTCTTGGTTTGCCGACTTTAAATTAGTATTTGTCGTCTTCATTATCTAGTGTTTACACATCAGAGAAAAAAAAAAAAAAAAAAAAAATTTATCACAATAGAGAAAAAAAATAAAAAAAAAAAAAGGCAAGTGTTTTTATTGAAATGATTAAGAGTTCAACAGGCATTGCTTTTTCATTATGTATTTGTTGTGTGTATGGTGACTTGAGAGTAGTGCAGATATATCCTCTGCAACAATCACGATTATAATTTTTCTAAGATATTTATATGTTTAAATCTTTATATTATGTAACATAGCACTTCAATACTTGAATTATAATTCTTATTGATTGTGTGACTAAAGACTAATTTTTTTTTTTTTGATTAGAATTCAAAATGTATCTTATCTATATATATGATATGATAGATTTTTCATAAATAAAAAAAAAAAAAAAAAAAAAAAAGCAAGTGTTTTATGAAATGAAAGAGTGTCAACATGCATTGTTTTTTCATTATGTATTGTACTGTTACTAATATCAATGATGATCTCTCTGCACAATTTTCAGCGATATAATTTTTCTAATATAATTAATTTATTTTTTTTAAATCTTTTATATTATGTAACAAGCACTTCAATACTGAATTATTAATTCATTATTATTTAATTTCTAAACTTTTTAATTTTTTTTTTTTTGATAGAATTCAAAAATGTATCTTATATGGAAATGTTAAGATAGATTTTTCATAAATAAAAATTTTTCTTGAAAAGTCAATACTAAATTAAAATAGAAAAACTAGTGACTAAATTAAAAATTGGAAGTTTATTTGTGGCCTATGATTGGGTCTAAGTTTTTTCAATTATAGGATTTAGTCAGGGTTAATGAAGATTAGAAATTATGGGCATTGAGGTCATTCAAATGTGATTGGCTGTGAATTTTGGCTCCATCTACTCCCCCATGGGTCACCTGATCCCCTTATAAATAGAACACAGACTTTCTTAAACAGCTCCAAAGTCCTCTTTTTTTTCTACAAAATCTCCTCTTTGAAGCCTCTTCTTGTACAACCTATAATCATGAGAACTTACAGCTTCTTACTTCCACTACTGTTTTTCACAATTATTTTAGCAGGTCCAGTTCATCTTTGTACTTGCAGGCATCTCGACTTTGCTACCAATCAAGAACCAGATCGAACAATAAACACCATAAAGTTCCCTTTTTCCATTTTCATATCATCGTTCTGCTGTTTCTCGCTCCCTGCAATCTCAAGATTACAAGGCCAGCCCATTATATGCTGCATCCAATAAGCTTGTTCCAGGTGGACCAAATCCACTTCATAATTGATCTGATTTTCTACTTGTGTATTTTGTAGGTAGGCAAAAGAAAAAGAATTCTGTTTGGTTCTTGGAAAGAATTGAAAGGAAAGAAAAGAAAGAGATATTCTCAAAATTGCAATTTTAGTTCTTTCCTTCATTCTTTTCAAGAACCAAATTTTTACTTCGAGTTGTAAAAACTAAATCCATCATGGATTACTACTGTAAAGCACATTATCAATTTATATAATTACCATGATTATGTTGCATTTTTACTTGAGTAGAAATCGTGAAAACTTTCGTACCCTTTAACAGTATATTTGGTTGACCTAGTAGTTGCAAGATTCCCACATTTGATTATCCTTTTTAAGCCAAGAAAATGAATAATCATGCATGTATACAAGCCTGCATATCTGTTTATTACAATATATTAGTATAACTACCAATTATTGTCTGACATCTTGCACTAATCATCCATGTGGTAGTAAAAAAAAATTATATATATACAATTAACTCAGCAGAAATCAAGATTAAGAGTTAAACACATGATATAACTGCAGGTGAATTGATGGAACAGAATTGCAGGTGGGTAGGGTATGCTGGCTTTCTTGTTTGCAATACCATAATTATTTATTAAGATACGCGTAATTGGTGAGTCTTGCTGCCTTAAATTGGTCTTCTCCCCTATCATATTTATCTTTTAGATCATTTATTCAAACCTTTTTTCCCCATAAACATCCAATTCAGTTGTTACCGACTTTCATTGTAACTGCCTCTTCAAGATTCCTAAGAATGCTCCATTCTCAATATGTCCAACATTACTAAGTTGTCACTTAGCTCAAATTTTGAAAATGGTATTTAATATTAATGGAGTTGAGTTTATATGTATTATGTTTTAATTAATCTTTTAGATAACAATATCAGCAGGTTATGGTTATGCAAGGACAAAAGGATTACAAGTACAATAATAGAAAATTTAAACAGGTCAACTCACTAACAAGGCATGGTTTAACAATTTATTTATTTTTTATCAATCTTTATGACACAATTGTCTTAATTAATTGAGCAGCCTGAGAGCTGACATAATCAACTTGGCTGTTAGTAGCATTAACTACAATTTCTACTTATAATCTGCACCAGATTTAAAAAATTGAACTAGGCAAGGTTTTGAATATGCACCTTCCTAAATTCCAAATGGCTCGAAGGGTCAACGCTTTTTTTTTTTTTTTCTCATAACATACTGATTAAACAATTTTGTAAGCATACTTATCTCAGCCTAAATATTTTTAGGAGAAATTCAATGTATTAGTGATTGGTCAGGCCAAGTGTGAACATTGCAGACCATCTTCAATAAGGAATTGCTTTTGTTTGGCGCAGAAGATGATAAGGTAAAAGAATAAGGATCACAGCAAGGAGCTTCCATTTTATACTCCTATGACTTGCAGTCAAAATTTCTTCCATATACTAAGAATCAAACTGGAGATATAGCAATCCGTCGAACAAATATAAATTTCAACATTTGTAGAGCTTACCTCTCTGACTTCTGATGCATAATTACTTCTCTGAAGAAGAAGAAGAAGAAGTCAGCATCAATATACCTCAAAGATGAGGTATACATATTCAGCCTCATTCTTGGTAAGGACTCCTTCAAAAGTCAACATTTGTCATTGTTAAGAAACACAATAACACAGGATGTGCCTGCAACCAAGAATCAATTTTTTATTTTTCAAAAGTCAGAATTGATGATATAATATATAATGTCAAAATGTTGTAAATATCATTCTGTATTGCACACCATAGCTGATTGGTATTTGGTGGTTTTGTGACACAATTATAAATAGCCTTCAAACTTACCAACTCTTACATACAACCAAAGTGCCTTGGCCCCTCTAATCTACTTATTTCCCCACCATAATTCAAATCATGATGAGAATTAAAAAGTCTCAAAATATGCTTATTTTCCTAATGATGCTTGCACTTGTCCATGGTATCCATTGCCGCTATACCTATCAAGTGCTTACCAATGTAGAAGCAGACCAGGGACTGAAAATTACCAAGTATTCTGATAAGTTTCTACGAAGCGTTTCTGCTATACGTAAGGCTATAAAGTCCAGTAACAGCAAGATCAACTCAATACACATCGTCTCTCGCCGACTTGTTCCCTGCGGACCAAACCCACTTCACAACTGATTGGATCAACAAAATTCCGATCTGTTTTTTTTATGAATGGCAGTTTTATACGGTGTTGTAGAACGAGGATATATAATTCCCACAGGAGATAAATTTTCACTTTCCTATATTGTTTAAAGCGTGCAGGTTTATAATACAATTTTGGCTTTCCAGCATGTTTTTTTACCTCTTATTGTACAATAATCGTGGAAGTCATATGCATTTTTTTTTTTTTTCTAAAACAAGAATAAAACATATATATATATATCCGTCTGTATTCATACGTATGTATGTTGATTATTGGTGATAAATATTTGGGTTGCTGTGTTATATTCTTGCAAATATATATCCTATATGTACCTGTAGAAACCAATTTGATGTAATATAGCGAAGAAGTGGATAATTTGTTTGACGAATTGTTGATTTTGGTGAATTGTTCATGAAATAGTAACACAAAGTATGATTCTGCCATTCTCTAGGTTTTGAAGGACTAGTAATATTTGAAGTTTCTATCTAGCTCTCCACTACTCTTGAATTTGTCGTTAAGACTTCAAAGTAAAATTAGCTGTGCACTAAAAGAAACTTACTTTCCAATGGGTAAATATAAAAAACAATAGATAGCCATGAATGAGAGAAGCTTCGAATTACGCAGCAGAACAAGGAGTAACATAAGGAAGGCAACATATACAGCAATACACGAGGAACCAAAAACAGCAAAACCAAAGTTGTAGTAATCTTGCACATATTTATTATTCAAAAAAAGGTGCCTTATATAGTTATTCTTCGAATACAATCATCTACACCTCTCAATTCCTGGAACCTGAAGTCTTTGGAGTCGCTTCTCGCCTAATCTTATCGACGGCATAAATTCTGATTTTGAAATTTCGGCCGAACACGATTTTCATCATTTCTGGATTGTAGATCATGCAACGGAAAATCTTTCAGTATAGCAGAGATTTGAGGCGGAATTTGCACAAACAAAAATCAAAAACGGAATCTGACGGACAAGAAGAAAGCTGGAAAGTGCAGTCAGCTGAACGCCGACGAGGTCGCAACTGACAAGTGCTCAACTGGCGGCAAATGATTGAAAGGAGACCGATGACATGACAAGATCTGCTGACGCGAAGAAATCTAGCATCCTTGACTGATATGGGACGTGTCATTTGCTTATATGCATTTCCACAACAGCGAGGAAGACATGTCATCGAACAGCTACCTTCTGCCAGATGATACGCCTAACCACTTCTGATGACCTGTCACATTAATTCCGAGCCTTGCAACCATGACATAGCACGGCATGAATTCAAAACTGGTAGCCACGTGTCAGAGACGAATGACGCGTATGTAAACTGGGACCCACGTGTCAGAGACAGATGACGAGTATGTAGCCATGTGTCGGTGCCTACATCAAGTAGACAGCCACGTGTCCATATGATGATGTGTTCAGCCACGTGTCGAGCCATGTGTCACCAATGATGACGTGCGTGTAGCCATGGGTCAATCTCCATTACGTGGACATGAGCCACGTGTCAGAGGTCGATGACGTGTGCTGCGCCACGTGTCTGGTTGATGACGTGCATCAAGCAACGTGTCACCATTGTGACGTGTGTCCCGCAACGCACATAAGGGAGATGACGTGTTCGCTATATGTGGTGGAATATGATGACGTGTATGATCCACGTGTCCACAGGCAGTGACGTGTAGAAATACATGTGTCAAAGTACGATGACGTGCACATGGAACACGTGTTGGAAAGGCGATGACATGTACCGCCACGTTTGGGAACAATGACGTGTGTTCAGCCACGTAGCGACGACTATGACGTGTATGATGCACGTGTCTAAGATGGTTGGCGTGTCTTCAGCCACGTGTCCGTGCAGTGACATGCATCGAGATACGTGTAGTGGGTCGATTATGTTATCATGCCACGTGTTCGAAGTCCACGTGTTTCGGTCAAGGACGTGTATAGTGCCACGTGTCTATGGCAATGACGTTATGATATACTTATCTGTTAATGGGCTTTTTGTCTTGCCCTAAGTCCAGTTTGGGGATTTAAACAAACGGGTGAAATTAGTACTGGACTTCACCACTTCCAAAAGCCAATCTCAGGAGAAGTCACAAGGAACCACGTGGCCGTGGCCGTGGCCATGGCGAAAAGCATTATGTTTCTCAAAAAGTTTTTTTTTAAAAAAAAAAAAAAAAAGATAAACAAAAGTTTAACCAGTAGAACATTTCGTCCACGTTACCTCCACAATGGAAGAGTGTAGTCAAAAAGAGGGGTCTGTTAGTTGGTCTTAACCACATCCACATGTTAGTTGTAGACTGGTGGTGTAGTACATACCACTTAGGCAACTGTGACAGTGTTAATCTTCTTCCTCACTCTTTTTGACTCGCTGTTTGGATAATGGCATTGTTATCTTGACTCTGTTTGCAGAAGGGAAAAATTGGCCATTTTTGAGGTCAGTTTCGTAAGTGAAATAACAATATTTAAATGCAGCACGAGAAGTTTGGCAACACGTGCTTTCTGCCACACCCTTTTGTCTTTGTCCAAACTCGCCTACTCTTTCAGCTTCACGGTTAGACGCAAACAGAAGTAGAGTCAGCGAGATAAAGAGAGAGTGCGTGTGAAACAGTACCCGGCGATGAATACAGGAGATTCCGGCGATTTCTACAATTCCGATGACGCACTGCCTGAGGGCTGGACAGTCAAGGTCAAAGTAAGAAGCAGTGGTAGAAAAGATAAGGTAATTAGTAATTGCATCCAGTTTGTTGACTCGTTTTTTACTTTTGTTGGTTCGTTTTAGGTAATTTTATTGTTTGGCCGGCGCCTCTGCTTGGCAATATCTGGTAGAATCTTTCAGTTTCCTCTTTTAGCTAGGTGTTGCATGGAATTGATTTTCTGATTCGTCGTTTTTTAATTAAATTTAGTTAAAAGCGGATGGAGTGATTATCGGTTTGCGAGAATTGTAAGTGTGTGAAACTATGAATTTACTGTTGAGGTCTGTTTCTTTCATTGTAGAAATCGTTGTCTTAATACGTAAATCTGGGAAGGACTGAAATTTACACTAATATTATCTTTTGCTCAATGATTTGTGATTATGATGTTATTGAGTGAATGATAAGATAGTTCAATTTTCACTATTTGATATACTGAACTAAAAGATTGAATCCAAGGCGTTTATTTTATTTTATTTTTCTTTTTATTACGTTCTGTATCCATCCCTGTAGCCCAGAAAATGAACACCAACTGGTTTGTATCATGCCGTTAGGAGTGTGGGAAATAACTATATGTAAGGTCAAACTAAAGCAGTTTCTTTGCATGACTTTGTGGATCCAGTTGTGACTATGCTTAATCCTTGAACAGTCTTTATTGGGAATTGTCTAGTACAGTAGAAAAAGTCTTGGGCTTGCAACCTTTTGGTAGCAGGTTTCAAGACTTCACAACAACCACCATCTCCAGAATTCTCTTCACATCACTTGTTTTGGTCCAAATTTTTCGTTGGCCTCAGATGCAACTTGACACGCTAGATTTCTTGTACGTCTATTTAATAGATGCACAATTGATCTTTCAGGACATACGTCTACTCAGCTCAACTTTGACTGAAAATTTGAAGATTATGATAGAAGAATTCAACAATAAGAATATGTTAAAGGGAACAACTAATTATTTAGTCTGAGTGAAAAAGAAATCGGATTTTTTTAATCATTTGTGTTTGTTGCAGTGTTACTTTCCTCCCTCAGGTGAAGGTAAATTCCACTCCAAACTTGAGGTAGTTCGCTATCTTAACAAGCAGTCTTAAGTCGGAAGAGATAGAAAAAGGCATTGACAAGCACTTAAAAAATGTCTGATTCAAAATTCTATTCTTTTGGTGTCTATTTTTTTTTTTTTAGTATCAGTTGTTGTTTGAATCAATATATAGTAGAAGAGAGTTTTGATTGGTAAGCAATCTTAGGTTGTTTTTGAGAAAGCTGAACCAAAAGGGCTACCTCCAGGATGGATCAAAGAAATCAAAGTGACGACGAAAGGTCATAAAACCAGAAGAGACCCGGTACTCAACCTCTACTTCCTTTTTTTGTAGTTAAAGTGTCTCTCTACCCCTTTATTGAATAAATTCAAGTTTTTAACTTTCAAATCATTGTCTTATTTTTTATGAGCTTCTTGAATATTTATCAATTCTTACACCTCAATATCATTTTCTCTGCAAATCTTGTTTCTTTCTATGTTTATTTTCTTATATTAATCATCTGTACAAAATATTTTCTCTGAATTTAATGGGTTGTTCATGGAGCTTAGCCTATGGAGATTCTTACATTCTTTGGTTAATCTTACATTGTGGAGATTATTATGTTATTTGGTTAATTCTGCAGTATTACACAGATCCTGTAAGTGGATATGTATTCCGCTCTATGAAGGACGCACTTCGCTACCTTGAAACTGGAGAGGTAGGAAGACAAGCATTCAGGCCAAAGGAGAAAAGCGACAATAATGTAGAGTTGGAAGATGATAAAGTCTTTGTGCGTGCAACAATAATTCTGCAAGTCTTACATCTTCATTTTGTCAGTTGATAAGATATTTCCTTATGATTACATCCTCCAATCTTGTTTTATAATTGTTTCATGGAAAGAATTAAATTTTTCTAGCTGTTGCTTAATCTTGTTTTTGGTCAGTTCAAACCTAGGCTTACCAATCGACGAGATCTTGAACTGAACTTATACTAACACAAGTAGAATGAATAAAATTGAGGCAATTGTAGTAAAAATTTAGCGGTTTTTATCAGTTGTGGACAAAAAGGAAATGGTCTAGTGGACTATAAATGTCATCTCATCTATAAATGTCATTTCGAATGTATCATGTAAAATATGAGCATGCTTTTCACTAGCTTGTTTTGTCCCCTTCCATTCTATGAATGTGCGTATAGTAAGAGGAAAACAACTTACTATGATCCCCCTATAAGCGAAGTTGAAGAGTTGAAAATGTTAGGCTAAAGATCCCATATTGAGTAAATATAAAAGAGTTGAAGGATTGTAGGATGCTTGGGTCCTGCTACTTATTAGCTTGGCCATTTGAGTTGGTATGAGAGTTTATAACAGTGAAAACTACATTGCACTATTCCACACCTCTGTTGGCAAGGTTGAGGGTTGAGAATACTACACAAATGACATTCCTTGACTTATGTAAGTATCCTTTTTGAATGAGAATGTGGATAGTCTGCAAGTATCTTTGCCCTCAAAACAAATTGTGCGCTTTTCGAATGTGAGCATGAATAAGTCTTGTCTTATCTACTCCTTCGTATGTGTAAATAGTTGCTAACTGTTGTTAGCAATATGCCTCTGTATGAATGCTTGAAGGGCAGGATACTATGATTGGTTGCATCCTTTGTTAGCTTTTTACAAGTCTTCTTGCATGTTAAAGTACTCAAGTATTTTATTGTTGTGTTCTTATTCATTTTGAATCTCAGTAAAGTCAACCATATATGTTTTTGCATAATCTCAGCCCTGAAACTGAGACAGAGTCCGCAAAAAATCTTAAACAAACTGTTTTTTTCTATGGTATCCTGCATCAATTAGTTGTTCCTTGTCTTGAAATTGAGGATTTCCCTACTTTGCTTTCAATTGTTTCATTGAATGCTGGCTGAAACTATTTTTTGGCTTCAATTTAATAATGACATATTTTGACTCTTTCCAAAATTTTGTTTTTTCTGTTCCTAGTCACCAGCTGCATTGAAGAAACGAAAGTTGGCAGTCGCAACAATGAGCCCAAGTGTAACTGACCAGAGCTCAAAGTTGCCTGACTTTGCTAAGGATGAAGATGTACTTAGTTCAGATTGTACAGGAGAATCTATGTCTGTCCCTGAGCATTCTGCTTGTCATTGTATTATAAATTTCCTTATCCTTTACTAAGCAGCGTGTTTTTTTGTGCGCACATGCATGCATCATTTTTCCCTTTTTGAACTTATTTTTATGGGAGTTAAGTGAAGAGTGACTGGTTTTGGAATCTTATGTAAAGAGTAGGAATTGCATATGAGGCTTGACCAACTGACACAGAACATACCATAGAACATGTGATTAGTTTGGGGCATTTGAGATGGAGCTGTCAGGGTTGGCTCCATGGAAAATATTTTCTAATTGAATGTATGAACTTGGTCTTCCAACTCAAAAAATCCTAGGTTAAGTTCACATCTCACTGGGGATGAGGTAAAGGGACATTATCTAATGTGAATTTTCTTAATGTAGGTGTCGCTGAGGATCGAATAAGCATTTCAGAAGTACCAGCAGACGACATCTCAAACCAAACAGTAGGAAAGAGTGATCCTGCTAACAGTATAGATACTGCACTGGGCATTCTTCCACATGAGCACTCAATGGAAAGTAGAGTGATAAAGGATGAAGCTAAAAGTACAGGACCTGGCAAATCAAAGAAGAAAAAAGAACTTAATCTGCCACGGCGGGTTTCAAAGCGGCTTGCTGGCCTGCCACTTGATCCTACACCTCAATTGAAAACAACAAATCGAGCTCGTCGGGCTGCAGTTAAACAGTCTGATGACATAGTTGCAAGCACGGGAAGTTCTTCCCATCCTGAACTTGACTCGAAGCTGGATGTAAAACATGCATTTGATACCTTCAAAAACCGGAAAAGGTCACTTGACACAAGTAAGATTAGGCATCCTATTGAGAAGATGGCTGCTCCAACTGAACATGTGGGAAAACTAGAAACTGAAGAGAGGGTTGATGGGAAGCCTGAAGATGCTGTTGTTCCACCAACAAAGTATCTAACAGGAAAAGAAAATGATGGTAACGAGAAGCATGAACACACTGTTGTTTCTTCTTCAGGATATCTGGCCGTTAGAGAAGAAAATATTGGAAAAATTGAAACTGCAAATGTTGCTGATGAGAAGTTAGGACTACCTATTGACCTACCACTTGTGGAGTTATGGCAAGATCCTTGCATAGCATTTGCAATAAGGACTCTCACTGGAATATCCTTTAACAATACTGAAAGTGTACAAGCCTCATCAGGGTCAAACAATAGTGAATTTGGGGGCGTGGCTACTTCAGAACATGCTAGAAAAGACGATGGACAGGATGAGCGAGAGTGCAAGGGTGTCCTGTCTCTAGGTAACACAACTAATCCACGAGAACTTGCTGGAGAGACTGAAAATAGCGATAGGGGTGATGAAAAGCCAGGATCCCCTCTTAACTTGCCTTTTGGAGGTGCATGGGCAGACCCTTGCATTGAATTTGCAATAAAGACACTCACAGGTGCAATTCCATTGGATTCTGATATGGTCATGCAAGATTGTCTTCTAACGAAACCGAGCTCATCACAATCACAGGATAGTTATGACTTGACCTTGCAGAATGTTTGTGAGCCTGGTCAAACCAATTTTTTGTGTCAGCAATTTGGCATCTCAGAGAAGTCGTTATATAATCAAGGGGCTTTAACAGAGCCTACATTACCACACGCTACAAATATGAATCCGGGATTTTCCCTCCATCATCAGGATAGTGACAAAAGAAGTAGAAACTGTCAACGATAGGCAATCCAGTATAGTGATCAAATTGTACAGGTTGGTGAAATTCAAACTGGATTTGATTATTTTTGGGGATGAGATCTTCTGTAATTGTCATGTTAGCGGGAACGTTCACCTACTAATCTGTTTGTAGTCAGATAATAACTTCTTTGTTTTGATCCATGTATGGTAAAAATATTTGGAGGGCAGTTGTTTAGTTACTGTTCATTTGTTTTATTGTCCTGTTGCTTTGTTGTGGAGTGCTTCTGCTTATCACACAGCCCTTTTTGCACCACATGAATAATACATGAAGCAAAGTAGTATATTAAATGGAATGAAAATATGCGACTGAAACTGCTGAGGGATTTATAATATATGTACATTAACAATTTCTCATTAAATTGACTGTAATTTTTATTAATGTTTTCATGGCCAAAATTTACGAAACTACAACTTCTGGTCACAGTTGAAAAGTTGCCCAACTGTTAGGAGCAATTGGCCAAGCAAAACGCCGTCGTACTATGAGTTCGACATTTTGGCGCCCGCATATTGCCTAGTGGCTACTATTTAAAGGATCCATAGAAGCGCGCGAACTGCACCAAGTTTGCCGCCATTTCCCAAATTAATTCCTTTTCTGTCTTTAATTATTTCACCTTTTTGTTAGCGCAATCGGTTATCGAAATCAACAAATAATGCAGATTCAAGTGAAGTGCAGCTGCGGGGCAGAGAATTGCCCAGAATGGGCGATCGTAGAATTGCAAGGCGTAGTTGAAGTTCAGCCTTCGTTTCAAGATCGTCTTCAAAATCTCGAGATAGGAGAGCTTTGCCGCCCTTCTTCTCAGGTCTTCACATATATAACTTGTCGCTTACAATTCTAATCCCTAATCTATTGCCATTTGGAATCAAGATTGTTAATTCTTGTTTTTACGGTCTGCTTTGTGCAGGAAAACTATACTTTCACGGTTGGGTATCATGAATTGACGGGGTCTAAGTTGACCTTGAAGAAGCCATTGTTGGTTTTGAAGAAAGTAAAGTATATGGATGTTGACCAGGGCTGTGGTAGTGACGACGACTCATCTAATAAGGTAGAATTGGATGTCATTGGCATTATCCGTCACAAGATCTTGTTCAAAACCAGACCCAAGGCTTTAATATCAAGTAAGTTTTAAAAATGCTCGCGTTTTTTCATTTTTCTGAATTCCGATTTGCTCATACCTATAGTAATTCACTCACCTCATACAAATAAACTTAACTTTCCTTCCTTTTCCTCTTTTAGAACCACAACCAGTGGTGAAGGAAAGAGCCAATTTTGCAGGTCCTGCTGCTTCAAACTAGAATGTTTAGAACATACAAGCAATCGAAGAAACCAAGCTAAATGTATTGAGTCATGTAAAATGCTGTTTTTATATCCCCCTCTAGTTTCTGAGTTTCTGGCTTCTCTACCAGATTGGAACTTTCAATCGCCATGCCTTAAACCATGAATGTAATTTGAACATTTGGAATTGGAATAGATTATTGCTTGGCACTGTGGGAATATAGTTTTATGCACATATTTTCAGCTTAAAGGCCACTCAACAACAAAACTATACCATGTATAAGCAAGGCCACTAACCCTTTAACTGAATCCAGAAAAAAACATGCGTGTCATTCTTCTCAAGGCTATAAACATCAAGCATTCCCTGGATTGAATAGAAAAAGAAAAAGTAATTTCACCAATTTGCATAAGCATTTAAGCAAACTTATGTAGTCTACAAAAGGTCAGATGGATAAAAAAAATAGCCAAATGCATTTAGTATTACACCAACAAGATGTCTCTCTTTGGAACAAGTTGAATACCTTCCATTCTTTGATTCCCTCACAGATAAAGTAAAAATAAAATATCTGAATACTTGGCAGTGACAAATGACCAGATGAAATAAAGCAAAACTGCCACAGGAATGGCAAAATGGACGACCTTTTGGTCATATAGAATATAATGTAAATCCTGTTTATTTACAGATGCTACAAAGGCAGGCGACCAACTGCAAATGGCTACACTTTCCTCTAAGCGCCAGGTCCTGTTACCCCTGCACGAACTCTCAACATTTCTGTTCTCTTGCTTCTTTCCATTACCTCCACAAGCCACTGTATGCTTTCTTTTATCCCCATCCTGCAGTGAAATCTCAATCTGAGTTAGTACCTTCCACATAACATACACTTTTGAGGTTGTGAGGTACAGTTATTAGATTAAAAATATCCGTTTCAAGACACTTTCATACAAGCATTCCTACCATCAACTTACCCATCGTATGCTGAAACTGCTTCAAACATGTAAACCCTCTCATCCAACTTCTTAAGATCTAGATATCGAGCAATTTCTTCAGCTGATGCAGCATCGGGAAGATCCTGCCATTAAAATGATGCCCACTAAGTGATTGTCTTTTTGCTTAATCACATGCATAATGCAAGATCAAGCAGCACTCTACTAGGAATTAAATCATAATAACTCCAAGTTGATGTTTGTAATATTCTCTGCAAATAATACAATGGTTAGTTATATCTACCTGTTTGTTTGCCAATATCAAAAGAGGTGCTCCTTGCAAATCCTCATGCCTAAGCACTTTTTCTGTTAACATAATTCAAGTAATTAAAGCATCATTTTACCACCAACCCTAAGCTCTTAGCTACTGATTAAAAAAGTTGCCAATCTTTCACTAATATTGCTATGCTAAACATTTACTCACCTAATGCAGACTTCGAATCTTCAAAACGTGAAGGACAAGTAGCATCGATTATGAATATAACAGCATGGGCCTCTTCATAATATTTCTCCCAAATTGAGCGTAGACCGGGCTGGCAGAAACATCCAAAAGCGTAACATTCAGTTGCTGAGCATTTTAACCCAATTACGCCAACAATGAAAGCCTTGTGCTCACAAGTGATGCTACAAAGAGCTTACAAATAATTTTCTCTCATAAAAAACAAACATTATCACTTAATTCTTAAACCTGTGACATTTTTGTCATATAGACAAATTCTAAAATTGGTCTATAGCAAGCAAAGCACCTGCTTCCCAATGGACTCAGCTATAACCAAGTTCCTTTCGGGCCAGAAATAAATTTTGGCCTATATTTGTCAATATAGCATCTGTATAGAGCCAAAGCCTGAACAGCAATATTATGTTTTGCCCACTTCAGAGTCTAGACCAAAAATTTGGTCTAACCTTTTTTCCCCCTTTTTGGCTTTATTTAATTTTGCTTTTTGTTTATTGATTACTTTTGCATTGCAGCATACTGCAGAAAATGTTATTGCAGCATGAATTCAAGTAATTTTGACAGCAAAAGACATGGATGAAGTCAAAATCAAGTCACAAAAAGCTTTATATACGAGGTTAAACATAAGCACACTCAAGACCATCCTTAAATAAAGGAAAAGGCCCACTTATGCAAATATGTTGTAAAAGGAATATTTATCTATGAATTTTACATACCTGACCACCCAGGTCCCAAAACACAAGTTTTGTATTTGATACTTCAATGCGACCAATGTTAAGTCCAACAGTAGGAACAATTCGATCAGGAGGGAGGCCTTCTAAGTTTGAGTACAATGATTTCAACTTCTCCAGCAAAGTCTACAAATTCCGAGAAGAAGAAGGTTAAGTGTGCAGCAGATAAATGACACAAAACAAACAAAATTCATAACTCATTAGAAGCAAAGCTTTCAATAAACCACATGACAGAGTGAATAAGTCAGGGTATAGAGAATTATTACAGTTTTCCCAGCCTTGTCAATTCCAAGAATAAGCACATGAAATTCTGTCTTGCTAAATATATATTTCCAGAGGCCATAGAACAATGAGAACATTTCTGTTAGTTGCAATCTAAATTTGAATTATTCCTGAAGACCTTATGCGAAAGAGAGGCAGAACTTCATAATGCTAACTTGATCTTGTCATCCCAGTATTGGCAGTCTGAAAAACCAAAACGACCAAGACAAACATGAGAAATGAGTAAATACAAAAAGAAAAGTATAAACAACAGCTGCAGTTCTAAATGATGAATTTATGTGTTGAAAGAACTCAGCTCTGGCTCAAATGATTAGCGTACACATGATAAACATCTGGCTGCAAACAATTTTTAATCATTCTTTAAACACATATTCACTTTGATTAAAAAGATACTGATACCAAACTCTTTTTTGGTCTTTCCAATAACCTGTGCCCATGTAATCGTGGTGGCTATTTAACTTTAACGCACCGCTAATCTATGTTTGTGACTTCAGCTTCGGAGGCACACAAATTAACAACATTATTCTTTTGCTACCGATTCACATTTTCTACTTTATCCGAGACTAAATCTAGCTCCTCCAGAATTATATAGCAAACTCTTTATTGCAAGATTCAAAGATACTCGACATTTCTTTTCTTCTTAAAATTGGATCCTGAAGCATCGAAAGCAAAGTATGCGACAAAAACGGGAAAGAGCTAAAAATAAAATAAAAACTTAGAGCAATCAAAGTCCCTCCTGCACTCTCGATCCATAGTTTATTCCAGAAACTGATAGGCGGTGGACTAGAAAATGATATGAATTATGATAGAAATTATATATGATCGGAAAAGCTGAAAAAGAAAAACTCAAGATCTTATCTCAACCAATCATGAAATAAAGTGACCCAGAATCTAAATCGAAGAGAACTTTGAAAATTGGTAGAGGCCCAACTGATAATCAACGTTGAAAAGCGAGAAGGCATAACAAAAATACCCAGATCAGAAACAAAATTGATCAAAAACAATTGCTGCATAATTAAGCAAAACATAACAGTATACATGTGAAGCAAATTATTATAGAAATCAAATACCTTCGAGTAAAGATTTTTATTGTTGATGATTGAGAATTTGAGATAAAGACCACCGCGAAGCTCCAGCTATGTCAGTTGTCCAGTTGAGTCTGCAGAGCTTCTTCTAATAACTAACGGAGGAACACTTTCTGCGCTTTGTTCTACGACACCGGTTTTAGAAGCTCTCTTCCCTATTTGCATTTTTCTTTAATTTTGATATGCATTCTCCATTTTGCCCTCACCACGTCTTGGGAATTGACGTATTCTATCTCAATAAATGCGTTGACGTGGCATGATCTTAGTGGATGATAGGATTTTTTTTCCAAAAAAATGGAATTTCTTTAATTACTGTTTGGTAGTATCATTCATTTTTTGGAAAATAATTGTAATGCAAAAATTGTCCTTTAACTAGTAAAATTTCTTATAAAGTTTTAAGAAATTTTTTAAGATTATTTAAGATTATAGTATTTTTTCCTGTAGTTTTAATTTCACTCTCGCCGGTGTTAAGTCAACATACATTTATGACTTATAAACCACACGATTTCATCCTGAACAATCTCAGCGCCAGATCCGAACCGAGTCATCAGACTTATCAAACGGTAGTAAAGTAAGGGTAGTATCGGAAAAGGGAACATCGGTCAATAAGAAAAGTAGAATAAGCAAGACCGACACTGAGACATCGCAAGCGGAAAGAGCAATTTGCAGGTACAATCAATCTCTGATCCCTTTTTTTTTTCTCTAATATTATCTACATTTATCATTTTTTTTTAATCTCTTGGATTAATTGATCCTGGTGTTAAATTTTCCGTTTGATTGAAAAATCAACCATTATTTTCTTCCATCTATCTTCATTTTTCTCGAGAAGCTAACGCCAAGCTTTGGCTTGTAGTTCGTAGGTCGCCTTTTCTAGCCGTGGCTTTGAATTTGATTGATTAACTGCATAAATTTTATGAATTTCTGACTTTATTGACCTTTTTCTTGCGATTTACCATCTTTGGTATTGAAACATGATTTTAGTTACCCGTTTGGTTATTTGAATATGGAAATCTTTATTTTTTTACTCTCTTAAAGGTTCTTAAAAACTTGTAGAGTTTGTATATTTGAATGATGTTAATATTAGGATAATATGAAATTAGTGAATTGGCGAGGTACTGCTGGGGGTTTGCATTTTACAATTTAATTCAGAATTTTAAAGTTTTCTGAATTTAGATTAGGATGCTGGTGAAATCTAGAACTACAAAGTCATCAGATTTGATTTGATAATCCATCAGATTATCTTGGATGTAACTAATGTCGAATATATATGAAAATTTTGGCATCTGAATGCAAACTATGCCAATACATAGATGGTTGTCATGGTTTGATGCATAGTTGAGGAGAGATTTTATTTAGCCTTCAAATTTGATCGCTTAAATTGGTTGAAAGATCTCTTCGAATCGGATTTTGTTATTGGCATGTATCTCCAGGGGAAAATGGCTTGCCTATTAGAAAGGGGAGGCTTAGAAATCTATACATTTGAGCTCTTAATACATAGTGTTGGACTAGAACTCTAAATTTGAGCTTTTATCCTCCAACAATCTAATTGCAATTTGTTCAAGTTTGGGAACCAGTAGGTGAGAGCTTGAGTCCAAGGAAGGTGCAGAAAGTTGATTGATATCATGGCATTCTTGTCTATCCTTGTTAATCATTGAAGTCCTTTCAGCTTCTTTCAAATCCTTAATTTTCTTGTAGGTTCGGTCATTTAATTTGTTGCAGGATGGCCTTCTGTGGCCCTGATTTTGGAATTTTGTGTTTTGACCATTAGAACTTCTGTGTTGTTCTTTTATCTATTATTTGCTTCCACCTATATCAATTTATCTTTAATTCCTTACCTCTGTCATTCTCCACACAAGCACTAATTAAGATAGGTTTTACAGTTATAACAAAGTATCATGTTACTTTCCATGCAGATAAAGTTTTAACAAGGTTCTTTGTCTATTATCTCAGTGAAATCAGATTGATCAACTGCTGCTTGGTGTGTATACCACTGAGGAGATAGCTAGTTCATAAAAATGAAGTAATTTAATTTTTCTGCCCCAAACCTCTCTATATTTCATGTTTATGCTAGTTTACTAATTGCCACTGTATTAGGCTCTATGTTGCTTTGCTGAATGACACTACCCTAGCTTTAGTTACCTACTGAGCTAGACAGCTAGTAATGTAGCAGGATGAAGATAACTTCATGTATCTGACTAATGTTACTAAGGGGCAAAAAGTAAAGAGGAAATAAAATCCTCTGCGATTTAGGTTCAAAAGAATGTGAACTGAAGTTACAAGAAACAGGAGCTCCTTAGCTTCAAAGAAATGATATGCCTCTAAAGTTTAAATGCATAATCACAGGGTAAATCTTCATGTCCCTTCTTGTTTTCATTTCAGTGAACTGATTGTTTTCATGATACAATATGTGTAAATTCAAAATTTGTTATGCAACTCATGGATAGTGCTATTTAAGTTGCTATTCAGCTCCAGAAATTTGTATAGTTGTCTTGCTTCCACAGGTCAAGGCATTAATAGTATATAAATCACAAGGGATGAAAAAAGAGATTGAATTGCCTGTAGCAGAAATTAGTTTAGTAATTCTTAGTGCTTTGCTTTGGTAGAGCAGGTTATGCAGGATTAACAATTACTAATTTACTACAACCTTGTTGCCATGCCTTTGCCCTTTTCCAATTTGCATTAGTAATTTTTTTTTTTTTTATATATGCTTTCTTTTCAGCCTAAAAAATGTTTGTTAAAGTCTTGCTAGAGAAGTATGTTAGTTTACTGATTTATCATGTGAGGTAATATTTAAAGTGTATGCTGATTTCCTCAAATTCAACAGAGGTAACAGTGCTCGTGTAAGATGGGATGAGGAAAATCTCGGGGAAATTGAAGCAAATAAGCCTGTAAGGCAGAAAATTACTGAACCCAAGACACCTTATCACCCCATGATTGATGATGATGGTATGTTGATTTGTGACTCTTCCTTCTGCAGAAGGTAGTCAAACTATTTTTGCATATGTGTATCTCTTTACATGTGCATGCATTATGCAATAGTGTTTCTCGACCATTTACTTGCAATTGTCCTGTATGTTGGAAAAGGTTCATGATTTGCTGAGTTCTATCTAGAATTTCTGAAATTTGGATTTGAAGTTATTTTTCATTACTTTATATTGGATAAAGCATTCTTCTGAACTACCATTAGATCATCTGATTCTTGTTGATTATTGTAGGCTCTCTGTCTCCTATGCGGGGTAGCTTCGATGATGTTGTTAGTGATGCAATGCGTGCAGAAGAATTGCGGACTGCATTAGATACAGTGGCTTCTTCTAGTAGGAACACCAGTAAGGGATCTGGTGGCTGGACATCATCTGAGGATGAGGCTGATCCTATGGAACAAGATGAAGAAGGTTTGGTTCATACAATTATTGCTTCCATATTATCATCCCTTTCCTTGGGCATAATTTTGTGTTGTGGCATTTTTGTTCAGCTTTTCATATGAAATAATTCCCCTAGACAAGCCATACCGTTGTGTTGAAAGCCCATGTCGTTTACCACTGTATTGCAATTTAGATACATTTACATGATCCTTATTCTGATGAAGTAATGATGAACCAATGTGATATGGAGCAGGGGGTATGTGCTGCTTTAAACGTACAACTGATGTGTGATTGATTTGGAGTTGCAATATCGGTCTTTTTGTAGTTCTTTGTTTTCTGAAGTTATCTAATAACTACCAATCGCCTTACTGTACCACATGACTATAACTGTTTATACCCTTGAAGATTTATCACTCGGTTCTTCTACCTGTAGGGCTGAGTTTTTGCACCTTTTACACGTCCTATTCGGACTCTGCCACTTTGATATCTTTCTTGATAAATCATCCAAGTTTTCCTTTTGCCAAAGACTACTTAACTTGGCCAAGATAAGGAACTATATCTCTGGTTCCCTGACCCCATTTCTTTCCTCTCTTTATTCTAGATTTTTACTTTTTTTAATATGGTTGTTGGATTCTGTTTGATGCACTGTTGTCAGATTCTGAATCAGACAGGACTGCAAGCTTCAGGGAGCACAGAAGAGTACACTATGATGAGTTTCGGAAAGTAAAGGAGATGCGGCGCAAAGGTTCTCTCCTTGAGGATGAAGATGGTGATGAAAATGGTAATGATAAGAGAAAGTATGGGAGAAGTGATTCATCTTCATCATTAAGTGCTGGTGTGAGAGGCATAGACATTGAAGAGGGTTCTGCAACTTCAGCTCAACAATCTTCTTTATCTCCATCCAATGGAAGTTAGAAGCTACTGCGCCAATATAACACTTAGAAACTGACTCTATTGGCTCCTATTTTTGGAACTTTTATGGTATTTTACTGTAAGGCGAAGATCTATGGTTTTTGTGTAAAATACATATATGTAAGGCGGAAAGAATAGGTTTTGTGTAAATACATAATATAATATATATATATATATAATATATATATATATATATATATATTTTTTTTTTTTTTTTTTTTTTTTTTTTTAACCTCGGTAAAAAAGTTTTTTTTACTCGTAAAAAAGGGGTGACAAACATTCTGTCGTACACATGTTCGAATGTCGAAACTGATGAACATGTGTTTTTCTTTAGTTGGATGTCTTTTGCTGTCTTCGGTTAAATTGTTAACTGATATAATCGAAGAGTAACCGTGGATTGATTATCAACAGTGTTCAGTGGGCTTTTCAAAGTAACTTGTATGGGCTGTGAAATGTGGGCTTGAATCCAACTTTTGTCCATTTCTAATCTTTATAAGATGCATAAACTGAGCGATGTAGCATGTCCAGTTGATAGTAGCCACGCTAATGGCCATCGAAGGCTCCTCTCTAGCCACACAAATATGCACTCACATAGCCTCCATCTTCTCCAGACCAACCAATCCCCACCCACCACCGCTGGACCTTATGGTCACAGTTATTTCTGAGACTGCTGCTCAAAACGGCAGCGTCTTCCTCTATGGAGTAGGAAGGGAGGGCCTGATGCTCAAGGCACTTTGCATGCGGCTGGCACATCTGGGCCTCTCCACCCACTTGGTTTTCGACATGACCACTCCCCCGATCACATCCAACGATTTACTCATCGCCTCTGCAGGACCTGGAGGATTCTCCACCGTCGATGCTTTATGCTCGGTGGCACGATCAAACGGTGCCAGAGTTCTACTTTTGACAGCGCAGCCTGAAACGGGATCGTGTGTGAAACATGCCAGCGTGGTTTGCTATGTGCCGGCGCAGACCATGGCGGATGATAGAGAGGTGAAATCGCGACCGTTGCTGCCGATGGGGAGTGTTTATGAGGGAGCTTTGTTTGTTTTGTTTGAGATGGTGATCTACAGATTAGGTGAAGTTTTGGGTGAAAGCCCTGAGACCATCCGATCTCGACATACCAATCTTGAATAAATATGTTATCTTGCTTATGACTTCCTTGCGCCTCGTATCTATCATATTAATTTGCATACTTAGAAGGAGAGACTTGTACTCAGTCTTCGACGTCGTTTTATTCGGTGCTACTTAATGTAAATCTTTTTAGTTTTATGAAATTGCAACCTTTAAAAATTGCATTACAAATTAGGGACATGTTAATTTTTGGTGTCTGCACTTGTTTTTTTTTTTATTTTAGTGTTTGAATAGAAAATTGTGACAATTGAATGTTTAAATTTATAATTTTTTTTTTTTATTTTGGTATCTTGATGACATGGATTACAAAAAAATCCAACGAAAATCCATGTCCAGGAGACATCAAAATAAAACCTCAATCCAAAAAGAAACGCCTGTGTATCCACTTGCGTAAATTGGAATTGAAAGAAACGTTAATTTAAAAAAAGTAAATAAATTTTACTGGTATGTTTGGCAACGCCCTATGAAAAAGGGCTTGAACATGTAAGGTTTTGTTCATTCCATTTATTGATCGTACTTTTATTTTAACCAGACGAAGGCTTGCGGTTAGGTTGTAATTTATAATGTATAACTAATGAATGTTTAAATTTATAATTTTTTTTTTTTATTTTGGTATCTTGATGACATGGATTACAAAAAAATCCAACGAAAATCCATGTCCAGGAGACATCAAAATAAAACCTCAATCCAAAAAGAAACGCCTGTGTATCCACTTGCGTAAATTGGAATTGAAAGAAACGTTAATTTAAAAAAAGTAAATAAATTTTACTGGTATGTTTGGCAACGCCCTATGAAAAAGGGCTTGAACATGTAAGGTTTTGTTCATTCCATTTATTGATCGTACTTTTATTTTAACCAGACGAAGGCTTGCGGTTAGGTTGTAATTTATAATGTATAACTAATTGATAGGTCTTATAATATATGAAATGTATTGATTTATTTTCCGCCAGTTACTTTATTATATTACCGTGTTATATATATGTAAATTATAATTTCGTGAATTTATTTAAATAATTGTAAATTTTAATTAATTCTAACAAATTTTTAGTTAGAGTTTATAATTCAAATAATTTTAAACATTATTTTTTTTTCTAGATAATTCTATATAAATAAAATTCTGCAATTCAAATAATGCAATGTGAATAATATACAACAAAATTTTGTATAATTTATATACAGAGAGAAATAATTTCAAATAGATAAAATAGTAGCAACTCCAACTTACGGGTGTTTATCACCATCAAATTATCCTCTGGGTAAAAGTCTATCATTTTTAAGGAAATTATTTTGAATACTTAGAGAACTCATATTTACAAACAAATTATCCTTTTGTATCCGAGTTGTTTTCATTTTGTTTGGAAACAAATTATCTAATAATCTTGGTATTTATATCACTACATATATCCATAGTTTTTAACTGTAAATCCAAATTCAAACAGGAATAGATAGATGTATAGAATTAACTTTCTATCCGTTTGCTGTCCAGTCTTTTGTCTCTACAATATAAAAAACATGCAAATGGTAGAATAAACTTTTAAATAGCATAAAGAACAAAATGTTATAATTTCATAAGTCAGAGCCATAGTTTTATATTTTTTAAGCTAATATTTTATAACTCTCGACTCTTTTCTAAATTCATAGTTATTATTTTGAGAGATAAATAGAAAGGTGATAAAAAATGTAAAATTTTGTATTTAATGAGAGTCAAATTCACCTTTAATCTGCATTTTAATGAGTCACCAGTGATATTTTTTTAATGCCTAAACAACCTATAATTGAAAACTTGCAGTCAAAATAATCAAAGTGGCCCATGACAACAAAATATCAAAAAAATTTTTAAAAACTCAATCCAAGAAAAATAGCAACAAAATAAAACCTCAATTCAAGAAGAAAAGCAAAAAATAAAAATAAAAAGTTCACCTGATCCTGCACTAATGAAACAAAAAAGAACAACAAATATAAATAATATATAAGTAGATATATGGTTAGAGAGAGATTAAAAAAAAAAAAAAAAAATAAATAAATAGTTAGATATAAAATGTAGAGAGAGATTAAAAAAAAAAAAAAAAAAAGAGAAATTCACAAAGTTATTTCAAAATAAAAAAGATTATAGAAAATATGATTAAAAATTTGAGGCCATATTCCATTATTTTAAACAAAGATAAACGAAATACAATACAACATCTTTTGAAATATAAATATGAATAAAATTTAAATTACTATTAGTGACCAATCAAAATTATAGAATATAAAGAAAAAAAAAGACTCAAAATTTTGATAAAAAAAAGAAAAAGATATGATAAAAAAAAAAAAAAAAAGAGAAATTCAAAAGTTTTCAAATAAAAAGATATATAGAAAAATATGATTAAATTTGTCAAATTCATTATTTAAACAAAGATACGATATCAATACAACTCTTTGAATATAAATATGAATAAATTTTAAAATTATTTTAGTGACCAATCAAATTATAGAAATAAAGAAAAAAAACTCAAAATTTTGTAAAAAAAGAAAAATATGAATACTTAAAAGTAGAGAACCAACTCAGCTTTTATATATATATATATATATATATGTGGATTTTGATAAAAAAATTGAGTCTTTTTTTAATTGAGATGTAATGGCACAAAAAAAAAAAAACCAATTATGAGTTGACATGTGTTTTAAAATTAATAAAGTCAAACTACAAGGCGAATGAACTAGCAACTCATAAGAAAAAAAAAAAAATAAAACTTCAAAATGCCTGTAGCTTATTTATTGGATACAAATCAATTAAACTAAACACCTTTTTTGAAAAATAAGACTTCATGTTTTGTTGAAAAACAATTCACCATTTATAGAAAAATCTAATTTCTAATTATGTAGTTCTTAAACTTATTTTTTCACACATGAAATTACTTTTTCAGGATAAAAAAAATAAATGTCTATTTAAAAAATATAATAGCATTAATGCTCATAATTTTTTATTTAATGCTCGATAAGGAAACATGTTTTTATAATAATAATAATAATAAAAATCTGATAATAACATTTACTCATTTACTTAAAAAAAATCATATATCAAAATAATATTATTTTCTTTTAGGAAAAAGATCCAACTGGATAAGGGTCACCATCACGTAAGACTCTCACTTGAGATTTTTCTTTGTAACTCTCCTATTCGTTGATGAAAGGATTCTTCATTAATCTCCATCGCCACAAAATATCTTTTCCTATTATGCTTATAAATCTCTCCGTGTCTTCAGATATTTTCACTCCCGTTCCTTCTCAATCATACCTCCTCGACTATACTATAAATTCATACTCGCTCATTCATTTAAAGCACAAAGATGGCCCTCCAACTGTTTTTACTCTTTATTATTATAAATAAATACCTTTTTTTTTTTGAAAATGATAAATAAATACTTTTTAGTATATGCTTTTTGGTTCAAATTTTATCATCACATTAATTTTTTTCTTTATAGTATCAATAAAGTTGTACAAAACGGAAAATAATATAAAGAATTAAAATAAATTATAAAATTTGTTTATAGTTTTTTTCTTCACAAAGTTTATTCGAGTAAAAAACATTTATATTCTTAATTTTTTAAATAAGTATAAAATACAAAATTGTGAAGATTATTTTTTTGAGATAACTTAAAAAAAAAAAAAAATACCTATTTGGATTAGAGTTCAGACACTGAATCGTTATCCTATATTGGTAAGACGAGACAAATTAGGCGGATGAAAGAAATGGGAATAAGCCCACGCGTTGAGTCAGCAAAGCGAGTACATTTGTCCATTACTCTCGTGTCCCAGACCGAAAGAGTTGTTCTAGGAAGAAAAAGCCATCCTCAGCGCATTCTATATGACATATATATATAATTTATTTCCCCTATATATATAAAGCTCTGAAACCTGAGAACTCTCCAGACCAGAGGTGACTCGGCCATTAAAAAATTGCAACAAAAGCAACGTAAGCTAAACTAATCAAGCTGTTTCCCGGCGATCCTGACGGCGTTTTCCAGTTTGATGGACCCTCACGTAGCCAGCAACCAAACAGATGGCCAATGGACAAACGAGAAGCATCTCCATTTCATAAACTCAATGGAGGCAACTTTTGTCCGCACAATGCTCGAAAATAACGGTCGTTTCCTCCGTCTCGACCGTTACTTGCCGGACAGCTCAGAATCGACCTTAGATTTGAAATCGCAGAGACCAAAAAAGCATAAAATCTCAGGTAAACGTCTTCTAATATGCACCTCTCCGGCGGTGCATTTTAGCAAACACCCATTTCAGGGTCTTCTAATTCATATAGATTATGATTTGATGTGAATGACCAGTGTTTTTCAGTTAGCTCTTGTTGGAGTTACCGAGGCTTGTTTGGCTGTTTTTCTTTTTCCAATAAAATTGCCCGCTGGAGTTTAATTTGAAGCCTAACATGCAAAATGCGAAATTCAGTTTTTAAGTTTTGACCAGCCGTCCAAACACACCCTGCAAAGAACATTTAAAATGTCGAACATGCCATTTGAATTGAAGATATTTCTTTGTGGGGATGGTACAGTCATTCACTTTTGCACTTTTTGATGATTTCTTTAAAAAAAGAATAAAAAAATTGTGGGTTTTGTTGTGTTAGATCATATGGTTGGTCCAAGAAGCAGAATGGACGGCAGGACCGACCGGAAAGCAAGAAAATTATCATCTCACCGCCACGATCCATCACAACAAGATCAGGTTGGTAGCATAACACCATTTTTCATGTGAAAAATGAATTTCTCCTTTATAAATAGGCAACTTCTTGGTGATGTAGGATGGTTGGGAAGAATTTTCAGCTGATCGAAGTTTCAATTGAAATAATTATTAAATACTTTTAATTAATTGTTCACATTCAATACAAATATTTATATCACACCAAGAGCGTCCACAGGAATAAATGGCGTTCTTTTAAAAAGCTACTTATGTTGCGTACTTACAGGTGGTCCCACAGCTGGAGAACAGAGGTGGTGTTAAAGACGAAAGAGACCCTCTTAACGTGGCTGTTGCATCTGCCAATAGCAATTGAGAGAGATTCTTCATCTAGCTCAGCTAGCCAGTGCAGTGCTTCTTTTCTTTTATTTTTTACTTTTTTATATAGTATTAATATTATTAGGTAATACCAGGAGCAATATTACCTAATAGTAGGAGAATAGTTTAATTGGCTAATATTATTAGGAGCGATCTCATGATCTAGACAAGGATTTAATGTTTTGTGCAAATTAGTATCCTTTTTGTGATTTTTTATATGGTTTTTATTTTGTTACTGTACGGTCGGTCCCATTAAAAAGTAAGTTAGGATTATCAAATTGTTGATCATTATTTATATATTATAAAATTATGAATTTGTATAAAACTTTTGTTAGTAAAAAGGCTGACGAGGAGAGAAGGAATAAGGAGGAATGGAGGATAGAGACGTCAATCTTAATCTGTTTATGTAGATGATAAAGTTGGTTGCTTAATCTTTTCATAAAATAATAATGCAAAGCCAATGCCACTTCTTATGATTATGATGAGAAATGCTACCTTATTTTATTCATGTATACTCTCTTTCCTTTCCTCAATAAATTATTTTTCCTTTTTCTTTTTTTTTTTCCAGGATATTTGAGAAGATATTTTTTAATAGCTATATTAATGTTTATATTACTTTCTGATTAATTGTTTTTTTTTTCTGACTTTTTATCTTCAGTAAAAATACGTGGGCTATACAAACATTAATATTTTATCTACGGTGATCTGTAACTATTTACTTGGCTTTGCTGTAAAGGTGTCCAAAATTTATTAATTGTTGTATACTAATTAGAGCTTAATTAGTAATTAATGGGTTGGTTGGAGCAATTATATAAAAGCTGATTAAAGGCAATTCAATCTATAAGAAGCATAAATACAAGTTACAGTTAAATGACTACGAACATATCACCTTACCATTTGAACTAGGGATGATCTCTGCATAAATCAATGTACTTTTCATTAAAAAAAATAAATCCATCTAATAATAGTTTTTTTTTTTTTTTAAATCATATTCACATATTAATTTTATTTCATGTTTAAGACAATTATTTACAAACACAGTTTGACACTGTCTGTTCAAATATGAGATTTAGATCTCCAACAGCCACAATTTTTGTTTTTCGTTGGAAGCAAACAAATGTGACTAGATAGATGCAGCTGGCTTAGCATGACTACCCACCACACTCCTGCTAGGCTGCTACTACAATCTACTATTACTATATAGTATGTCTCTCCTCAATGATTTTTTTTCTTTTTGGTTGTCAATTTATACTTGACATAGGTTGGTCCAAATAGTGTTCTTTGATTAAGTGTTTTGCTGATAATTATAGAAATTCAATGTAAATGAATTCCAAAAGTTGTGCAAAATGAAATCACTGAAAAGCCTATGATTTCAACGAGTATATTTTTATATACAACATTTATATATATTGAATCCAAAAAAAATAGTATATTTTTATATCGTGCCTATTTAGATATCAGGTGGTTTATAAAAAATGGAGATGAAAAATATTTTTATAAACAATTTATGAGTGTATTTAATATTATTGTTTGAGCCATTAGTAAAAGGACAAATACTTCAAATAAAATTTTTGTTCTTTTTTTTTTTTTTTTTTGAGAATAAATAAAATTATTGTTCTTGATAAGAAGAAAAAGTACAAGTTTTGCAAAAGGGAACAGTTTCTCCCTTTCTCCAATCAAGTAGCTCGGAGAGTGTCGTTCTTTGCCACGTCATCAGCCAATAAGAACCCGTCAGAGAGCCACATCATCGAAGCAAATGGGGCCCATCATCCATGCAGGCAAGCCTCGGTTTGGTTACCAGAGACCTCAGTCGTCCAAAAACCCTTCAAAAAAACACTACTCAGATCCCCCACGCGCAAGAACAATTCTTTCGGCATTCAAAGCCAGAAACCATGTTGCAATTCTTTCAAACATACAACAATCTAATCCTCCAAGCTTCACTTTCTATCGCGCTTACTCTTTTTCTCGTATTCCTCAAGATTCCCATCTTATTTCTTCAGGGCCTTCACACTTATATCCATCCGGAAAATCTTGGCCAACAAAATGGTGTCAAAGCTGCTATTAGAAGACCCTCTACCTCTGATTCAGGTCCTGGGCTCGAGGGCTATCAAAGCTTATCCTCAAAAACTACTAATGAGCTTAAAAGGAGAAATAAATCTAAGGAAAAGTTTGAGTTCGACGAAAACAATGCTCAGAGCTTTAGGTTGAAGCTCGATGAAGGCCATCTTCAATCTCGGCTTTATTTCAATGATTACCGGTATTCGTTTATTTATTCGTTAGTTGCTCTTTCTTGTTTCTTGCTTTATAACTACTTGGATGGGGTCCAAAATGATGGAATTTTGGCAGATGGATCTTTAATTCCTTTGATTTTAGGATTTGTTGGTTTATGCAAATTATTTATATCGTTAGCAAGAGTATCGTTTGAGAAATCTGCGTCCAAGAGGTCCGACAAACAATTGAGTTTGCTCTTTGTGATTTTGGGATTCCTTTTTGGGCTTTTGATTTGTTCAGGAATTGCCCATTCACTCTTGGATTTTGATTTGGGTGCAATCGACGGGTTTGGAAGGGTTTTTGTTGCAATTTTAATGGGATGCCTTGCAGGGTTTCTATATATGCCCGCAGGTAAGAATGCACGGGCATTTTGGCTTGGAACAGATCAATTTCGTTCTAATCTGTCAATAATTTCCTGCGGATGGTTTGCTAGAATGATACTATATGCCAGTTATTTGTTGGCCATTTTCACAGCATTGCTTTGGATTAATCCATTATCTGATGCTCTTATTAACAAGAGTGGTCATTATAGTAAAGGAACACTTTCAAATTCAAGCAGTACAATTGGAGATGCTGACAAGTTAGTAGGAAATATGGGTTTTACTACACGATCTGAATTTAGGAAGTTTAGGCTTTGGTGCTTGTTATTCTCAGGAATTGTGCAAATTGTGGCTTTACGACCCAACTTACAGATGTATATGAATGAAGCATTGTTGTCTTGGTACCAACGGTTGCATGCCAGTAAAGTTCCAGATTTAGATTTCAGTAGAGCCAAGGTTTTTCTGCACAATCACTACTTTTGTCTTGTAGCTTTGCAGTTTTTTGCACCACCAACCCTGGTCCTTGTCTTCCTTGGCTTACATCATATTGATGGTAACTCACTTAAGAATTTTCAGTTGTTATGCAGTTTACTTCCTTGTACTGCTTTTATGGAAGAAGTAACTTTGCTTATGGCTTGGTGGGTTATCTTTCTTTGGACAGTTTATACTTCAACGAGCCTATTCTTGTATCGCCGTGGCATTTTGTATGTTTCTTGATTGACTTTGATCTTTTCTGGTGATCCTTAATGGCTTGGACTTAAATTTTTGTCTAGTTATTGTAAGTGGAGCATCTTTTTGTAACGGATTCTTACTCTAGTTAGTTGATAGTTTCTTTACCATGCAATACATGGAGATACGGGGATGATATTTTTGATGTCTTGTTGTTTACTTATTCTATATATGTAGATCGTTGCAAATACTAAGATCAAGGCAGAGTTTGAAAACTCAAGAAACAAGAATGTTTGTGTTGAATCCACATTATTATTATTATTATTATTATTCTTGCAGTAAGACCATTATATCTGAATCGTGAAATTTTAGGTTCACAGCTATCACTTGTGAGCCATGCCTAACTAAATTTCAAGCAATGCATATAAGTAAACTTGTCCTGATATGTCTGAGCTCCTTACTTCCTTATAATCCATGAAACGGTTGTTTCAAACTGTTTTAGAGCTCATTCTGAATTAATTTGGAAGTTCAGGTTCCAAACATACTCCTGTGGGCTGTGATAATGCTTGCAGTTGGATTAAGGGAACATTACTTATGGAACTAATTGATCCATGGGAAGTCCAACTTATAAATTTAATTAAATTTGTTTGAGATTTTAGATAATTTATCTTAAATAGTATGCATGTCAACATTCCTCATAATTGCTGTGTTTTAAGGATTCTTGGAATACTCAATATTAGCATCATCTGCAACTGTGTTTTTTTGGGGTTAGCAGTTGAAAGAAGAGAAATATTTTCCTTTCAAGTGGTAGAGTTAATATGGCTATTATTCAGCAGATTATCAATTTCATTATAAGACACACAGAAACTAGTGAAATGAAATGAATGAAAAATGTGTTTGGTAGCTAGCTCTCCAATAAGTACCTAATTTCTCCATTCTAATCAGAGTAGCCAGAACAAGAAGAGTACAACTACAAGGCAATAGATTCCTGAAGAAGAAGGCCCCAGCATAGAATGAATTACTATTATTTTTGCTTGGGAAAGTGACTGCTCACAACATAACAACTGAAGGTCGTTTTCCGTTTGTTGGATAAAGTGATATATATATATATATATAGTTTACCTTGTGTTGATAGGATACACACATAAAAACACCAGAATATGTATAAATACATGGTCTTTAAAATTCCAAGTAATGGGGGGCATCTTTGGATCCTTACAGATTGGGGGGGAAAAAAGTGTAATTTTGGAAGAGAACAATTCCACTTCTCGAATTCACGAGACAATCTTATTTATTTATTTAATTTTGATTGACGATGTCTTAAATCTTCTTAGAAGATTAAAAAAAATAAATAAATAAAAAGAAAATAGTTTAATTGAATTCTCTTTTTCATATTCATGAAAATGCGATTGTATGAGAGTGGTGCATTATCATTGATTAACAAATACGTTAGAAGTTTCCTAAAATAACAAACAAAGGGATTCACATAAGGCTAGTTGGGGTTTTTCTGCAGCTTAAAGGTAAAAACCCAAGCTTGCTGTAGATACAGATATTGGATGGGATGTTGTACAAGCTTGTCCTGATTGCCATTCATAGCTGTACCCTCTTGGTTTTATCATTGTTTTTTGTTAGATTTTTGCCTACACAATATAAAACCGCCACTGAATACTATAGCTTGTACTTGGTAGCAAACAACAAAAGTTTATAAAGGTTTAAATTTTAATATCTTCAGACCCCCGACCCAACTATCTTTACAGTTACAGACTTACAGTTACAGTTGCACAAATACAAATGCCATTTTTCATACCCAAAATTATTACTCAACACTGAAGAATTAATTTTTAAAAAAAACTTTGAATTTTAAGCAATTACTAACAACCATGGAATCTAAAAGTCAATCCGTGCATATTCCAGTCGTTGCCAAATAGATCACATCTTGATCCATGAAAAGTAAAAAAAAAAAAAAAAAGAATCAATGAAATAAATTTCTTAGCTGAGAAATTGAGAATAATGCAAATAATACACCTTCAATATAATTTCTTGGAAATCGAAAACAGACGGCAAGTTGGCCACAACCACCATCAAAGAGGCCCTGCCCATATAGGGTTTTCTTTTTCTTTTTGTCCTATTCAACTTCACCCGCACAAGTTATTTACCATAATTGGAATTTTATTACCACAATCAATTGTCGGATTTCTCTTTTTTTAAATTAACTCACTGATTTTTATTTGTTAAAAGTCAAATTTAATTTATATATTTGAATTTCATTTTAATTGATTTTTTATGTGATATATCATTTTAAAATATTATACATAATTTTATCAGTTTTTTGTATGAATAGAAATCAAATTAAAATCTTTTCTAAAAAATAAAGAAATAAAATAATGTCTACTAGTATTTATGCATAATCCAATTCCGGACATTCAATTTTTTACTTTCTCGCACCCCAGTTCCAAATGTAATGGTAATGGAACCGGCCTTCCCATTTTACGGGCTGCTTAATTTTTTTTTTTTTGGACACGTATCAAAACAAAAAAAAAAATTTTAAAAAGGGAAGTTTCTCGAAGAGAGACGTAATGCAGCTTCTCGTGGTTTCCTTATTTTCTCTTCTTTCTCGCCGAACATTTTGTTCTCTTTCTTACAGGTTCTCCTTTCCTTTTATTTTCTGTTCCCTACAGCCTTCCTTAAAGGAACCTTCTAGAATTACTTTATCATATCAAACTCCTTACTGTATTTTCCAATTCCATCTCTCAATAATTCCATAGTATTCTTCACAATTTTTTCTTTCTTAATACCTCTCCTTTTATTTTAAGCACCGGCCATGCCGCCGTCGGGAGAGCAAAACGGGGACGCGGTTACAGCTGAATCACAGAGATCTTTACCTACACCATTTTTGACGAAAACTTACCAACTCGTGGATGATCAGACAATAGATGATGTGATTTCTTGGAACGAAGACGGATCTACCTTTATCGTTTGGAACCCCACGGTCTTCGCGAGAGATTTGCTGCCCAAGTACTTCAAGCACAACAACTTCTCTAGCTTTGTCCGTCAATTAAATACTTATGTAAGTCTCTAATCTAAGTTTTGTTTCGATTGAGAAGCTTCTTTTTTTTTTTCTTTCTTTAAAGTTTGATTTATTTTTATCCTTTTTGTTGTTCAGGGATTTAGGAAGGTGGTACCTGATCGATGGGAATTCTCGAACGACTGTTTCCGCAGAGGCGAGAAAAAGCTTTTACTGGATATACAGAGAAGGAAAATTTCAATGCAAGCGGCAACGACGGTGACGCCGCCGCCAACGCCGATGGCTGTAACGCCGGCAGCAATTCCAATGGCCAAGCCAGTAATCTCTCCATCCAATTCTGGAGATGAACAAGTTATTTCAACAAACTCTTCGCCATCAAGAGTAGCACAAGGGAGTGGACCAAACGCAGAGCTTTTGGACGAGAATGACAGATTGAGGAAAGAGAATGTGCAGCTAACGAAAGAATTGACGGAAATGAAGAATCTTTGCAATAATATATTTAGTCTGGTGTCGAATTACGCGAGTACTCAATCGGAGGGTAGTTTTCATTCGTCGGAAAGCGAAGGGTTGCCGACGGCGAAGCCGCTGGACTTCCTGCCGGTTAAGCAGTTTTCCGGTGAGGAGACGAGTGCACGGCTTTTTGGTGTAGCGATTGGCATCAAGAGGGGAAGGGAAGGAGAAGGCGCAACGGGGGAGAATGATACACAGTTGCAATTGCAGCAACCAGGAGCCAATGCAGTGAAAGATGAGCCGCACGATTGTCAGAATGGCAGGGTCAGTGGTGATGATAAAAACTCTACGTGGCTTAAATCCGTGAGAGAGAGATAATCGGAGGATGTCTAATTGATATGATAGGATGAGGATTCTATTGTCTAAAAAAACAATGTTAGATACAAATTTAGAGTAGGTGACAATGATCATAACGAAGCAGTGGAACAGAAATTCCAAACAAGGAGAGGCACGTGCAGAAATGGGTCACGTGCTTTGTGAACCTTTGGGCCCCGAATTCAAGAAGTTTCTGTGACCTTTTCTATTATATCTATTTCCCATTTTTATCTTTTCTTTTCTTTTAATTTTTTTTAGCCTTTGAGGAAAAGTCTTCTCTTTTTTCCCAATTTAGAATAAGCATTTATAATAATGATTTTTAATTGACTAAAGACGGGATAAATTAAGGGGAGTTGAACGTCCATTAGCTGAAGTACTTGTATTATAGCTCTACGAAACTACCCCTAGTCGTCTGGTTTGATAAATTTGATGAAGGGTAAAGTAGCAAATTCAAATTGTCCGGTTAAGTAACTAGTAGTGCCATTGGCTACCATTACCTTCATTGGCAGAAAATGGCATTTTGTCTTGTTTTAGATCCGATGGAAGTTCTCTGACCAAGCGGAGATGAATTAGGAATGCTGTATTTTTAGATTGTATTTTAAGTAAATGTGAAAAAATCCAATAATATATTTTAGATTTTTAGATTGTCGAGTTCCTTGTAATAGAACAATCCAATCAATACCCAAAAAAAGGTTAAGACTATTCACACTCCCTTGTATTCTTCTAGCTAGCATTCGTTGAATATCAGTAGTTATTTGCAATAATCGTCAACTAATGACTTGTTTCTTAATGCAGATCCCCATATTACCCATGGATTGAATCTTGATATTACTGCAATTCTTGTATTTAAGTCCTTTGATAGTATTCCAAAAATTAGTGTTGTGGAAATACTTCCCTTTCAATATGATGTGGTGATTATGAGCGTTTGGGTTGGGATGGCAAGCAAGCTTGAATTTTTCCAACTCCCCCCTGACACCCAAATAACCAGCAGATTTTGTTAGAGTCAACTTCTTCCAGCTAATCTAACCCCACCAAAAGTTGGAGATAATCCCATTCACTTTACAACAAAAACCCTTTGAGGAATTTCAGAATTGCCATGAAATGGACTAGGATTGGTGGAAAATTTTGGATAGAACGTTGTTATCGAAAGTGACGGGGGGAAATGGGTCTATCTGGTTGATAGATTCTGAGCTTTTCACTATTGGGATAAGGACAGTGTTTTCATGGTTTAACACTTCAACTCCTCAAGCATAAAGCCTTTCTCAAAGGAACCTTTATGGTGTACACACGTCATATCCTACGAAGAACCAATTCTTCTGAAACAAAAAAACACCCCGGAGAAACCCTCCCATGTCTAGAAGTATCTTCTTAATCTCTGAATCAGAAATTGGAGCAGTGAGATTGGTGTTCATATTTGCCGAAACCAATTTTTGCCTCTATAAAATAAGGTTGCTTTTTCCATTTGGCGTCCCAGGACTTTTTTGGGGATTAAGAATAAAACAAAAAAAAAAAAAAAAAAAAAAAAAAAAAAAAAAAAAATAGCATGGTCTTCTATAGACACATTTATTGACTATGTGAGCCAGAGCCATCAAAGTTCTGAACATGATCTTTTTCTTTTCAATACGCTTTTGGGGGATATTCCAATTTCGATTATTGTTTAGCCACACACCTGGACTGGACGATTTGCTTATCATCATGCCTTTTCATGTTCGATTACTCATTGATTACTAAAAATTTAGGGGATATTCCAATTTCGATTATTGTTTAGCCACACACCGGGGATATTCCAATTTCGATTATTGTTTAGCCACACACCTGGACTGGACGATTTGCTTATCATCATGCCTTTTCATGTTCGATTACTCATTGATTACTAAAAATTTAGGGGATATTCCAATTTCGATTATTGTTTAGCCACACACCTGGACTGGACGATTTGCTTATCATCATGCCTTTTCATGTTCGATTACTCATTGATTACTAAAAATTTAATGCCTCAAAATTTAAGGTATCAGGCTATCAGCTGCCTATTCGTAGGCCATGGTTGGACACAAAGCAACCCTTTGCGATCCTAAAGTTCAACCCCCCTCTTTAAATAAGAAAAGTCCTCATCTGGTTCACAGCCCCATTACATTACAACAGAAAACCAGAGCATGTAACGGGAAAAGAAAACAAAAGTTGATTTACAACCCCATATTTATAGAAAACAAACAACATCCTTCCTACTGCATTGTCTAATAAAGTTTTAAGTTCCACCTAATTTTCATTAACATCCTATAAAAAAAATTTTTGAATGCCCTTAGGCAGTAGCATTGATCGACCAAGTTATCAAAGATTATGCCTTTGAAAAACTAAAGGTGTGTAGTTCTAAACTGTCATCAGATTAGATTAGCAAACAGAACGTCTTACAACTTAAGGTTTCAGCAACGCTTCCTAAATCATTTACTAGGTTATTACAACAACAATTACTCATCAACTTGAGACTTTATGCTCACTAACATGAACTCTACATTTACTCGTCTTTAATCCCTTTTAATAACTTGAGCACTTGAAGCATAGTAGGCCTATCAGCAGGATTATCACAAAGACAATTAGAAGCAATCTTAAGGACCCTAAGCATCATCTTCTTTGAATCTGCGCTGAGAACAGTTGGATCAAGAACATCAGCAGCCTGGCCCTTTTTCATCTTTTGAAACACCCAACCAACCAAATTCCCACCTTCAACCTCTTTGAAATCTGGCCCTGTTGGTTCTTTCCCTGTCACTAATTCAAGCAGAATTACACCAAAACTGTAAACATCTCCTCTTGTGGTTGACCTTCCACTCTGTCCATATTCAGGTGGAATGTAGCCAAATGTTCCTGCAATATCAGTGCTAACATGAGTCTCGCAAGCACTAATCAAACGAGCCAGCCCAAAGTCAGCAACTTTTGGCTCAAAATCTTCATTGAGTAAGATATTGCTAGCCTTGATATCCCTATGGATTATGTGAGGAATGAATCCATGGTGAAGAAAAGCTAGCCCGCGAGCAGCGCCAATAGCAATTTTGAACCGTTTGGCCCAATCAAGAATTTCAAGAGCTCCAGTTCTATTTCTTAACCAAAGATCTAAACTTCCATTTACCATATATTCATAAACAAGAAGCTTTTCCTCGTTGAATGAGCAGTATCCAAGCAATGGGACTAGATTCTGGTGCTTCACTTTGCCCAGTGTTTCCATTTCAGCAATGAATTCTCTGTTACCCTGAGTTTTGGCTTCGCTTAACTTCTTAACTGCAACTGTTTTTCCATCAGGCAATGTGGCTCTGTATACTGTACCAAAACCTCCATCTCCAATTATGTTTGTCTTGCAAAAGTTATTGGTGGCTTCAAGAATATCGACTAAGGTTATTCTCAGAAGTGGCCGCTCAAACATAGCTATATTGATGCTCAAAGGTTCCTTGGACCTGCTGCTACTCAAGAAATAAAGGTTTTGATCAATGAAACTGTTTAATTTCCTTTCTTCAATTTCCTCAGGATCACCCTGTCTACTGGCTTTACTAATCCATCTTCGTAGTGCAAAAGCTATAGTGAGAATGATGATCATGCATCCAACAGCAACCCCTGCAAGTCCCCAGGCATTTAGCAAAGATGATCTGTCAAAGCTTCTGATCCTGCAACCTGAACCTATAATTTTCCCACACAAATTTTTGTTGCCATAAAGTGAAATTTTTGACAGGCTTAGGCAAATACCAATTCTGGGCACAGGTCCTTCTAAACTGTTTTCTGCCAAATTCAGATAGAACACATTAGCCAAGGTACACACTTTCTCAGGAATCTGCCCAGATAACCGATTCCTTGAAACATCAAAGTATTCAAGTTGCATTAGGTTACCGAGCTCTGATGGAATCTCTCCTGTAAACTTATTTTCATGAAGATCCAAGTATGTCAAGTATGAAAGATTGCCCAATGACTGCGGTAAGTCTCCATTGAAGAAATTATTACTGAAATTCATAGTTTCTATCCTCCATGCCATGGAATTGGAAAAGAGCTCATTTATAGCACCAGAAAGCCTGTTCTGCTGAACATAAAGTCCAACAAGGTTCATTATTCGCGACAGAGACGAAGGAAGCTGGCCACTAAGTTCATTATTGCTTAAATCCAAGTGGGTAAGCTCCTTCAAGTTGCCAAAACTAAGAGGAATCGATCCAAATAACTTATTACCCGTCAAATTCAGCTTCACTAAACCACCCAAACGACCTAAGCTTCCAGGAATGGTACCTGAGAGCTGATTATTCCCCAAATATAAACCCTGGAGCTTAGAAGAGTGACCGAATTCTGAAGGAATGGGACCACTCAACAAATTTCCAGATAAATCCAAGGTCGTAAGATTGGTTAACTTTGCTAGTGATCCTGGAACTTCACCAGAAAGCATGTTATTGTTAATTAGAAGATCAACCACAACTATAAGATTCCCCAGTTCCTCAGGTATTGAACCAGACAGCATATTATGTGACAAATCAAACACTCCATGATGTTGAATAAAGCTCAAGTCAGGTATATTAACCTCACGAAAATATAATGAGGGCCTTGGAGGAATAGACCCAGTTAAATTATTATGAGAAAGAACCAAACATTGTAATTGAACCAAATCTGCAACTCTTTCTGGAATTGATCCAGTAAGCCTGTTATATCCCAGGTCCAAAGTGGTTAGTGCAATGCAATCTCCAAGCTCAGTTGGAATATCCCCTTCCAGCAGATTAGAGTTCAAGTTGAGAACCGAAAGGGCAGTGAGATGACCTATCTCCTTAGGAATACTTCCCTTTAATTGATTGCTGCTGAGCACTAACCTCTCTAATTCAACTGCATTGCCAATCTCCATAGGCAAAGAGCCCTCCAACAGATTATTTGCTGCAGAGAATTCCATCAGAGTGGTGGAGCTCCATAGACTAACAGGTATTGCCCCACTGAAATTGTTGGAATCAAGATCAAGAACCATCAAAGGAAGCTCTGCCAAGTACTCTGGTATAGAGCCAGTAAGTTGATTATCAACCAAAACCAACTGGGTCAAGTTCCTACACTTGAAGAACACATCCTCTATAGAACCCGAGAAAACGTTCCCATCAAGATCAATTTCCACAAGCGACACCGCATTACAGAGTTCCTTGGGTATCTTCCCAGTCAACAGGTTGTTGCTTAAACTGATATGCTTCAATGCCGAACAATTCCCAATATCAGGCGGTATGTTCCCTTCAAATCTATTGCTAGAAAGCAAAAGCGACTCCATTTGATTCCACTTCCCTAGCCAGGAAGGCAATGGCCCGGAAAGCTGATTCTTCTCAGCAGAAAACGTCAACAAGGGTAACTGAGAAAGCTCTTCTGGTAAAGACCCAGAAAGGGAATTGAAAGACAGCATCAAAGTCTTCAAATTCTTGCAGTTTCCAAGCTCAGCAGGTATAGAACCATTAACCTCGGCGTACACAATATTCAGTATACTCAAGTTCTGCAATTTCCCTAAGGATTTCGGAATTGAACACCTCAATGGATTATAGGAAAGGTCAAGTTTACTCAGGGATTTTAAGTTAGATATTTCTTCAGGTAATGGGCCAGTGATCGAACAGGAAGGTGAAAAGAAGATTTCAAGCCGTGAAAGGGAACCGATTTCTGGTGGTAAATGACCCGAAAATGAGTTAACTCCAATGTAAAGATCAGTGAGGTTTCTGAGGTTACCAATTTCCGGTGGGACTGCGCCGGAGAACGAGTTATTTGAAATGTCAAGAGAAGCAAGAGATTGAAGGTTATTGAAGAGAGTTACTGGGAGAGTACCCGACAAAAGATTGTTCCCCAGGTCCAGGAATTGCAATCGAGTCAGCTCCCCGAGTTCACTGGGCACTGTTCCAACTAGTGAATTCCCAGAAAGAACGAGAGTATCGAGTTGGGTTAATCTCCCAATCTGTGGTGGGATTTTTCCGGTGAACGAGTTGGGACCGAGTTTAAGGATTCGGAGATGAGTCAACTGACTGATTTGACTCGGGATCTCTCCTGATAACTGATTTGACGATAAGTCGAGAATGGTAAGGCTGGAGAGAGAGAAAAGGGAGGGAGGAAGAGGACCTTCAAGCAACATAGCCGTGAGTGAGATTGAGGTAACTCTACCTTGTTGGCAACCAACACCAACCCAGTTGCAATGGGAAGCTGACCGGTTCCATGAAGAAAGAAAGTAAGGATTTTTAAGAGCTGCTTTGAACGAAAGGAGGCTTTCCTTTTCACCTTCTTGCTCTGCAATGGCGCTGGACAGCGACAAGAAAGATAGGGCAACCACAAGGAGGAAGAGGAGCCTATGCTTAAACGCCATAACCAGGTTACCAAAACAGATATAAGAACCCGGTATTTGAGAAGGAAGGAGAAGAAGAAGAGTCTTTTTACTTTTTACAAGGAAAAAAGGGATTGAGAGTCTGAAAAGCAAATCCCATTTGAGATTTTGAGACACAATGAGAAAAGAAAGTATTGAAGCATAAAATGGAGGAGGAGGAGAAGAAGAAGCTAAAACGCCATAGTCATATTTCAAGTCTGAGGAGTCATCACGTGATTGAAGCTTTTTCAGGAAGGGGAATTTGTTTTGCTTTCAATAAAACCCCTCAACAACTTTAGAATCATCTCAGGGCCCAAAAAGAAAAGTGCAAAAGAAACCTCTACTCTACCTCTGAGAATCCGGCCTTTGTCTCTTCCGCTAATATTCTCTTCTTTCCAATATTTTTTAAAACTTTGGTTCTCAACTTTGAAATTTTTTAATTATTAGTTTATGTGGATGCGTTTTCGCACTTGGTATGATTGCTGTTGCATGTTCATCAACAAATATATCACAGACGCCACCTACTCTATTCTATGTGCAGCGGCTACGCCATATTCCATTTCCCTGAAATTAAAAAATTATAAGAGAATCACATAAATCTTGGAAATTAACTTAGATGGTTGGTATGGGCAGATTTTCTAGTGTATGTATTCATCCATCCTGTAAAATTAAAAAATATATATCTTCTCATCATAAACCCTCGATGATGCAAGATTAATTAATTTCAATTAAGCATAAATGTAATTTAAAGAAAAGGATACAAAAATAATTTCAAATTTGACCCTGAAAGAATTTGGTAGTAGAGGAGTTAGAGCGTGGTCACAACTCAGAACGGTAGTGAAACGTGGGTAGTGTGAGTGAGCAGTACAGTTAGTGACCTTTTGCACAGAATCGGTTTATTATATTTCTTACTGACCACCAAACCACTATATAATCTAAACTGCTCCAACAGCTAGCATTCCATTTATGGTACTACTACTCGTAATTAATATGCTCTTCGAAATTAACAACTGATGCAGAAACGAAAACATCATTTACTACTGACTAATGTCAAAGTTATTATGAAGCATACATATTTATACAAGTGCACTTTTCAGAGCAAAGTGAAAAAGTGGGGGGAACCCATAAGAAATCCAAAGTACTCATAATAAAATGATAAAAATTTACAAAATGGTCCCTAATTGAAATGAAAGGGACAAGCTAAGAGTGGGATTCGGTTGCTTATGGACATGAAAGCAGTCTCAATCCGTTCCCTGTCCGCAGGCATAGGATATAGTATGCGTGCGAGAGACTGTTTTTTCTGTCGTTTTTGAGTTTTGAGGGCAAAAAGCCTTTTTCTCTTTTCTTTTTGATAATGGAGTTCAGTTTGCTTCAAGAGAAGAGAGAGAGATTTTGATATTTAATACTATTTAATATACTGATGAGACGTGAGAGCAAGCAAGAGTGAAGCAGCAGAAGATGGGGATGAGCTGTCTCTTCAGAGGAAGCAAACCAAGAATAGAAAATTTTCTCATTTTTAATTTTGTACTGATGCTTTGGTTTTGCATATATTCTCTTGCGATTTTCTGATATCTTTCTATGCCTCAATTATCCATAGATGTACTTGCCATGTGCTTTCTCAGACTCAGACTCTGAGTTCATCGTCATGGTGTTTGAATTTTCTTTTCTATATTTAAAACGTTAATTAGGTTCATATTTACTAATTAAAATTGAAAAACAACAATTAGGAAAGCTGTTAAAACTATTACTGTGTCGGTTTAGAGAAGGGTGAAATCGGCAGGCAGCTTTTTCTATTAAAGAAATACTTTTCCTTCCATTCCATATGATTTAACTCTCTCTACCGCTGCTTTTCCAGTTTTCACTGAAAAACTGAGCAATTGTGCTTTGCAAAAGCTGAAAACTGAAAAGCCAAAAGACAAGAGATTCGTTTATGAAATATTTGGGATTTTCTTCCTTTTTTTTTCAAAAAAAAAAAAAAAAACGCTTGCTTTTCCAAGTTTCACTGAAAAAACTGAAGGCCAATTGGTGCTTTGCAAAAGCTGAAAACTGAAAACGCCAAAAGACAAGAGATTCGTTATGAAATATTTGGGATTTTCTTCTTTTTTTTTTCAAAAAATTTTTTTTTAAAAAAAAAAAAAAAAAAAGTTAAGATGGCAGACAAACGGAATTAACTAACTAACCAAATTGCTAATCTATCATCTACTCCTACTCTTATCATCCGCCCATTTCTATCTTTTGCTTTTGGAGGGTATATGTTTTGCACCTAAATAATTAATTATTAGTTAAATTAAATATTATCAAAATCAAAGAGACTATAATACTAGATTCGTCTCCCATATATAGGCTTCATTAACCATGTTATTTAATTTTCTATTTTGCCCCTATTTAATATTTAATAATTACTAATATTTTGTTTTTTCTATCTGTAATTTTTTTTTTTAAAAGAATAGAAGAGCTTTTAAATCCATTGTACTGGAGAGGTTAGGTTAATCAGTTCATCACATCAATAGAATGAAAAGGGCATACTGTTCTTTGAAAAAATAAGTCTACTGGAGCTTTCTTGACAGAGCAAACAAGGCATTAACTCGGGGTTTTGTTTTTTCAGCCTTCAGTTTCAGTAGCCTTATGGTCATACAGTAAACACAATATGTTTTCAGACACTATTCGAGTTTTGTGTACAAAATATTTAATGGAAAATTTTCCTTTTGAATGCTATATAAGTCTGGTCTTATATTATTAATAGAGTCTGTTCCTTCTCTTCCATCCTCTCTAATGGATTACTCTACGTTTTCTGGAAGAAAAAAAAAAAAAAAAAAGGAAAAAAGGTTGTTTAAAAAAAAAAAAAAAAAAAGGTGTAGTTGTTTGGATTTGATAGCCATGGTAAGATGCGTGCACGCTTAAAAAATGTTTTGTTTCGTGCAATTGTGGAGAAAATGTCTTTATTTAACATTATGTTTGGTTATGAGAGGAAAGAAGATAAAAAATGAAGGATTTGGATGAATTTTTGAAGAGGATTGAAAGGAAAATAAAAGAAACTTTTTTTTATCTTTCACAATTTCAATTTCTTTAAAATGAACCTCTTCAAGATTCAAAAGAAGGGATATAAATATAACGTCGGCAATTAGGTTTATTAAATGAATGGGCCTCCGTTTGCAATTAAAACAGGAATGTTGGGCCGGTTTTATATCTTTTTCGTGGTTTAGAAGTTTATAGTCACTGTCAATGCCAATTGGGCCTTGATGGACTTCTTATTCTCTAACTTTTGCCCGTTGCATTAAATGGACTTCGGCCTGGGAAAAGTAGCCTTAAAAATTTATTATTTGTGGGCCTGTGTGCATCTTTTGTGGTTCTGGAAATTGGAAAAAACAAACGTTGTATTTTCTCTCTCCTTCCTGTTACTATCTTCCTTTTTTCCATGATATATACATTGGCAAATTGCAGAATCTCATTTCTACCTTTATGTTTTTACAGTTTGTCCTCATCATTCTTCCTATGCTTCTGCTCTATCTTATCGAATAAACATAGAGATATCTAGTGGGACGCCCAACAAGACGAGAGATATGGGGTCGTGCCTTTTTGTTTTGATCACATTCTGTTCCTTTGTATGTGTTTCTGATCCTTTTTTGCTTTTCATTTACCTTCTTTTTTTTTTTTTTTTTTTTTTTTTTGCCTTTTTTTTTTTTTTTTTTTTTTTTTGCTTTTAAAGAATTTTGTTTATTTGCTTATAATATTCCTCACTTGCAGTGTTTCAGCTTATCAAAACTATCTGTGTTTTCCTCGTAAACACAAATACTAGAATACAGCTGAAACTGCATCATCAATACATGGAGGGCTGAGGTGGGATAAGATTAAACGGTCGGGAGAAGGACACATGCCCTAGTTTTATGAGTTTATGACCAAAAAGGCTAATGGAGCTTTAAAAGATGCATATGGTTACATAACGACACATGTCAAGTTGAATCAAGGAAGATTGAAGTTTTAACACAAAGACACGTATCGAATGTCAAAAATGATTAAGAAAAAAGCAGACTTTTGCCTTAATTTATGCTGATTGCTGAGATGAGTGACGGACTTGAAGTAGAAAGGCCGGTCAAGGAACATTGAAATGTGAAATTAGCTTTTTCCTGTTACAACAAAGTAACAAATAAATAATATATTCTCAGAGAAATTTGTATTCTCTGATCTCCAAGTACGTGTCAAGTTCATAAAGATTTAGTTGTTCATAAAGATTTATTCTATTCGGTAATTGTAGAACATAGTGAAAGAGACTGTTCTACTTCTTCTTTATCTTTCTCCGTCAGGATGGTGTTTGTTTCTGGAGAAAAGTAGAAACCGACCAATCAAATATCTGCTACAATAACTACTGATTCATATTCATTCACAAGTCGTTGTCTTCAATGCAATCGAATCTTTTGAAGTGGGGCTACTAGGTCTTGTGATCCATATTCCATTTGATTTCTTTGATTCTATTAATTTGTCTTTAATTTATTCAAGAGATATGGGATGAATCTTCTGAAAATTCCCAAATTTTCCACTGTGACGAATTACTTTATTTCTGACAGTGATCGATATACATATATAACAGTTAATCAAATATATAAATTCATGGACCAAAAAAATCAATTTCTACTATTAATTACTCCGCATTTAAAATTCAACTTAATTAACGCTTCAACTTGACCTATAGAACTCTTCAATTTATATAATTAAATTCATTAAAACACTGATTAGATAGTTGAAAAATATAAAAATTATTATTTTAAAAGTTACTGTAATCAAATATCAAAACAACATTGCACTCCAAGATATTGTCTGGCGGTAAATATATTTACAACCTGACTATAGGTTCAAGTTCGAATTCCCTGACCCCAATACTCAAAAATATTATAATAATATAACAACATTTTTACATAAAAAATCAAAAAAATCCAAAAATTATTGTTGCCGGTGCAGAGGAGTGTACACTCCAAATTTTGCGGTCTATTAGTATCCTATATGAATTAAAAATTCATTATAATAAAATCTATATATAAATTAAATTTTGTAATATAATATCATTAACAGGTAATTAAAAATTCATTATAATAACTATTAACAAGTAACACTGCTATAATCTTTCAATTCTCCATGTTTAACCTTTCACATCCAAACTTATGTTTTTAAGTTTTATTTTTCAAATGAGTATTGGACATCTACAATAAATCTAGTATCTATAATATATTGGTATTAACTCTATTTAACTATCCTCCGACTGCAAGTATAAATCGTTTAAAGTTTTTGCATAATGATTAAAAAAAAATTAAATTCTCTAAATTATAATAAAACTTTTGTAATTTAATTGAATTATCTTTCATCTCATATAATTAATAATATATATATATAAAGAAAAAATTTAAAAAAATTATCAATTACTCCTTAACATTCTCAAAACAATTTATATTTATAGATAAAGGAAAATTAACTATCTAAAATATTTTATATTTATGGACAAAGGGAGTAATTATAAAGACTCATTGTGATTTAGCGGAGACCCGTAAAAATCTACCCTGCTTTCTCCAAAGTCCTGACAAAAACAAGAACACACGACTAAAATTAAAAAAAGTGGAAAATAGGGAAACAGAAGTTTGAAAAGATAGAGCGAATAACATAGGATATTTCTAAGAAATAACAAAGCAAAACAATAACTCTAACTCGATAAGCATTTGAATTGTTGTTGCCACCTTTGTTGAATTAATTGCACGTTCCCAAGCTTGTTGTTGTTGTTGATAATATGATAGTATTTTTTTTTTTTTTTTTTTTTTTGCACAGTTTCTCCAAGCATTGTTGTTGTTGTTGATAATATGATAGTTATTTTTTCTTTTTTTTTATTTTTACATTTTGATGCGAAAGCATGTCTGTTGTTGTTGGTGTGAAGCAGCCTTAAAAGCTTGAATTCCCATTTGCCCGAAGATTTATTATATAAAGAGAAAAGGCTGGATCTCTTCATTCCATTCAACCAAATACGTTAGGACAAGCGTTACTGTCTAACGCCAGTGAACACACAGTATAATAAAGTTTAGCTTTATAATTTTAAGAGGGATCTAGAGAACAAACTCGGAAACCCATCTTTAGTGGCTTCTAACCATCTCAACACTGATTATTAAAATCGATTTGTTCAACATTTTTTTTTTTTTTTTTTTTTTACAATTTTGAGAAAGCATGTGTTGTGTGGTGTGAAGCACCTTAAAAGCTGAATTCCCATTTGCCCGAAGATATTATATTAAAGAGAAAAAGGCTGGATTCTTCATTCCCATCAACCAAATACGTTAAGGACAAGTGTTACTTTCTACAGTGAATTTACACAGTATAATAAAGTTAGCTTTATAATTTTTAAGAGGGATCTCAGAGAACAAACTCAGGAAACCATCTTTAGTGGCTTCTAACATCTCAACACTGATTATTAAATCGATTTGTCAAATTCAATGTTTATCACACTTGTGCTTTCCATTTATAGAAATAAATAATATTCTTTTTCTTTAACTTATATTCTCCAATAAATTTAAATAAATATTTGACAACCAGGTGAATAAAAAAAAGAAACAATTATCTCTATTTGATACTTCATCGGATATTTCGGCCGGGTATCCTAATCAATTAAAAAATATATTTAAACATACTTAATAACATTTTCTTTCTTATAAATGAACTTTCTAAATGCTTCATTCACTTCTTGAATTGTCTATAAAAGCTCTCATAACATTTCTCTCTAACATACACAAAACCTCAACAAGACCAAATCAAAACTACATATTTTTCCTTACTTGTTTATTATTTGAAGGAGGAAATGTCAAGGGCGACGGAGCCACAGCCACTTACTGTAGGGAGAATTATAGGTGAAGTGGTAGACGCATTCACACCAAGTGTGAAAATGAGTGTCACTTATAACCCTAACAGGCAAGTTGCTAATGGCCATGAGCTTATGCCTTCGGTCATTGCTGCTAAACCTAGAGTTGAGATTGGTGGTCAGGACTTGAGGACTTCTTATACGCTTGTAAGTGTCTGTACTTCTTTTTTTTTTTCTTTTGAAATATATAAATACATAAATCATAATATTTACGAAGACAGATATAATAATACACTGCATATATTAATGTTTTCGTGCTTGTTTTTATGTTCGAAGATCATGACAGACCCTGATGCTCCAAGCCCAAGTGATCCCCACTTAAGAGAGCATATCCACTGGTAATTTGTGTTATTCAACCTAACATATAACACTAGAATAAATCTTTTATTTTCATTAAACAATGTCTAAGTTAAAAATCATTTATGCACCAAGTTACATTATTGCCAGTTCTTTCAAAAATCGAAGTTCTTATACTTTAGCAGTAGACCTAAATCTTGCTAAGTACTATATATATTTTACCATGCATATATATAGTACTTATCGCAGCACAAGCACATTTTGTTGATAGAGTGTACTTGTGTGTATACCTTTCAGGATGGTCACAGACATACCTGGTACAACTGATGTTTCCTTCGGTGAGTTTCTTTTCTTGTAGCTAGTTTGATTCAAGGAACTAAAATGAATGATATGGTAACTAACGACGTAACGGTTTGAATTATGATTGATGTACACAGGAAAAGAAATAGTGAGCTATGAGAGTCCAAAACCGGTGGTTGGAATACACCGATACGTGTTCTTGTTATTTAAGCAGAGAGGAAGGCAAACAGTGAGGCCACCAATTTCAAGAGATTATTTCAACACAAGGAGATTCGCAGAAGAAAATGGATTGGGTCTGCCAGTGGCTGCAGTTTACTTCAATGCACAGAGAGAGACTGCTGCCAGAAGAAGATGATGGATCATTAATTGTCACTTTCCTTCTTTCATGACAATAATAAAGTGATAAGATTCATCTTCTTCATGGAAAACGACCTCTTGTTTTAGGGTTTTATTAATTGGCATTGCTTCTTGTTTGTCTCTTTCTCTTTCTCTTGTCTTTCTTAATATCACGTTCCAAGTAAAGCACTGTACTTTGGCGTGTAGGTTAGGTAAGTGTTGGTCTCTGGTACTAGTATACTAGGTTTTGGGACTTGTGAGGTCCCACAGCAATAAATTTTAGGGTTCCTTGCTCTAGAAAGAGGGATCTATATCTGTATTTGTGCAAGTATTTGATAGAATGCCCATAGGGTCTAAAGCTATTTTGCAAGCCCTAGTGGAAGCGTGGCAAGCTATGAGAAAATCTCAAGTAGGGATTCTTCTGTTCCTGCTCATTCTCTGGTTCTGTCCCATAAAATAAAAAAATAAAAATAGGATTGGCAGTGGCACTATCTTCGTACTCTGCCGTACTAGGATAACTTGTTATGCCATATTTACAATATAATAATAATGCAAACTCATTCTTCATTCCCTAGACATGTGATTACTGTTTACTCTCTTTACATAAATGAAGAACACGCAGGCGGTTCCAATAAACGAAAATACATTAAATAAAGGGCAAAAGTTACAACTCGTTCCACATTCGAAAGAAGGTTCCATTCTAACTGGGGATAAACCTAGAAGTGGTTGGAAACTTGTTGTACGGACCAACCACCGTCATTTTCTCGACCTCATAATAATGATTAATGACCATTGAAACCGTGTATCGTGAAAGGGAAGAAAAAGAAGAGCGCCTCAATAATCACAGCAAACAAACTCACTGCAATTGCTTTTAATGACACAACAAAGAGGAAAGTATAATAGTCATGTTCCTTAATGACACATTCAATTACAAATCAATCTATAAACCCCCAACCCATACAATTTTTACAACCCTCACCAAATACTTCTTAAAAAGATACCTAAATGGCAGTCAATTGCCATGTTTTGAAACCCACATTCATTACCATGTAGCTGGCCGATACAAAAACTGGAAGCAAACATGGATTTTGAAAATTTTGTTATCGAGACCATTACTGATCAAATATCACCACCTTGCACATAAACATGCCAACTGAAATATTCAATCATGATCTATAGAATCTAAACCCCATCCAAGTAATCATGCATTTATTTCTGAATTGCACTGGTGCTCCCTGCTGCAGCTTCTTCTACCCCAAAACATCATCCCTGAACAGCTTGTTTTCTCTAGTCTTGGCCCTTCAATTTTATCCTGGACTACAGATGTTGTTTGTGAACGTCGGGGGGAATCATCTCGAGTTTCCACAGTTCGAGGTTCAAAAGATGGGCATGGGCCATCATTGCAGGTGCATAAAGGGATTGCAACAGAAGGAAATGGGCTACAAGTAACTGGACACATGAAATCAGAAGAAACTGAAGCCACACGATTCTTTCGGATCTCTGGCACACGTGCTGGGGATTGTCCATCTGTTTCACGGGAGTGGAGCATACATGGAGTACAGAGGCCAAGGGACAAAGGAAGTTTCATTTCTTTTGCTGGGTAACCAGGCAATTTAACGAAAGATACAATGCCATGTCTGCAAAGAGGACATGGAATGGAGCCAGGTGGGCCCACCATTTCCGAAGGAATGTTGCTTGTTGAGCAAAGATACAGCGCACATCTTACACAGAGCTCATGCCCACACCCTGAATAACAGAACCACCCATCAACAATATGAAACCAGCACCATAATAATATATACTCAATTCAAATAACTTGACCATGCTTCAAATGCAGTGACAGAAAACCAGAAAATAAGGTTTTTATTTTTAATCGCAGGTCAGGAAGGACTGCTCATTTCATATTATCCAGAATAATTATGGTGAACTAGATCAAATTTTGAATAGAGCATCATCAAAGAGAATCATGCTAGTTATAGTTGCCAACATGAAGAAGAAAAAAAGAGTGGCCTTCGCAGACTATTTCAAACAAGAATGCAATGGACACGAAATTTCCAATTTGAATAGAAACAAAAATGATAGTTCCACTCAGGTTAGCTGAAGAGATTGGTCAATAACCTCTTATACAAGGATGCAAAGGGGAAACTGTTCATGGGCTTCATTTAAAATATCATATTGGTTCTTTCAATCAGATGTCCAGGGTTGCACATATATAGGAACGTCAATGATTAGATGACATAGTAACTCATGAAGTGGGCATAAACACAAATACATTGGATGACAATTGAGGGCAACATAGCCTCTGACAAGCATCCAGAAATGTGAATGTATGAGTGTTTTTATGTTGCTTAAGCATAGAAAAGTGCAGCCCTACAGTTCTATAAAATTCAATAATATTATCTAGAAACTCTATTGCATTAGATTGCTCTAGACCAGTTGTCTACAACAAACAACGGGAATATGTAAATAAAGGAAAAGCATAAACTAAGATGAAGTTCACCGATCACAAGAGGTTTAAGTAAGACCTCTTCAGTGGGCCTATGCAGAACTTTGAATTTCTATTATATTAGTAAAGTGTGATCTTGATTGACAAAGGCAAAATGGTTGACTCCTCAAGAATGATAGACTTCAGAGTTTTATACCAGTTCTAATAACTAAGATAAGCCAAATAACCAAGAAGAACCACAAAGGGCAACATTGCAAAACTATAGAAACAGAGAAGAAGAACAAACCTTCAGCAGCTACATTACATGCTTTCTCCAGACAAACAGCACAAATATCAGGGTCATCAGATGAGGTTGTCAAGCTCTGCATCCCATACTCTCTATAGAGAACAGTTCAGAAAAATATCATTCCGCAGTTAACTCAATAATATTGGTTATAATTCAATTAAGCATCCCAAACTTGCAATTACCCAGCAGGATTATATCTGCAAGGCTAATCAGTGAGAAGCATCAAAGGGATATTTAACATTAAAATGAGAGTCTTATTAAAACACATGTTCAGTGAGTCTGGATGAATAATTGAACATCTAGGGTAGGTTACTCATGGCCTGTCAGTCTCTACAACAATAATCAGTACACACTAACAATTCAATTCCTATATATCATGCTGCAGGAGTACCTTGCTATATTAAGCACGCTCAAAAGAGGCAAGGATAGGTAGTTAGAGTGAGTAAATCTTGGTATGTTGGAGTCAGAATTTGGTGCCAACAAAGGTTCAAGCCAATGACGCCCCCACATCCTGGCAACATCAACAGGCAGCCACCTGGAAAGATGTAAATCATTTAACATAAGTGCTAGATAAATTTCACCAACAAGAAAAGGAATGATATCAAAAGCAAGAGCCAAGGCACTTTACCCATTGCAATTTAATGTCATCCGGCTGGCACCTCTTGCAATGAGGATCTGCAGAATCAGGAACACCATCATGTCACATAAAAATAAAAATAATAATAATAATAATAATAATAAGATAGACTAGGTTCAATTTGGAATAGTGTCATTCTTGCCTGACAACACTTTAAATTCCCCCCACAAGCAGCATAGTGCAAAGGAGTGCTTCCAGCTCCTACAAATATATTTATATCGTCAACAGTAAACTTTAAAGACGACAAAGACTGATTTACAAACTAAAATAATCAGAAAGGCAAACCTATCAAATCCATCGTTGTTCCATAATGAAATGTCACTGCTGACACATTTGCATGAATATCAAGTAAAAGTTGTACACAATCAAAATACCCATTCAATGCAGCCATGTGAAGAGCAGTAATACCACCATCAGCCGCCTTATTTACAAACTTGGAAAGAGCACTGCATTAGAACAGTTTAATTATTTCATATGTGTGACCACTACATTGAGCAAAAAATCAAACAGATTGCACCTTCTATTTTGAGGAATGCATCTACGGTGAAGTAGGAATATCTATTTCTAGACTAGTTTCTTGCCAAGAAAAAGAAAATTTTAAGACCAAAATCCAAATCAATATGCTGTCTGGTGTAAAATCATATAGATTCCCCAGTCAAACATTACCTCTGGTCTAATTTGTTTTTTGCACTAGAAGCATCCCCAGTATCGGCTTCTGTCTGAGCACGCATAGGTTCAAAAGGAGCGCTAGGAACAAAGTCAGCCACCACTAGTCTAATGCACCTTGCATGACCATTTACCGCTGCAAAATGTAGAGCAGTCCTTCCGCTAAGGTAATCTGCTCGTGTAACCTATGGAGACAAAAACTATTATGATGATCAATAGACACCTAGAAAATAAAAGATAATAAAAAAGATAGAACAGAAGAAATTGCCCTGATGGCTTCATTGTGTATGATTACCAATCCAACACTACACGTGAATACCGGTATGGTGGGTCTCGGGGAGAGAAGGGAGGGGTGTTGAAGATAACTAGAATGAACTTACGTTGCATCTAAAGAGAAGAAGAGTCTGTACAACTTCCCAGTGCCCATATCGACAAGCTTGCATTAATGCCGTCTTCAAAGATGACAAAAAATATAATTGAGTTGTTAGTTCAAAAGAGATCCATAATTTCTTCTCATTAATATGTTCAATTTAAATTTCCAAATAATTGGCAATTAGGAAAACCCAACTTCCACCATAAGATTCTCTCGGTGACATGGCAACCAGCTAAATTTTAAATTCCCATCCCAAATCAGTCCCCGGGGCTGCCGTCAATTTCAATTCCATATTCCCCACCCGATGCACTTCTCAATCAAATTCATACATGCATCTAAGAATTGCTATTAGAACAAAATGTTTGTCCAAATCACATTTCAATTCTCTCAAACGATTCATATCTCGCAGGGGATCAGCTCAAAGAAGATATCGATAAATTCACCAAAATAAAGATAAAAATCATAAGAAATATACCTGGCCACAATAATTCCTTGAATTCACGTCAGCTCCATTCTCAAGCAACAACGCGACAATCTACCAAAATCGCCACATTAATTAAGCAAAACAGTTTACGCAAATGAAAATGAAAAACTAAGGGTGAAGAAGAAGAAGCAACCTCGTTGTGGCCTTTAGCGGCGGCGAAATGGAGAGGAGAATTGAGGCCTCCAAAGGTAGAGTACTTGGCGAGGCACGGATTGCAATCCAAAAGCATCTTAGCCTCCACCAAATCGCCATCTCTAGCCGCCGATACTAATCTTTCGCCGGAGGCAGAGCATCCAAATGAATTTCCCATTTCCTTTCTCTCTCTACTGTTTTTCTTTTTTTTTTTTCAAGGAAATGAATACATTAGGTCAACTGTCATAGAAGAAATTGAAAAAAGAACACACGGAGAACGTGGAGTTAATTACAAAATCAACTGCACAGCATGGATCAATACATTATTATTATTATAATTATTATTATTATTATTATACATACATATTACACGATGCTTTTTATTTTATTTTCCCGTTGGAAATTCGGTGGCGATATATGTATAAATTCTTTTTTTAACAAAATCTATTTTTTTCTCCACTGTAATTTAGGGGACAAGTGGAAACCGTCTGTGCTTCCGTTTCTCGTTTCTATTTGGCTGTTTTTAGCATTTCTTTTTTCTTCGTTTTTGCTGGGAATTATTTTTGTTTTTATCCAAATTATTAGGCTGCGAATTAGATAATTGACACGTCATCACAACTAACGCATATCCTAATTGCAAAATCCATATGTTTTTTTTTTTTCTTTCTCATATGGGTTAATTTTTATAAAATACTATTTAAATATCTAAAAATTAATTTATTAAGCGCAGCCTTAAACACAAGTGGTACGGTGATTAATGGTTACGAAATATGAAAAAGTGGGAATACTAGTGTGGAGCGAGCGTATGCAAGTGGGCAGGATCTACGTAGACGCGGTGCATACCCAGGGCCAGGGGTACAGGATAGTAGACAGTATTGTAATAAATAAAAGGGAGATGTGGATCTTTCCCGTGAAAACAGAGTAAGGTTACTTTCTCATCAATTTTACCTCGGGTTCTACGCAAAACAGGATTGTGGATTAGGTGACGTTTGGTGAGATGTGGGCCTTCGGGACCAAAGAAACCAACAATTTTATTGTTTTGCTTGCCTTCCTGTTTCTACACTCAATTTTAGTTTTTCTTTTTTGAAAAAAGAAAAAAAAAAAAACATCAAGTGGAATGGATGGTAATATTATTTCATGCTATGATATTAACAATTTAATTCCACTAACTAAAGAATCACATCCTTATTCTCTCCTATTAAGAAAACCTAATTATAAAATAAACCCAACTCAATCTTCTTACTTGAACCAACACGAACTAAAGAATATATATTTATATTATATACCAAAACCAAAATCATGGTCGGCATGCAAGTCTTACAACTATGCAATATTTGCATTTTGTTAACAAAATATCAAAGATTATTAATATTAATTATGTGACCAGTCATTTTCACCAAATTAATCTATTAACAAATAAGGCCAACGACACAGTTTTGATCATCACTCCCAACTATTTATTTACTCTTAGCTTAATACGTACCGATATGTAGAATTTGTCCATGAGGTGCTTAACAGAGTCCGTGACCATCATCGACGGAACCGGACTGACAACTGCTTGTCGTCTTCAAGAAATTAAAAATAAAATTCAGTAGGATTTATGGTTGTCAAGCCTATATGGGTAGCTGTGTTTTAAGTGGAAGACCAACTACTTGGGTTAGACCTAATGTAAGTATGCCTTGTTTGTTAGAACTTATCAGCTTCAAGTTTGATGAACCAACCAACTTGCAAGCTTTTGACCAGTAATAGGCTGAAGCTTAAAGGCGAAGAGCATTATTGCACCGTATTGAATTATTAATGGCTCGCATCTGCCACAAGTCAAATACCAACATGGGGTAGCAATTAGCATTCAACTGCCCTTCAGCGTCGGATGATGTCAACAGAAAAAGGTGTTTGCCTCAAAAGGCCCAAGATTATTAAATAAGAGAAGGCCCAATCCAAAAATTTGCGCTTTCAATTGTCTCCCCATAGATGATCGCTGGAAGAATGAGAAAAGCGATATGCAGACTGTAATCAGATGTGGAAAACAAAACCCAGGAAAAGCAGTTAAAGCAACCCTGCTATCAGCAACTAAATGGTTAGTTTTGACAAAAATAACTTAAACTTGTGCAGTCCATCTTCATGGCCTCAGAAGACAGAAAAATACGTGCTTCAGTTGATATGGTTGAACGATCCATATATAATTCCCAAGTGAGAAAATTTTAAGAATCAATAATGTAATAGAATTGCTTTAGATCATCTTCAGATTGATTAAACAAGTACAAAAATCAATACATACGAGGATAAGAAGCTATTATGGCAAAGCAGAGGCCACGAACAGCAGTTTATTTTTCATATCAGAACATGAATATTGTGTAGAAACAAATAAATAAACAAATATCCACCTTGACTTAAAATGATTCTAAGAACAGCCACTTGCCCTGTCTTATTTGAATTCCTTCAACAGCCAAAAAGTCTTGCGGATAGCGTGATAAAAGTTCACTTGAAGCACCAGAAATTTCCTGTGAACTACAAGTCTTCTTTAATAATCCAATTCCAAATGACATTCATCTCATGTCTCCAATAAATTCAAGCAAGGTTGATTCTCCAGCCTAATAATGTCAGTGAGATGTTAGACCTTTTTTTTTTATTACAAAAGGTACATGATTGGTATGCCTTGTTTGTCAGGGAACCTATCAGCTTCAACGTTTGATGAACAACCAACTTGCAAGCTTTTGACCAGTAAAGGCTGAAGCTTATAGTAGTGGCGAGGAGAGCGCATATGGCACTGGCGATTGAAGTTATAATGCTGCGCATCTTGCCACAAAAGTCAAAAGTTACCCAAGCGATGGGCGCCGGTAGCAATTAGCATTCAACTGCCCTTCAGCCGTCGGATTGAATGTGTCAACAGAAAAAGGTTTGTTTGCCTCAATAAGGCGCCAAGATTATTTAAAATACAGAGGAAGGCCCAATCCAACAAATTTTGCGCTTTCAATTGTTCTCCCCATAGATTTGTCGCTGGAGAATGAGGAAAAAGCCGATATGCAAGACTTTAAATTCAGATGTTGGAAAACAAAAAGCCCAGGAAAAGCAGTTTATTAAAGCAACCCCCTTGAAGAATGAGAAAAGCGATATGCAGACTGTAATCAGATGTGGAAAACAAAACCCAGGAAAAGCAGTTAAAGCAACCCTGCTATCAGCAACTAAATGGTTAGTTTTGACAAAAATAACTTAAACTTGTGCAGTCCATCTTCATGGCCTCAGAAGACAGAAAAATACGTGCTTCAGTTGATATGGTTGAACGATCCATATATAATTCCCAAGTGAGAAAATTTTAAGAATCAATAATGTAATAGAATTGCTTTAGATCATCTTCAGATTGATTAAACAAGTACAAAAATCAATACATACGAGGATAAGAAGCTATTATGGCAAAGCAGAGGCCACGAACAGCAGTTTATTTTTCATATCAGAACATGAATATTGTGTAGAAACAAATAAATAAACAAATATCCACCTTGACTTAAAATGATTCTAAGAACAGCCACTTGCCCTGTCTTATTTGAATTCCTTCAACAGCCAAAAAGTCTTGCGGATAGCGTGATAAAAGTTCACTTGAAGCACCAGAAATTTCCTGTGAACTACAAGTCTTCTTTAATAATCCAATTCCAAATGACATTCATCTCATGTCTCCAATAAATTCAAGCAAGGTTGATTCTCCAGCCTAATAATGTCAGTGAGATGTTAGACCTTTTTTTTTTATTACAAAAGGTACATGATTTACAAGAACTATTGAGACCAGCAAGAACCCTTACTATCAATCCTACCTCAGTCACTAGTTACATGAGCCTCCTCTGCATTGACAATATCAACAGCACCATTGTCATCACTCTCATCAGTAAAATCAGAGCCAACATCACTACCCAAGTCTGAGTTCAAATCATCTTCAAACTCCCCATCTTGTCCAACCTTGCCAGCCTCAAAATTATTTTCCACACAGTCTCTTCCAAATCGCTCCATTTCCTCATCTCTTCTATCCCTTCTATAGCTAACTAACTCCCTATCCATCTTGGCCTTCCTCGGACTAAACAACACTAGCTCACCCAACTTCCTCCTTGCCAAATACAAATCATTAGGCTCCACCAATTCTCCCCTC